TTTCTGTTTCAAAATGCCAACTCCTGTGTGGATCTATTGATAGTACATATTTTCTCTGTTTCACTTAAAACAGCAACATGTTATTCTAAGCAATATTTGTTTCTGATCAGTGCCAAAATAGAAAAAAAGAAAGCAAGTAAGAAAGAAATCCACATGTATAAGTATCAATTTCAAATCTGACTGGTCTAGAATAAGATCATCTTCCTTTTCTAAATAGTGAACTAAATTTCATAACTTCGCATTCACATTCTTTGGCTATCAAGACCAGAAAGTAGTCAGAAAAAGTAAACAGCTTTGTTGACAAAGTGCCAAAAACAAGCTCAGCACCAGTGTTGCCAAAACCAAAACCTTTACTGACTTACTCTTAATTCCTATGCCTGTACTCCAGTTTCAGCTTTTCACTTATCTGAATGCCTATTGCAACAACCTTCTAACAGTCTCTCTGTCTTCACTCTTGCCCCATTTCAATCTCTTCTCGATACTTAGATAGTAGTTTTAAAAGAAAAACTTGACCATGTTACACTTCCACTCAAAAGACGGGAAGCACTCCGTACAGTATCTTTAACATGGTTTAAAACGTTCTAGGTATATCATTACCTTCCTTCTATTTTCTTCCTTATTCTATACCCTATCAGAACTGCATACTATATTCTCCATTAAGCCATATTTTCATGCTTTTACACACATTTTGTTAATCCTTCATCAGTGTTCCTTCCCCCTCTGTCTGGCATATTAATACCTTTCAAAACAAAACATCACTTTTTTAGTGAAGCCTTCCTTGGTCTGTCCTAGGCAATCAGACTCTCCCCCAAAGCCCTCTGTACCTATCTAATGCACCACTTTTCACACAAAACTCTACTTTTAATTTTGTGTAAACATCTGTCTTCATTAGATGTCAACCTCAGGCTGACTAGATACTTATTTGGTTAATTTATATATAACAAATGTATTGCATACACAAGATTCAAAAGAGTCAAGCATTTGTGAATAAAGGCATGAGAAAAAGCTCTCAGTGTAGCAACCAGCCTTAAAAATATCAGTAGTTACAGAGGCCTAATAATTAAAATGCAACAGGCATTACTGTAAGCAAGGGTTGCAAACTCAAATGTTTCCATGATTATGTAATGTAACTAGAAGAGTTTGGATGCTTTTTCCTAAATGATTGAAGAATACACTTGTAAAACCAGATAGCCCTGGAGGTTCCTTTGAGTGAACCCTTTTATTATCAGTTCACTGTCTTTAAAGATAAGAGTACTTATGTTTTCTAATTTGTATTCATTTTGACAAATTTTTCCAGGATTCTGTCCATGTCATTTAAATTACTCATTGGCATGTGTTTTGTTCACAATGTCCTTTTACATTAATAACATTGGAATTTATATGGATGCCCCTCTTTCATTCATGTTTCTTGTGTGTTCTATCTTTTTGATCAGTCTGAGGTTTATTTTATGAACTTTTTCAAGAACAAAGTTTTAGTGTGTTGCTACTTAATGTTTCTTTAATAATTCCTGCTTTTATTTTTTCTATTGTATTTTGGTAAACTCAAATAGAAAAATTAAGCAACTTAAGTTGTTCTTTTTCTAATTTCTTGAAATGGCTTCTTAGATGATTGGTTTTTCAGCTTTTTTTGTAATGCGTCTTTATTTTTTTATTAATAATTTCTAGCTTAATTGCACCATGACCAGGGAACAGACAACATAATTTCAATCCTCTGAAATATGTTGAGATTTATTTGTTACATGGTCAAATCTGGTCAATTTTTGTAAATGCTTTCTCTGTATTGAAAAGAACATGTTTTACATGATTACTGATTTTTTGTCAGATTGTTGTTACAGGAGGGATGTTAAAATATCCAACTGTAATTGGGGGTTTCTTTGTCTTGTAGTTCTAGCAGTTTCTGTGTGATGTATTTTCAAGCTATGTTGTTTTTTTTAAGACTTTTATTTACTTTCAGAGAGAGGGGAGGGGAGGTAGAAATAGATGGAGGGAAACATCAGTGTGTGGTTGCCTCTAGTGCACCTTGTTCTGGGGTCTAGCATGCAACCCAGGCATGTGCCCTGACTGGGAATCGAACCTGTGACCCTTTGGTTTGCAGGCCAGCACTCAATCCACTGAGTCACACCAGCCATGGCTCAAGCTATGTTATTAAGTACAAATCAAATCTTTATATTTTCTTGGTTCCTTAAGCAATTTTTATTAATAACTATCTCTACCTCAGATAATATTTTCTGCTTTGAAACCTATTTTTATGTTGTAACTATATTAAGATAACTATTATGTTAAAGCTATACTTTTTTGATATATGTTTGAATAAAATGTTATTTCAATCCTGTCACAATCAGCTATTATTATATATCATTGTATTTCAAATGTGTTCCCAACTACATGTAGAGAAGTGTTTTTTCATACAGTCCAACAATATTTATTTTTTAACTGGAGCACTTACTCCAGTTTCATATAGTATACTTGCTGATATACTGGCATTTAATTCTACCCTCGGTTTTATGTTTTCTCTTTGTCCTGCTGGCCCTCTGTTCTTTTTTCTTTTTATTTATTTATTTATTTATTTATTTATTTATTTATTTATTTTTTATTATTTTTTTAATCATTGTTCATATACAGTTTTCTCTTTTTTACTCCCAATCCAGTCCCCCCTCCCACCCTCTCCTTTTTCTTTCTTTCTTCTAGATTGATTATTTTCTTACTTTCTTCTAGATGGATGATTTCATTATTCTGTGTAGGTTTTTTCATCTGTGAAATGAAAAATACATATTTTTATTTCACTATTCTTTTCATAGTTATCCTAGAGATGCACTGTCTCATACAGTAGTTGTATATGATTACTAAGCATTTGAAATGTGACCAGTCTAAATTGACTGTGTCGTAGTGAGAGTTTTTTGAAACTTTGTATGAAAACCAAGAATATAAAATATTTCAATAATATTTTGTATTGATCATCATGTTGCATTGTTTTGGATATGCTGGGTTAACTCTTATTAACATTAGTTTTATTGATTTCTTTTTATTTTCATGTGGCTTTTATAAAATTTACAGTTAAATATTTGGCTTGCATTGTATTTCCATTAGCACAGCTCTAGAGTTTACAATATACAACCTTGATTTATCACAGGCTATTGTTAAATATTTAGTAGTACATTACCCCTCCTCAGATTTTTGCAATTAACTCAGAACACTAACTTCATTCCCTTTACCTAGACGTCAATGCTACTGTTATCTAGTCCCATATGTTTTTATTTTACCTTATAGATCAATATTTGTTTAGGTTTACTTACCATTTTTGTTGCTCTTCTTTCCTTCCTACATCTCTAGTCTTTCAGCAGAATCATGTTTCTTCTACTGAAACACATTCTTCAGTATTTCTTTTAATGATAATCTGATATGTGAATTCTCAGTTTTTGTTTGTGAATGTCTATTCAACTTCAAACTTGAAGGAGAGTGTACTAGGTGTAAAATTCTTGATTGGCTGTTATTTAGCATTCTATTTGGTCTTACGGATTCCTCTTTTGTTGAGAGGTTAGCTATAGGACTTTCTACTGCTCCTTTGAAAGTAATGTGACTGCTCTTTTCTGGCTGCATTTAAGATTTTTGTTTTTAATATTCAGTCATTTCACTCCAATGTGGATTCCTTTTTTTTTTTTTAAGTCTGCTTAGGTTGGAATTCTTGAATCTCTAAATCATGTCTTTCATCAATTTTAGAAAATACTCAGCTGTTACCTCTACAAATATAGCTTTAGCCCCATCTCTTCTCTCCTGGGTTCAATTAACATAGTACTTCTCTTACCCTTTCTAAAAAATTTTCTCTTTCTGTCTTCTTCATGATCTAAACTGTGATTTTAGTTATATTTTTCTATTATAGATTTTCTATTTGGTTCTTTTTAACATATGTGATTTAAATTTTTATAGTTTCCAGTTCTCTGATAAAACATTAGAATTTGTCTTTTATTCCCCAAGAACATTATAAATATCTTTACTTAAAATTTCTGTCTAATAATAATTACAATAAATGAGGCTCTGAGGGGTCTGTTTCTCTTATTGTTTCTTCCTTGTTCTCACTCATGTTGTTCAGTTTTGTTATAATGCTGATCATCTTTAAGTCTCTTAAGAAATAATGAAGTATTTGGTGGTAAATTGTCATGTCTACATCTAATTTTCAGATGGGACAGCAACAATAATATATGTAGCATGCTAAGATAAAGCAAAAGATAATATAAATATGGATAGGCAAAACTAGGTGCTCTGCCCTGTGTTCCATTATCATGCTACACTCCTTTCTATTCTAGTAAACAATACAACAAGGGTTTATATTCATATCAGTCTCTAACAGAAGACTTTTGACAAATTGAGGATGGGATAGGGTCTTACTGATACTTATCCCCAAGACTGAGTTTAATTTTTTTGTATCCTCATCCCAGGACATTTTTTTATTGCTGTGAGAGAGGGAGAGAAAGAGTGAGACAGACAGACAGACAGACTTCTGTGTGAGAGAGAAACATTGATTGGTTGCCTTCTTGTATGTACCCTGCCCAGGAATCAGATCTGCAATGTTCCCCCTGACTGGGAATTGAACCCGTGACTTTTTGGTTTATGGGAGCATGCTTCAACTAACTGAACCATACTGGTCAGGGCAAGAATGAGTTTATAGGAGGTATTTAAATTGTTTGCTGAATGGACAAGGAAGAATATGATAGAGAAATTAGCAGCAAAGGAAACTTGAAATATGGAAAAGAAATCCCAAAGGCATAATGGGAATCTTTGGGGGGATGGGGGAGGGCCTGGGTTGGCAGAGGGAAGAGGAGTTGGATATATTATGTTTAGAAACTATGGCATCCTCTGACTTTGACTTTGCCATATGAGCAGGATCATTTTGCAGTCACACTTTGCTTAAAATCTGTCAGTGAAATCTATAAAGGAAATGAATCCACTTTTAAATACATGCTTTTGTATGTTTTTACACTAATTTAATTTCTTTTTAATTTTAGGAAACACTCCTTTACATCTTGCTGTGATGTTAGGAAATAAAGGTTAGTAAATATTTTCTTTTTTTTTTAATGTTCTGTGTCACTTATGTATAGTCAGTTTTAAAGTTTTTATGTGAGTTTTGTCTTTTGAGTTTTATAAAATTAACCTGATTATTTTATTTGCTAATTGAACTTAGGATTCAGTATATTAAAACTAAACAATATTTTCTCATTTTCTACAGTAATTTTTTCCAAGTTAGTGGAAATCTTGTTCTAACCTTTATGTCCTTTGAAACTATTTTTTTCTTGGTTATTTTATCAAGCAGTATTTTGTAATTTCAGGAGATTTATTTTCATATATTAAGGTTTGTTAATTATTGTAATACTTTTAATATTCAAAGAGTTTTTAAAAGTTCCTTACCATGGATTGTTTTGTATATCAGAACTCTTAAGTCTGTCCTTCTGTATGGTAAATGATTGTAAAGAATTAACACTTTAATTGTTTATTCTTTCATTAAACAAAAGCAACTCATAGATAGGTGATTTAAAAGGTTTACTTTATAAGGCTATTCCAAGATGCCATAAAATCTTAGTTGTCTGGATTCTCAGTAATTCTGAAAGAGGATTCCAGGTAGCTGATTGGCAACCTTTTAGATGTATTTGCTACATTTTTTAAAAAATCACATACTCTTGATTTTTTAAACAGGCTTATTAACATTTAAGATTTTTTCTGATGATCTAAATATATTATTATGAACATCTATTATTGTTATATAGTGTCATATAGTTGTTGGTATAAACATTTGATCTCATAATATATGCTGATTCCAGGGGTATTACCAGAATTTGCTTTGTTGAGAAAAATAATTCTAGTTTAGCTTTTAAGTTCATATGTTCAAGTGAAGCATATGGTTTTCAGCATATGGTTTGATTTTAATTATGTATAAATTGTTGACTCAAATTTTTATTTTTTTATTTAGTTATGGTGGTTTATTTTTCCTTCCTGCAAGGAAGAGATTAACTTGAGTAACTTAAAAGTAAAGAGTTTCATGAAGAAGCTACCTACTTTAGAAACTGAAGATATGGTGACTAGCTACATCTCAGGAAAAGCATAATCAAGACAATTTGAGGGTCCTTCCTTTCTTCCTTCCTCCTTCCCTCCTTCCCTCTCTTCCTCCCTTTATCCATCCGTCATTGGTTTGTTTCTTAAGGTATATGTGGCATTTTTGTATATGTATGTAATGTTCTCCCTTTCTTGATTTATTTTTCTGTGAAAATGGAAATTGAACATGACCCAAAATAACTGTTCTAGAATCCAAACCTTCACGACTTTCTGGTTTCAGTGTTCACCATCAGCTAGTTTAGTTTCTTAGGTTCCTGAATTTGTGAGCAAAATGTTTGATTGATTTCGTTCATCTCAATCCAAGCCACAAGGGTGAATGACTGGCAAGCTCATCAATTATTTTGGGGATATACTTCTGTGAAATTAGCTCTAGCTAGGCTGGCCTAGGGTGAGAGTTGGAGGTAGGAGAGGGAATCAGAAATAGAGAGGAAGAATGTTTAGTTTAGCAGCAGTGTGGGTAGGGCAGGCCATGATGGTCATCTCTAGTATGGCTACACTGATGAACATGTGTCAGATATAGTTAGCTAAATTTGACCAATAAAAACTTAGGCTTTTCCCAAAGAACATTGCAGGAGAACTTTAGAAAATAACTGAACTGTAAAATAAATGAACTGCCATCATTTACAATATGTTAGATGGGTTTTTTTAGTCCTTTACACTTACTTACTCATTTAACATCACAACCATTAACCCCATTTTACACATGAAGAACACTTAGCTCTGAGAAGTTAAGTGCCTTTTCCAGAGTAAAGTAGCAGAATTTTGACTTGAACTTGGATATCTTACTCTAGAGCTTGGATTCCTATCATGCTGAACTGATTGTTCTCTTTTCACTGAGAACCATTAAAAATAAATATAATGTATATCAAAGTTAGCTAACATCATGCTTTCCTCCAGTTTTCATGGCAGACATAATTAATTAGACACCAAGACTGATTACTCTTACATTTTGCACTTTAATAGTAAGTATGGATTTCCAGGATTTGAATGTGAAATGAAGCATATTTTCCATCCCATGTGTAAGTGTCCTAACATTAGGTGGAGGAATTGTTATGCTTCATCATATGTCATCCTGTACAAAATGTGTTTCACAGAACATTAGTTTCATGGGATATTGATATTTCCAGTGAAACAGTGTCTCCAGATCTTACCAGTTTGGAAAATAGTGAGTTAATAAATATTAAGCAGTTTTCTTTATTATGGGCCTTCCTATAACTGTGATATGCTAATCTGCATTGTGACCCTCTGAGTTGTTGGCACAGATGTTGGATAGCGTCATTGTTCCCTACAGCTATTGATGTTTGCTCTTTTTTCGCAAGTATCTTGACACACTAGGATTCTGTGGAACGTATTTTGGGAAACAGATGATTCATGATCTACAAATAATGTTGGTATTTGCTCTTTCTGAGTCCTTTAGTTCAGCAATTAATATCCACTAGACTGGGTTCAATTAATATCCACTTACATTTGTCCATTTATATTTTTCCACTTGTGTACTTTTTTTTGCTTTTTTTTGTTGGCCTTTTAATATTTTTTGGTGTTTGGTTGCACAAGAGTGAAATGGAAATGCATAGTAGAAGGTAAAACATCTACATTAATTCTGTAAATTAATTTTGCATCATACTGTTCTTCAGTCTGTGCACTTTTATTTTCTCCTTTAGAGACATATTATACCTTTTGTAATTTCATTGTTGAGGGGGCACTCTCTGTTTTTATACTTGTTTGTGAGCACAAAATAAATTCCTAGGACAATCAAATAGTATTTATTGATTGAATTAAAGAGAGGACTGTCATAGGACTTTCACACTTTCATTTACTTCTCTCACCCATCCTACAGAATAACCTTATTTTTTCACCTTCGATATCTGATTTTTCTGAACTTCTGGGTCCATTGATCATGTTGGCCATTCTGGCAGGAAAGTTTCTGAACTATGGATTTTAGTTAAAATGGATTATACTTACGGAAGATTTCAGGCATCTTTAGAGATGAAATAGAAAACTAATCTTTAGTTCTTATGTTTTTGGTTAGATATCAGAGATACATTCTTCAGACCAGGTGCTGCAACTTTTAACTCATTCTCAGTCTTTTTTGAGTGTGTAATTTAAATTTTTTTCCCTCAGATAAGCCTAGGATTATTCTAACTCTCATAAGGGTCTCTCTGGATGTTCTGTTTTGTTTCCAGCTATTCTATTTATCCCATTTACTCTCTTTATATTTTATCACCTTTATAACTTTTACTTATTTATATGTGACTTCTGTTCCTCATGAATACATTTTGTCCACACTACTTAAGTTTTAACATCTTTGTGCAACATTCATGCATTTTTTAAGCCTTAGTGCCTGGTTATTAAGTAACTTGCTTTTTTTATTCACTTTTTTAAATTACAGAGAGAAGGCATTTGATTGATCCAGTTTTCTTTTTAATGTATGAAACTATGTTACAGGTCATTGGCATATCTGTGATTATCTGACTGCTCCTTCGTTGTTCATTTCTGTGTCAATTGAGTTGTGACTGGTGAAGGGCACCAGTTCAGGGTCTGTGATGTATCAGAAAACATAGTTGACATGTCTAGCATATGTAGAAATAAACCATACAAATTCTGTACCTTAATTTACATTGTTGAGACACAGCTTTAGATACTTGTGCATGTGGCTTATTGGTATTATTTTTTTAGTGTTTATTTTATCCTATTTATTTTATTTTTTTGCTTTTTAAAAAAAATCATCGTTCTATTACAGTTGTCCCCATTCCCCCCCAAGATTTATTTATTTATTTTTAGAGAAAGGGGAAGGGAGAGAGAGAAACATTGATGTACGAGAGATAAATCGATCAGTTGCCTCTCGCACACTCCCAACTGGGGACCTAGCCTGCAACCCAGGCGTGTGCCCTGACTGGAAATCAAATCTTTTGGTTCACAGGCTGGCACTCAATCCATTGAGCCACATCAGCCAGGATTTGCTTATTAATATTATTAAATTAAAATTTTTCTTTAATGATTTTTAAGTTTTTAATAAATGCTTATTGGAACAATTGAACTAACACAGAACAAAGGTGTACAAGGGTGGGCAAAAGTCAGCTTACAGTTGTGAGTATACCTAACAGAGTTAATAAAGCTATTGTAATAATCATAACCTGCATGTCTCTTTCCATACAAACAACTGTAAACCTCCTTCTGCCCACCCATTGTATAAAAGCATCATATTTTCTACTTGTTTTTACTGATTGTAATTAACATTAATAGCCTAATGAGTTTCCTTGCACAGCCTCCTTCATATAACATATGCATAGAGACTTAGTTTGTTTTTAACTAAAGTTAAATCACTACATACAGTACTCTGCCATGTTTTTTTTTCACTGAAATGTTTATCATAACATACTTTTACAAGTTTGTAGATATCTATTCATGTTTATGCTTCCCCAACTTCTTTATATGTGCACACATATACACATATGTATATAAAACTCCATGGCAGGTTTCTTAGGGGAAGGTCCATTTTATTTATTTATGTGTTTATAAAAATTCTTTTTATCTCATCTATCATTTTCTCTCATACTAAAATACCCTTGTCTCCCAATAAACATGGTAACCGCATGTTAACCTACTGGATATTCTGTACTTTTCTCCATGTGTATGAACTACTATGTACAAATATTTATTTGTTACCTACATACACACTCATATATGTACAGTATTTTGCTGTGCATAATGCGCTCCCGTGTATAATGCACACCCACATCTTTGGCCCAAACTTTCAGGAAAAAAATCTTTCATTTAAATTTTTTAAAAAGATTTTATTTATTTATTCTTAGAGAGGAGGGATAGAGGGAGAATGAAAGGGAGAGAAACATCAACATGCGAGAGATACATCAATCAGTTGTCTCTCGCACACCCTCATCTGGGGACCTGGCCCGCAACCTAGGCATGTGCCCTGACTGGGAATCGAAGCTTTCGGCTTCCAGACTGGCACTCAATACACTGAGCCACACCAGCCAGGGCTAATTTTAATTGTTTAATTCAATTTTTTATTTATATATAAAAGCAATTATTGTATTCCAGTGTATTATTTTGTACACAGATATTATTAATGCTTTCTAGAGTTACACTTTTCATGCATAAGCTTAAATAAAAGAATTAAAAAGATTTATATAGATATGGAATTAGTACTACCCATGTGTAATGTACATCATTATGATTCCCTCAAAAATTTGGACAAAAAAGTGCACATTATACACAGCAAAATACAGTATTTTTTTCTTTCCTTTTAAAAACTGAGATCGTAATACACTTCTGTGTTATCATTTAGCAGTACAATGTGGACATTCCTTTAAGTCTGTTGGGATAGCTTAATTCATTCCTTTAAAAAATTTTATCTTCCTTTTTTCTCTTAACACTTTATTATGAAAAACTTCTATATACAGAAAAACTTAAAGATTGTCACAGTGAATACTGAAATACTCTCCACATAGCTTCAGTAATTGTTAACATTTTATCATATTTACCTTATCTTTCTCTTTACTCTTAGCATGTTACATATATTATTGTTGCTGTACCATTTGAAAATTAAATGTAGACATAATGACATTTTACCACCAAATACTTCAGTGTGCATCCTCTAGGGATAGTCTTTATAACCACAATGTCATCATCATACCTAAGAAAATTAATAATGTTGTTATAGTACCTGATATCTAATTAGGATTCGATTTTTTTCAGTTTCAAAAGTGTCTGTAAATATGTTTTGTATTGAACCAAGACATAATTGAGGTTTACTCATTGCATTTGTTTGATATGTCTCTTTATTTTAATCTAGAAGTTTTCTCAGCTTTTTTCTTCCTCCTTTGTACCTATTTGAAGAGTCTTGACCAGTTAATTTGTAGAATGTCCCTCATCTTGGATTTACCTGATTATTTTCTTATGGTGTTATTTAACTTTTTTCTTATTTTCTGTCTTTTCTGTAAATTGAAAATTAGCTATAGAGGCTTAATTAGATTGAGGTTAAACATTTTTGGAAAGCATAGGTGATGTTATAAATTTTATTATATTGCATCACATTAGGAAGCACAGAATGTCCAGTATCTCACTATCAATGTCACTAAGTTTGTTCACTTTGTTTAAGAGACGATATCCAATAGCTCCGCTTTAAAGCAAAATTTTTTCTCTTTATAATTTGTAAGTAATCTTGGGGTGATATTTTGGTATCATGTGACTAACCTGTTTTCAAGCACATAGCTTTTTACCTAGTGGCTTTGGCATTCATTTGAGGACCTTCTTCTAAATTAGTTATTACATTGGGGTTTATTTCTTTAGCTTTCTAATTTTTTAAATGTATTTTTAAATTACAGTTGACATACAATATTATATTAGTTTTAGGTACACAGTGTAGTAATTAGACATTTATATACAAAGTACTCACCCCAATAAGTCTAGTATCTAGTACCTATCTGGCACCATACATAGTTATTACAATATTTATTGTCTCTATTCCCTATGTTGTAGTTTACATCCCTATGACTATTTTTATAACATAATTTATACTTCTTAATCCCTTTTTCTCATTCCCCTCAACTCGTATCTCATCTGGTGATCATCAGTTTGTTCCTTATATTTATGAGTTTGTTTTTGTTTTGTTTGTTCATTATTTTGTGTTTTGAAGCACAATCATATGGTATTTATCTTTCTCTGTCTGACTTATTTCACTTAGCATACTACCCTCTAGGTCCATTCATATATTTTCAAATGGTAAAATTTCATTCTTTTTCATGGCTGATTAATATTCCATTGTATATATGTACCACATCTTTATCGATTTGTCTGTCAGTGGACACATAGTGTGGTTCCATGTCTTAGCTATTATAAGTAACACTGAAATGAACATGGGGGTGCATAGATCTTTTTGAAGTAGTGTTTTGGATCTCTTTGGATAAATACCGAGAAGTGGGATTGCTCGGTTATATGATGGTCATTTGCCCTCTCTTTTATATTTTGCTGTCGTTTGGGCATATCAGTTATTTTTTGTTTAATGTGTTATGCATATCCATTCTTTTTGATGCTTACTTTCCTAAATTTGGTCAGTGGCTAACCATTTAAACTGGCTCCTTAGTCCTTTTGATATGACTCTATTCTTAAAAAATGGCTGCATATTACTCCAGTAATGAAGATGCATTATGCTTTAGTCACTCATTATCCTATGGTGGATATTCACTTAGTTTCCAGTATATTTGTCATAATAAACAATGCTAAAATAAACATTCTTGCCCTGGCTGGTGTAGCTCAGTGGATTGAGTGCGAGCCTGCAAACCAAAAGGTTGCCAGTTTGATTCCGAGTCAGGGTACATGCCTGGGTTGCAGGCCAGGTCCCCAGTATGGGGCGAGTGAGAGGCAACCACACATTGATGTTTCTCTCACTCTCCTTCTCCTTTTCTTCCCTTCTCTCCAAAAATAAATAAAATCTTAAAAAAAGTAAACATTCTTGTACATATATTTTATATAATACTAGTAGACTTTCCAAAAATCCATGTGAAATTTCTGTATATATTTTACTTTATTCTAATAAAATTTTCTGCCATTGTACGAATTCCTTTTATTACTAACTACAGTGCTCTCCTCCCTCTCAGTTCACCCTCATTACAATGTCTAGCATCCTTATTTTCTTCAGAGAACTTATGTGATTTTTTTTTTTAACTTACTAGTGTACTTTTTGGCTTCTAACATAGGATATATGCTCTTTGGTAGCAAGATCTTATCTTCTCACTGCTTATAACCAGGACCTGGTACTTAGAAATAGTGTTTAATAAGTACTTGTTAAATATTTGCTGAATGGCCAAATAAATAAATCATTCATTTAGGAAATTTAGGTTTGATGGCTATCCTAAATTTCCCTTAGTCTCAGTTTTGAATGTTTCTGCCTGTTAATATACTTCTCATTTTTAATTTTTATAGAAGTTTTCTCAACCTATAGAAGGGTTTATATCTTAGACTCCTTTTGATTACTAGAAAAACTGTCTAGATTTATCTTTGTAATCATAAACAGATTATTGCCCTTTTTCTAAACTAAAAGAATTGCACATTCTTAAAAATAAAGGTTTATAGAAACACTCTGTTTGAAAACACATTTTTCTGAAATACATGAGGTTTTCATTTGACATGATAGATAATCAAGTTTCTTTTGTTTATGTAAATTACTGTTGAGGTTCTTGGGTTATCTTTTAGAGTAGAAAATATTCTTAAAAGACTCTTGAAAACAATTATTAGGGGATGTAATCCTTTCTTTGCAGAGAGATCCAATTTATTTTTAGAATGGATATTTCTTTAATCATAGGATATGAAATAACCTGGTTTTAGATATGTAGGAATTTCAAAAAGTTATTTATTCTCCATAGTACAGTATAAATCATTTATATTAATTTGGTTTCTTGAATTTTTATGTAACCTTTATATTGAGATTCTAAAAACTGCATGATGCTTGATATTATTACCACTTTGTGTTTCAGAATGTGCCCATTTACTTTTGGCTCACAATGCTCCAGTAAAGGTGAAAAATGCTCAGGGATGGAGCCCGCTGGCGGAAGCCATCAGCTATGGAGATAGACAGATGAGTAAGCAATATAAATTACTGTTGCTCTCTAGGCTAAACATACAGAGTGATGCATTTGGAATACTTTTCATTTACTGTAACTTCCCACAGTATGCAAAGTTTGCAGCTATTTATAAACTTATATATGCATTATTAGGAACTTGATCACTGGGTAATACACAAAAATAATTGAGGAACTATATTTAAAAGTATGTTTATTATTTTTTCTCTTTTTACAGCATTCAGTCCTACTGGTACTCTTCAATTTTTGAAAAATTCATTTAGAATGAAGGACTTTTTTAAACACATTGAGACCTGACTGTTCTTTCTAGCAACTGCTTAATTTTTTTGGAAGAGTAATTTGAACTGAAAATAATCAGTTATCTATCTGCTTTAATTGCTGAAAGTGAGGAACAAGTCTGCCTCCATTTTAGTCTTTAGAGAATTTCCATAAAAATGTCACATACCTTTTTCAAAGTATATAGTGTTCAGTTATTCCACTTTCCCTCCTCCTACGCTCCCCCACAACTTCATATACAGGTCTTATTTTTATAAGACACTTCTCAATAATTGAAAATTTTATAAAATTTGAATCTGGATGAATGAGATTATCTTCCTGGTAATACTGTCTTTTTATAATTTGAGGCTGAAAATGACTACTTCAGTCTAGCTTTGTAAAAGAAACTAAAACATTTTTGGTAGTTTTAATAAAGAAAAGCATAACATTGAACACTCCTGGGATGTTACATGGATTTAATTTTATTTTTGATGCTAAGTTTTGGGCTCTTATGGGCTTTTACCTTATGTTTTAGTTTTATATGTAATCCACATATTACATCTTTGTGGAGTTTCTGAACACCTTGGGCAACTTTTAATGGTGAAGTTAGATTTGGGCTTAAAATTTAATGTGAGAAAAAAATTGAAATATTTTAACAACTATAGGAGTGTATATATATTGTTATTCATTGAGAGTTGTCCTTCTGGACAAACTCTTCAGCTTTCCTCTGATCTAGACTGCTAGTTTCTTATCCACACTGAGACCTAGCTGTCTTTCCAGGAATTGCGTAGTTTGTACAGATTTACATTATGATATGTATACTATGGCAGTTTTAGGAATTATATCAGCCTCTGTCTTACTTTTGTAGCACATCAAAGGTTAGTTTGGAGGGAAAGAGGCAGTCTTATCCAGAACTGGCAGTCTTTTTGATTTGGCTTTCAACTTTGTATTTCTTCCTGGGAGAAGTCTTTCCTCAACTTCTGGAAGTAGGTTAACTTCTCCTTTTCATATATTTTGAAGTGGGTCACACTTTTCCTTTGTAGTACTCAGCATGCTTCAAATTAGTTGTTTAACAATGTCTGTTCCCTTCTCTGCATCCTAATGATACAAGCTTTATGAAGACTCAAGACCTATAGAGGCTATCTTATTTATCCTTTTATACCTGGTTCCCAGGCAGACTCTGGCACATATATTTGTTCAGTGAATTAATGAGGAAATGAACAAAAGCAGCATATAAATTTGAGACTGCTTAACAGGAATGAAAATATTTCTGTAAATCAATTAGGATTTTTGTTTGCCATAACTCTCCTGAGTTGTTGAAAACTTTATTTTTTCTTATGAGAAAGTAATGATTTTAATTATAGAAAATTACACAATTATAGAGAAAAAAAGAAAGAATTTTACCCAGAGATAACCACTATTAATATTTTATTATAAGTATTCTTTAGTTTCTTTTTCTGGTCATATTACTCTTTGATATTGAATAAAATAAAATAACCCTTTAAAAATTTCTATACTTAGAATGAAGATGAAAATCTCCAACTTGGTTTATAAGATCCAGAATGATGTCACTTTTTCATCTTCTTTATCTTGTTCTTTCTACATTGCTTTCTGTTTGTCAGCATTGCTAGCCTTTCAGTTTGTCATAGTCACACATCCTTTGCTTTTTGTCCCAACTTATAATTCTTCAGATCTCAACTCCAGTACAAGGGAGACTTCTCTGCTCATACAGTATTTCTGAACTCTACCCGTCACCCCCATTAGGCAGCAAGCTTCATTAGAACAGAGTTTGTCTTCTAAGTATTACCAGATGCATCTGAAACATAGTAGGGATGCACCATTGGCTTTGACATTGAGGAACTCATTGTAGTTTGGGGAGAGAGAGCAATGAATATTTGGTAGCATTCTGAACCATATATAAAGGGTGGAACAGTGGAGGGAGAAAGTAATTCTGGTTTTTTCAAGGTGTGGGTTATTTAAGTGGACTCTCAACAGATTTTAGGATTTAATAAGGTGGGTAAAGACATTCTAGCCCATAGGAGCAGAATATATAGAAAGCCTGGAAATGCAAAAAACAACAAAGTATATTTTAGAGAACTGTATTTCAGTGTGGCTTGCTAAAGTACAAGGCAAACATGGGTCCAGGGATGAAGAGTAGTTTTGGAAGATGAAGTTGTAATGATAAAGGGGATATCCTGAGATCTGCTTTATATGGTATTCAAGGTTTTGATCTCAATCTCCAGTCACTGCAAAATTCTAGAAGACTTCAAATCAGCAATTGAGATTATTGGATAAAACCCAAGATTTTTTTTCCCAGTGAGCATTAAAAGAAGAAAAATGTTTTTATTTTATTTTTAAAATATTTTCTCATTACATTTAGTCCCCTTATACTCTCCTCCCCCTTGCAATCACCACACTGTTATCCATGTCCATGAGTCCTTTTTCCTTTATGCTCAATCCCTCCACCCCCTAAAAAACCCCAAGACTTTTTAATTGAGCAGGAGGCATTAAGTTTTTAGGGAAAAAATCTTCAGATCAGATGTGGTAATCTTGTTTTAAAGAAGAGATACTATATTTAGAGAAGAGATAGATTAGAAAAATAATCACCCATTGCCAATTCTTTCACTTAGTTTAGCTCCTGGTAGTAATAGAAGGATTAAATTCCAAGGTCTTAAATATGGATTAATGGTGATCTCATTAATTAATTGATGTATGGAATATAGCAGGAATAACATTATGGGATTGAATTAATTAGATGTTGAGCTTGGTGAGTTTGAGTAATATGTGATACTTCTAGGAAGAACTGTCCAAGTAAGAAGTGGGAGATAATTAGACCGGAGTATAGAAGGAAGTGGAGGATGGAAGATACAGGTTTAAGTAATGCTTGGAGCAATAAGTAGGGAGTAGTTTCAGAAGCTTTAGGAATAATAAACTGAAAACTTTAAAAATACTTTACATGGGAGAAGGAAAAAAAATGTTAAATTAATTGGGGTTTATTGGAGTTCTTTATTTGAGTTTTTGTATGAAGTATATCTGATACCATCCAAATTCCCTAAAGCTAATTTTATCTTCCTTATCAATGTTAGGATTCTTACAATATGGAAGTACAAATAGTGAGACCTCAAAAACATACTGGGGATTTTGTATAATTGCATTCTGAATGTTTGTTTCTGCTTCCATAAGAAAGTTTGAGTTGAGGTAATTTTTTAAAAGTCAAGTTTCAAAGAACAAGAATCTCTTTTGCACATATTACTGTGCCATATATTGTTGTTGTTGCTACCTTTTAAATAACGTTTGATCATTTTTATGTCATTTTGTGTTATTTACAGAATGCCTTCAGTCAGTTACAAAACAACATATTTAGTGTATATAAATTGTGGCTCCTGCTGTACATTAAGATACCTTTTCAATCTAGGGATTGAATTCTTTTCATTTTTTACATTTAAGCAGAGGCCCACTTCAACACAAAGGCAAGAGAGATTGAATAAATATTTATTCAAGTATTTGAGCTTATAGTGAAGAAGAAAAGCATTTGGGTAATATATCCCTGATATTAGAGTTAAATTATAACAAACATGAAGGTTAACCAGATTCATATAAATTTGAATCTGTAAAGAATTTTAATGATTGTCTAGGTCAGTGGTTCTCAGACTATTTGGATTTCACAGACCAGAAAAAAAAATTTATTTGAGGATTAATGCAGAATAGCTAATAACATTTTTTATTTTAGCATATAAGAACTTAAAAAAAAAACTGCTTTCTTCGGCAATTTTATTTTTAAAAAAGACATTTTGAACCAAAAGTAGTAGAAAGAATAGTTCTTGAATTGAAGTAATATGTAATTTATAAAGAAACAAACCCATCCTAGTTCCCAGTTTTTTGATATCGCTGTATATCACTGGAAACTCGAACAATTGGGCACTGAAATGTAGACTTGTATTTGGGAACTGTTGACCTAGTTCACAGAGCTAGTTTATAAATGAAACTAGGTCTCATGTTCTCTGACTTTTGGGTCTCAGTCTCTTCTGTTCTGAAAGATCTTCAGTAATTTAAACATTGTTCTATGGTTTTTGGCTTTTTAAACTATATTGGAGTTATTTATTGTTAGACCTGTGGTTAAATGTAAGAATAAATTTTACTGTTCTTCAGAATTCTTCTTTGGCCTTTGACTGATTTGGCCTATGCGGAAAAAACAAATCTTGGCCAAGCTTTCACTGCTGTGTTCTTTCTATTTGTTTGTTCCTCTCTTTCTTTCCCTCTTTCTTTCTTTTTGTCCCTCTTCCTTCCTTCCTTCTTTCCTTCCTTCTTTTCCTTTCCTTCCTCCCTCCCTTCCTTTCTTCTTTCCTTCTTTCTTCCTCATTTTTTCCCTTCTGCTTCTGTCTGTATTCTATATAGGCTTGAAAAACTTTATACGAATCATACTGTAAAATAGAAAAAATACTATTTTTATATATATGTATATGAAAAAATATGTCAGAACAAGGAGGAAATCTGCATGTGTTGATGTATGAGTACACATTTTTTACACCTCACTACATATTTTTCTATCTTCTTATTTTTTCTAGCCTTAATTCATTCCAGTATAGTATTTTCACTTATTTTAATAAATGTTAGGGATTGGCTGATTTTTGCTAGTCAATTTTAGACCTTCATTCTAATAGATAAAAATTATATTTACTTAATTGTAGGTACACTAGTAAGGGATTTATATTGAGGCTTTACAGTAACTCTGCATAGTAGATTTGACTTTACTCTTATTTGACAAATGGAAAAAAAGACACTTAACTTTGGGAAAATGTAGTTAGTTGTCCAAGTTTACACATAGCTAATAAGTAGTAAAGCTGGGGTTTACATTTAACGTGTTTAATAAATCTCAATCTCTGTTGAAATCTCAATCTCAACTGTTGAGAAAACATTAAGGAGGTCTTCAGGTTTTATTAGATTCAGAAGTTATTTTCACAGATAGAATAGGATTTATTTTTATACATTTTTTCTGTATTAGTAATAGGTGAGAATACAACCTCTAGTGAAAAAAGAACAGGTACACCTGGTAACAATTGTAGATAATTATGTTTTTAGAAAAGTGGTATTCAATGGGATTTTTGAGAGCTGCTGTGTTTGAGATATTTTAGATTGGTATTACTACAGGATATTGCAGCATCTGACTGAGGTTGGTAAATCTTGGCTCAGTCAGTATGTAACCTAAATTTGTACTGAAAATTAAAAACTAAGAAAACTAGTGTGATTGAATATAAATTGATATTGAGGTATCTTATCTCAGTTTTCCTTTGGAACCATAACAGTTTACTAAACTTACTTGCTAACTTGTTCACAATATCTACATATTTCAGTATATTTGTATATAAGCCAGTGGTGTCTTTTATCATGGTGAAATCTATTTTAAATTAATTTTTAAAAATTTAAATCTTAGTTACAGCTCTTTTAAGGAAGCTTAAGCAGCAATCCAGGGAAAGTGTTGAAGAAAAACGACCTCGATTATTAAAAGCTCTGAAAGAGGTAGGCTATATTTCTTTGTTGATTTTGCACCCCCAAAATAATTATAAGTGTAGTTTTTAAGCATTTTTTAAAATACAGTCGAATTTCTCACTAATTAGTAAGGGTCGAAGCATGGTAAAAATCCTGCTTAAAATAAGCAATAATAACAAATACTCTGATTATACTCTTATGGGAAGCACCATTTACTTTGAGCTAGGAAAGTAGATAAAGAAGTACTGCTTGCAATACATTAGATGAGAGCTCTTAAAAAAAAAAAGGAGGTGGGACATAACTAATGGCCATAATTTTTCTGTGTTCTTTGATTTAGAAGATTCTCTAAGAGCTGAAGCTGCTGCTCCTGACAGGAGCAGTTTGCAGCTTCCTTAGATGACAAAACTTTTTTTCTTTTTTTAGATTTTATTTATTTATTTTTAGAGAGGGAAGGGAGGGAGAAAGAGAGAGAGAGAGAAACATCAATGTGCGGTTGCTGGGGGCTGTGGCCTGCAACCCAGGCATGTGCCCTGACTGGGAATAGAACTTGTGATGCTTTGGTTTGCAGCCCACACTCAATCCACTGAGCTACGCCAGCCAGGGCTTAGATGACAAAATTTTTTTGTGTCCTACTTCATGATAGTAGGAGCTGCGGGTGCTTGCACAGAAAGATTGATTTTCTGCTATTTTCTTCTGTATTTTTTTTAAAGATTTTATTATTTGTTTTAGAGAGGGGAAGGGAGGGAAAAAAAAAGGAGAGAAATATCAATGTGCGGTTGCCTGTGTGTGCCCCTTGTTGGAGACCTGGCCTGCAACCCAGGAATGTGCCCTGACTGGGAATCGAACCAGTAACCCTTTGGTTCATGGGCCAGTGCTCTATCCACTTAGCCACACCATCCAGGGCTGGGTCATTTTTTTCAGACCATTATAAGGCTACACAAATAATCATTTTGGAAATCATTTTTATAACCCTCTAAAGTTATTAACTACTTTTACAATAATACTAACTGATATTTCAGTTATGCTGAGAAATAGCATATTTACTGATGCAAATTTAAAGGTCAGTTTCAGATTTGTTTCTATGCAATTAAAATGTTGTTATGAAACTCACAGTGGTACATATTTTCCTGTGTAGATAAATGTTGTAATGTGTGCTATTGTAATATTTTAAGTAATAAACATTTTTTCTTTAAACATTGAAAATTTTCTATTCTTGTCTATAGACCTTTAATGATAACAGATTTTTTTTTTTAAAAGCAAAATGTTAAGTAGAGATAACGGTTGTTAACTAGAGATGCATTCAGTAATTATTCATATTTCATTTCTCAGCTAGGTGACTTTTATCTAGAACTTCACTGGGATTTTCAAAGCTGGGGTAAGAGTGTGCTATATTTTATTATAAAATATGTACACATGCAGAATCGTGAGTGTAAAAATAACTATTATATAGAAATATTAACATAACAAATCTGATACTTGCCCTAAGGAAAATTAGTGTTTTCTATCACATTGAATATAATGGTTATAAGGCACTGGAGTGTTATTTAGTGACCTCAACCTTATTAGTAACTTTTATAATTCTTATTTTTAAGATTAAAAAGTCTTAGTTTTTAAAAAATAAAATGCAGGTTTAAGTATTGTACTAATTTAATATAAGGAATTTTCAAGGGAAGAGAAGTATAATTATGAGATTATTAGATTAATGAATTTAAGGAAGTTTGAAATATAGTAGTTGGCTCCCTGAATGTGCAAAATTTTGTTAACATTTGATTTTGCATATTTAACTTTCAATCATTTTTGTCACTTTTACTGTATCCTTAATAGCTTCTGTTTTAATATATTGTTTGGTTGCACCGTTTCTGTTATTATGAGAGACTTTAATTTCTAGATATTTTACAGTTATTGATTTTACCTTGGTAGCTTTCTTTTTTCTCCATTGCCAAAATAAGAAGTTTGATCTTGTGACCTTTACTAGCTAAACAACTATCAAAACAACTACATTTTGTTAAAAAAATTTCTTTTAATGTAATCTATATATAGGTTGGGATATAATGAGCTTACATGTGTTTTTTTTTTAAGCATCTGAATTAAATTTTATGATAGAAAGATATAAAGATTTGAAAGTTCAGTAATATTTATCCTAAAATAATTGTAAAAGTAAATCATAAAATAATTATAAAAATAAATCAGGTATTGACAACTATAGAAACCACTGTTAACATTTCATGCTAATGCTTTCAAACCATTTGCAATGTTTACAAATGTGTGTGTATGCACAAATATATATATGTATATACTAAGTATTAGTTTTTTTATGGACTCATACTATGTATGTCATTATGCAATTTGTCATTCTTACTAATATGTTACAGGCATCTTACCATACTAGTTGATGAGGAAGTATTTTATTTATTTTAACAGCAGCATGCCTGATTAAAGTTTTTCAAGTTTGTTTAATCTCTAAATACAGAGGTTTAATCATTAAATAAAATTAGTTCTCTCCAAAATTGTTACAACTTTAGCTTGTCAGGCCAGTTATGGCTCCATCAAAATTACAAGTGATTTTATTATTCTGATAGGCCTGTCTTGCCTTTATGCTTTATACATCATTCAGAAATCCTGGTGTACCATACCACTGAGAAAAAAAGACATCTGTAGTAGCTTTGTATAATAAAAGAGCTCCAAGTCAAATTGGTCTAAAGCCTGAATGCATTTTTTCACCCTATTTTTTATCCTTTGTATAGACCTCCATCTTTCTTTGTGGCTTTAAGGTTGTTCCTTGAGTGTATTGGTTCTTTAACTGATTTTCTTAGTAATATTGGTGGTTTAAATTCTAAAATAGTCAATTTATCTTGCTGAGCAAAATGTTTTAAAATATTTTAAAAGTAACATTTCAATTGTATGAAGAAATAGAAATGAATGTAATCATTGCTGAAATTGTACATATATCTGTAGTTATAAACATATTATAAATGTTGCATAATCAAATTCATGATGCAACCACTGAGGTACTTATTGAAAGTATTGATTCTTTGAGAACTTGACTTTGACACAAAAGTCAGCACATCTGTTTAATTACTGATAAAGGATTTTTCTGATTTCATGCCAAAACTAACACTTGGTGGCTAGATTTAGTTTAGACACTTAGGATGAATAAAAAATACTGGATAATTTCTATTATTAGATTTGATTATCAAGCTTTTTTCTAAAGTTTAGGCGTTTCTTCTCCTTGTCAAACCACTAATAAAAAAATAACAGGCAACCCAGAAGTAAGAGAATCTAAGAAATATTGAGATCCCAGGGATAAGTTAATTTAGAGGTTGTGGAGTACACACACTCTACTCCTCCTCGTATTGTGTTATATTCAGTGTTTGGCTGAAAATAGCCTCAGACTTGGTTAAAGTAGGGAGAATAATTGCCCCATTGTAAATTTTTGTTCTGGTATGAAATGAAATCTTGCTTTTGAAGGAAGCCTTATATATATTGTAAAATGTTAAATAATTTATAGTATTGTAATCATTACTTCAAATTTAGAACTATGCATACAGTACTTTGCAACAGAAAACTGAGAGTTTTAAAAATTTTTGTATCTTGTAATCTGTAGAATACCCATCCCACCCTATATATTTGGAATTGTTATTTACATATTATGGATAGAAAACATTAAGTTTACAAACATTAATTAAAATCAGGGAGTAAGTGATAGCAAAACCAAACTTTAAATTTGGAGACTCTTTATTTTTCAGTTCAGTGATTTATGCTGCCTTTGAAATACAGTGTCAGACTCTCAGGTTATATAGAGATAACTTAAAATGTAGACAGCTTAATTGTTCAATTTATACAAGAAAGGAAAAAGTCATCACAGAAATGGGAAAATGTAAATTGCTTTATTTTTAGAATGCATTAATAGCAGACTTTTTTTTTCACTTGCTATTATTCCTTCTTTTTATTCTGAGGTTTTTCCTCTCAATCCCTCAAATTCCCAAGCTTCTTTTTTTCATATCCTGATTTGTTTTACATAAATATTTAACATCTTTAAATGCTCTTCAAAAAATGTTATTTTCAATTACTACAAATATATTTTCTCCCTCACCCCGACTGGGGATCAGACCTGCTACCTAGGTATGTTCCCTGATTGGGATCTAACCTGAAACCTTTTGGTGTATGGGATGATGCCCCAACCATCTGAGCCACCTGGTCAGGGCTCTCCTTGTTTTATTTTTAAGTGGCTTTCTTATTTGCTGCATTAGATTATTTTCTTGGGATTTATTTATGAAATAATTTTGAAGTTGTGTTTATGGAAAATTACTTCTAAGCTGCTTTTTTCTTTGCATTCCTTTCTCCTTTTCTGATTTTTTGATAAGTAGGTATTGGTATATGATTCTAAATTTTGCCTCTGTAGGTTACCGTACTATTTCAAAAGATGTAATAAATTAAGTTAAATAAATTTAGAGTGCTATAGTCTTCTAATCACCTTGTTTATGCTACATCAGATATTTGAGGTCAGGAAAACTGGATCCCAAATAATGATCATGAAAGAAGAGCTTTGACCATTTACATAAATTTCTGCTATTATTGTTCTTTTCAACTTCTGTTGTTTCATATCAGGAATTAAAAAAAAAAATTGATCCAGAGAGAGAGGCAGGGAGGGAAAAGGAGGAGAGAAACATTGACCAGTTGCCTCCTGCACATGCCCTGAATGGATACCGAATCTGCAACCCAGGCATGTGCCCTGACCAAAAATCAAACCTGCGACCTTTCAGTCTGCAGGATGACGCGCAGCCAACTGAACCACACTGGCCAGGACAGAAAAAATTTTTATCAGAAAATGATTTGTTATATTCTTTGACTAGGGTAACTCTTAGTAGATATTCTGTTCTCTTTGGGCAGTAAACTTTTCTTATTTTTATACAAGAAAATGTCTAGAAACCTGTCTTTGTTGCTGGAAATCATTTTGGATTAAATAACCTCTCCAATTTTAAAAAAGCATTGATATATTAAGTGTACCCTTAGTGTTAAGTAGAAAATATTGATGCTTTGAAAAAGTTAACTAAAAAAAAAGTCTTTAATTTTCACTGCAGTTTTTGTTTCTTTCTAACCCTGGTTAGTTTATTACCCATTTTTGAACACTGAATTTTAAAAAATACATCTTTAATATATTTTACACACACTCTCACGCATGCTCACATACTCACATACACATCTGATATCTTAATTTCAGGAATTTTGAGCTTCACACTTCTTTCTTTTTTAATATGTAGTAGTTTATTATGGCCTGTTAGGTGGATTTAGTCATCCATAGAATGACTCTTACCTGCCACCCCCAACATAGTAGATAATAAGTAATAAAAAACTATCAAAAGATAGCTGTGATAGGAATGTGAGCAACATTGGAATGTAGACATCTATAGGTAAAGAGTATGATTCCACTGTATAAATTTTGAAACTGAGGTACAGTGTGCTTAAGTAACCAAGGTCACATACTTGAGATTCAAACTCAGATTCAGTTATTTAGCTTTAAAAATCTCTCTTCCTCTTATACACATTACTTCCTATTATTTAATCACATTATATTTAAAGGATCAGCTAGGATTCAGGTATATCTAGTTACCTTTTCAGGTGGGGTTAGTAACCCTAGGGCATTGTTTTTGTTATCTGTAATAATATTCTGCAATATGTACCATATTTTGCTGTATATAATGCATACTTTTTGCCCAAATTTTTGAGGGAAAAACGAGAATGCGCATTTTACATGGGTAGTACTTGAAATACCTTGTACCTGTTCCTGTGTTTTGTAATTAATTGTTACATAAAATTTCTTGTACCATAGTATGTTAAAAAATAAATGCTAAAATTCCTCTATAATACAAAAAACAGTATCTAAATATAAATAAAATGAATTAAGAATTAGAACTAGAGATTTTTTCCTGAAAGTTTAAGCCAAAATTGTGAGTGCGCAAATAATACAGGAGTGTATTATACATGGCAAAATATGGTACCCACAAGTAGCATTATATCAACTCTGCTAACTGTGTGGGTGGGTGGGCAAGGATGGTGGTGGGGAATGTGGTGAACTATGTAGCAAACACAATTAAATAATAGATACTTGAAGTTGCTCAAAATTGCTTTATATATTAAGTGGTAAAATACTGTTTTAAAGAAAATCATTATAATTTTGGTAAATTTCTAAAATGTTTGCATTACTCTTCTGATTAAGAGATTTATAATGTTTCAGAACTTTAGGTGGTTAATTTTATCTTTTATTTTTTAAAAACACAGTGCCTTTACTTTCCCGAATTCTGCCTTCTGATGCTTGTAAAATATACAAACAAGGTATCAATATCAGGTAAGGTGACTTAATTTTTTTTCCAAGTAACAGAAAATTGAGATTTGGCGGAAGCTTTCTTTTCTGTAGTAATAGCTTACATTTGGATGTAGTATTTTATAACTTAAACATGCTATAAATACATTCATAATATTTTATCTCATTTGAGACATACTACAGATAACTAAAGGCATAAAATCTTGACTAAAACAAAGGTATTGTTCTTATTCAACTACAGAGTATCTAGAAGGCAAACAGTGAAGATCATGATGTAATACTAAGAAGATTTAAGATGGTCATCTCTCTGATCCTGGCTTTTTCAGGAATAAGGGACACATAGGAAGACCTAACTCTTGTCTTTTTTTCTCCATCCTTCTCATACCCTTCTCTCCCTGACTACCCATTTATGAGTCTATCCATTCACCTATTCAATCATTCATATCTATTCTAGTGAACTCTTTAAGGCTAATTTTAATTTTCTTCTGTTTTCTTTTAAAATAAGATTGATGGTTAGATCTTATGGGAAATCTATTTATTTTACTCATTTTAGCATTTTACTTTTATCATCCCCTATATCTTTAGCCTAGATATATTTATAAATTAAGCATATGGAAGCTATATATAATGCTAGTGAATATGCTAACTTATATGTATATATACATGTATATTAGTATATCTATAAATTATATAGATATATGTATGTGTTTATACATTTCACAGAATATTAATTTGAACATATGAGAGTCTAGAACTAGAAATGTTATGAAATATTATTTCATGTAAACTGTTTTATAGATGAGAAAGTTCAGAGAACTGAAGTGATTTTTAGAAGATCATATTGACAAATAATAGCTGAGCCAAGACCTGACTTCCTGTCCTTTCTCACCATGTCACAAGGCAGAAATTTTAAAAAATCAATTTTTTATAAAATTTATTATGTAATATGCTGAATTCTAGTGAAGAGATAACCTTTGGTTTGAAACAAGTTCTCAGGTAATTATTCTTAAGCAGAATTTGGTTAAATAAGATGTTTCTGTGGTTTTGGTTTTTAAAAATAACCTCAGATGTTTCTAATTATGAAAGTCCTTGTGGACATTAAATTTATTGTAATTATAGAAGCCTGGGAAAATACAGAAAAACATAGAAGAGAAACTAGGAAAGGATTTGATACTGATGTAAATTTAATTCAGCATCCAGTTGTTAGCAATATATTATGGATTCATCAAAAAATTATTTGTCATTTTAGCCCTGGCCAGCATAGCTCAGTGGATTGAGCGCGGGCTGTGAACCAAAGTGTCGCAGGTTCAATTCCCAGTAAGGGTACATGCCTGAGTTGCAGGCCATTACCCCTAGCAATCACACATTGATGTTTCTCTCTCTCTCTCTCTCCCTCCCTTCCTTCTCTAAAAATAAATAAATAAAATCTAAAAAAAATTATTTGTCATTTTAAAAATGTTTAATATAGGCGCTGGCCAAAGGTAGTAGATAATTTGGAAGAATAATATTTTCTTCCATGTGCTACTTTAAAAAAAAAAAGGTTAGCTTTAGTTTTGTTTGTTTTTTTTAGAAATAGGGAAAACAGGCATAACTTCTTTTTAGAAAATTGTTTCACAGTTATATTTGACTTTCGGAAGTAAATTTTATAATGAATATTACATAATAAGTATAGATAATAAATAAAACCACAAAATGGTTAATAAGAGCCTGATGGGAAGCTACTGTAATGTAGCAAGACATTCACACCTAGGGCTTACTAGCAGCTGGTGCTAAAACTCTCATTACCAAAGTTCACCATGCTCATGGAGAGGCTGGATTTTAGGATGTTTGGTAAAGACTTTTTGTATAAGTGACAAGAATTGACTTTAAAAAAATCTGTTAGCATTGAATACAAACTCTCAGATTTAAATGTCATGGGATGATTAGTTTGTTTTCTTTTAAACATCACTTCAAATCTGAATTTTAAACTGCTCAAAGGAATTTTTTCAGTTTACTATATCTCATGATGGCCATCTGATCATGTAAAATACCTTCTTTGGTGCCAAGGAGAGAGTAATACTTTAGTAAAAAATAGGAAAGTGTGAGCAACTTTATTGTTGGGAATAGTAAGTAAACATTTTTACTATTAATATTAATAATTTTAGGTGATCTGTACCCACTGACTGAAATGATTATTGCAAACTTTGCCTTTTCAGTCTTTTCCTGTTTCAAGAGAAGACTGTATTTTTTTGTCCAGTGTTATTTCACATTTTCCAAGTTTTTATCTCAGGAAATATTTTGTATTCTAGTCTTTTCATTTGTATAAAGAATTTTTCATGTTTTATAGCTGTTACATAACAAAAATTAAAAATATTTAGGTTCATAGGCTTAAAGCCAAGGACAAGTTAAGATATTAAAATATCATCATGAGAAATTTTATCATTGTGAACCATGCGTGATATGTAACAGGCAATCTACTATGTCAGGGATATTGCATAACATGTATTAGATACTCTAATTCAAGTTATAGTAACACAGATGAAACAAAAATGGACTGGACTGATTTTAGGTATGACTACATATGGTAGCTTAAAAATCACTGTGTCAGTCTGCCTTTGCCCCTTTTCTCACTGTTTCCACCCTTGCCTCTTACAGTTCACTACCACTCATCCAGGGTGGATGGAATGGAGGCAGAAGACTCTTCTGGTCCTTTTTAAAATGGTTTTTTTTTTTTAATATGGGGTGTATAGTTCCCTGGTAGTTGAAGTTTGGAGTCCAAATAGGGCACATACATGAAATAATCTGTTTCTTTTTGATACTATCAGTAGTCCATGCCTTATGAAGGTTGAGAATAAGCCCCTTTCACTGGTATCATTCTCTCTAATGACACACATACAAGCAATGACAGGACAGTTTAGTGGTGGAGGCGCTAGGAGTATAAAGCAGACCACCAGAAGTAGACCAGGAGCTGGAATTCAGCTACAAAGCAGCAAACAGGGTTCACCCCTGCAGGAGGTGGTGATTTGATTTTTTTCAGTGCTTCCTGATTTCATTCTGAGGGAGATTTATATAGATATATATTATATATATAAGTATATTTATATTTATATTTATAAATATGGCTCAGAAAAGAGCCCATTACACACAGGGTTATCAAATTTCCCTGTTTGCTCTGGTTCATCCCTGTTTTCCTGGTAAAATTATTAATAATACCACTTTCACTTTTAAAATTTATAGTGTTAGTGATATAATTCTAGTTTTTCTTTTGATGCAGCATGTGAGATTATGTTCTATTTCTCAGCTTTTTCTGCGGAAACCAAGAATGCCCATTCACTTTGCCTTTACCTAGGTGAAAACTAACAAACCTACAAAGTAAAGAATTCTTATAATTGAATTAGAAACCCAGTAGCCAGGGTGGCTCTCTCACAAAGACTTAAACGTGTTTCCTTGGATATGATCAGAATCTTGTAACATATGTGTCAACCCATTTCTTAGACTAAGGACCATGTTTTGAGCAGCTAGTCAGAGGGGTCCTGATGTGATCTACAAAGCTATCACAGATTGAAGGACTTAAGGGTACTTGAGAACTTTTCCATTCCAGTATTCTCCCTAATTTCAGTAACTACTGATATGTGGAATTTATTTGGGACCAACTCATTGGGGTAGACCATGCCAGGTCTTGGTTACCAAAGAGCATAATAAACACATGAGTGTGTGAATCTATGAGGTTTTGACACAGGAATGACCCATAACATTTCCAAACTGTGGAGGTGTTGGAAAAGAGAATGCTAATTGAATCTGGGAAGTCAAACAGAAAGGCCAAGAATTTGGAGTAAGTTAAATGGCTTACCAAGCGGAAGGATGAAGCAAGTTTTTGTAACTGATGGTTAGGGATAAGGCATAGGTGTAGAAGACTGTGGACACACATTCCTTAATCCAAGAATGTGGTACATCCATTGCTTTACCTCTCTTACATGCCCCACTGAACCAGTAACATGGTCTTAAAGGGATCAAAGAATGTTAGGTCTTTTTCTGTCCTTTCCAGTTGTAACTTTTATGGAAATGGTAGGGAACAAGGGTACCTTTAGGGAAATACTTCAACACTGGGGAAACAATCTTCTTGCTGGGTTAATGAACTATGTATTCAGAGAAGTGAAATATAGAATAAATGGAATATATTTAAATATTCTTTTGGTGTTTTTTCTTAAAAATAAAGTATTTTAAATTTAGCTTTTATCTCTAAATTTGACTTCGAAATATGTATTAGCATCTTGGTTTGATTTTAGAAGGAACAAAACTTGTTTAATTGTCATGTAGTTTTATTGAAATTTATTTGTCAGCATTTCTCATCTAACCATCTTTCACAGGCTTGACACTACTCTCATAGACTTTACTGACATGAAGTGCCAACGAGGGGATTTAAGCTTCATTTTCAATGGGGATGCAGCACCCTCTGAATCTTTTGTAGTATTAGACAATGAACAAAAAGTTTATCAGCGAATACACCATGAGGTGAGCATGTTTTCATAAAAATATTCCTCTACATGGTTTTTAAAAATGTCTTTGTATGCAACCATGCTTCAGTGTAGTTGTAAAAGGCATAAGGCATAATTGGGATGGTTCAATCCTATAGCTTTCATTTTCATACTACTAAAATTTTTTTAAAAAGTTATCATCTGGTTGTCATCTTGACCAGTCAGTTGAGTCTATTTGCTCATAATTCAATGATGATCTGTTAGTTAAATGAACTCCATTTTCCCTTAGTTCTCATGTGTTGAACCTGTGCTGACCCTTTTATCATTTATTATCTTGCAACCTTAGCTTCTTTTAAAATGTTGCTGACCATCTCTTTCTCCTTAATAGGAACACCTCTTTTGATTTTCTGTCTGTACTCTCACTTTTTCTGACTCTCTGGCTACCTTTCTTTTATCTTTTCCTTCTTAGAGTACAAATTTATCTTCCTTCTGTCACATCATAAATCCATGTTGTATTGCCTCCACAACCATCAGTGAAAACCACATGCACCATTATCCTTATCCTTAGTTCCCTGAATGCTCCTTTCCCTGCTTTTCAGAGATACTGGAAAGAGAAAGCTTTCCTCCTATCTCTTTATCATTGATAGTCCTACAATTTTTCTTTTAGTCAACATTTGTTTTGTCACTGTTGCTTTTTTAATTCTGTTTTTACTTTTCTCCACTTCAATTCCCCATATTGTCATTCACCACATCTTATGGTTCCTTTCTCAACATCTCTTAGATTAGACCTTCCTACTACCATATCTATTGATGAGACCTTAGTTACCTTGTACGTGTACTATTGAAAAGTAGTTTCCTAACTGGCACTGAACAATGAAGATTTAGATGGGAAGAGGAGAAGGTATTCCTTGTGGAGCACACAGGGTGAGTAAAGTCAGGGAAGTGGGAGTAAGAATTGTCTTTGGGGAAAAGAGAGAAGAGATCTATCTGCTTGCAGTGAAGGTTTCTCTTATTGAGTATGGGAACATGGTTTATGGAAGGCCTTAAAAGCCAGATAAGATAAGATAACTTAGAACTGATGTAGTTGGTAACAGAGTCATAGATTCTTAAACAAAGTATTGATATAATCCAAAAGTAATATAAGTGAATTAATCATATGTATTTCTTTCACTTTTCCTTCTCCCCTCTCTTCCTTTCTTAAACATTTGTCAAGGACCTAATAATTACTAAATACTGTTAGGGGCTATGGACAGTGGTACTGTATTGATAGTGTATATCAATTACTATCATATGTTAGTATTGTATTAAGCATTAATTGCCAGCATATTGGAACTATTATTTAAGTACATTAATTAAAAAACGCTTCTCACTAAATTCTTAAAATAACCTGTCAAAGTAAATACTTTTATTATCTTCATTTTACACATGAGAAAATTGAGGCTTATAGATGGATGTTAAATGACATTTGTGAGATCACACAGGTAGTATGCAGGATAAATTGGGTAAGGAAGAGATTGGAGGCTGGGAAATTATGTGAGAAGTTGTTATGGTTATACAGTTGAGAGGTGATGAGGATCTTGACTTGGAAGGGGCAGTGAATAATTAAAAAGAGAAATTATGACTTGCATTTCCAAGAATGAAATAATTGGACTTGCTAAAAGATTGAGTGAATTAGGAATTGGAAGGATTTAAGGGTGAGTGTAATGATTCTATCCTGAAGAATGGAATAGTGGTGATTCCACTGATAGAACTGGGGGAAAGGAAATAGGTTCGGGGTTTTGGATGATGCTCAATTTGAGTCCATTGCTGAAATCAGTGCATTTGTTTCAACCCTTTCTTTACTAGACTTCTCTGAATATTTGCTTTTATTGAAAACTCAATTCGTAAAATTTTCTTTTCCTTGTGATTTGGTCAGTTGTTCCCTTCTCCACCTTATTCTCCTTTGCCTCTTCTTTTTTTTTGTACTCACCCCTAGAATTTTCATTTGCCTCTGGTGTAGTTTTCATTTTTACAAGCTGGCAGAATACTCTCTTCTATTCCCATACAAAGTGTATGTTTGTATCCCAGATAGATCTTCTGAGTGGAGACCTATCTATTGAAATGTCTAGTGGAATATCATGAATTTCACCCAGGTAACTTCATAATTTAGCTCATCTAAAACTAAACTCATTATTTTCCCATCTGCCTGCCCTTTCTTCCATTTTCCTTCTTTTGGTGAATGACATCATTCTCTGTTCAACCAGAAAACTGGGAGTTGTTTTTGACATTTTTTCTTATATTCCGTGTTTCTTAGTTAGAGAACTTGTGTGGTTATTTCTGTCTTCCTATGTTTTATAAGTATCCCTTTTTAAGTTCATACTGCCAATGCCTTTAATCAATTAATTAATTTAAAAAATTTTGGTTTTATTTGTTTTTGGAGAGAGAGGAAGGGAGGGAGAAAGAGAGGGAGAGAAACATTTGATGAGAGAAACATTCATTGGCTGCCTTTCTTATGTGGCCCATGTGGGGTCTGAATCCGCAACCCAGGCATGTGCCCTGACTGGGAATCAAAACTGTGACCTTTCCCTTTGTGAGATGACGCCCAACCCATTGAGCCACACTGGTCAGGGCAGTGCCTTAATTTAGATATTATCTTTCGACTGACTATCACAAATCTCCTACATGACTTTCCTGGTCCCCCTCTTGTCTGCATCTGAATTATCTGATATACTGGAGACAGATTCAACATTGAAAACAAATTGATGAAACCTGCCTTCTTTAAGGACATTTAAAAAGTTCCCTATACCTAAAGGGTGAAATCCAAATTTCTTAGCATGATATGGTTCCTTCTGTGATCTGGTGTTTGCTCATTTTTCCAGCCTTTTTCTTACTTGCTGTCTTAGATACCTTAGTACTGAACTCTTTGAAATTTTTTCAGATATACCAGGCTCTTTAGCACTTTGTTTCTTTGTTCACATTGCTTTACTTCCTGGCATGCCTCTTTTCTTACACCCTTACAGTTGTGGGGCACCTGCTTGGTGTCACTTCCTCCCCTGAGCATTTTCTTTATGCTCCCACTGAATTTGGTACCATAGAGCTGATTCTGCTGTATGTGTTTATGTGGCTTTCTTCCTCTATTGGATTAAGTTCCTCAAGGTTACGAGGTTCATGTAGCATTCTCTGGTTCCCAATACAGCATCAATATATTCTAGGCCAGAGTTTGGCAAACTCTTTCTGTAAGAAAGAGATAATCAATATTTTAGATATTTAGTATATTTGCATGTCACAACTATTCAACTCTGCTGTAATTAGCATAAAAGCAGTCATCATCAATATGTACATGAATGATTATAGCTATATTCCAAGAAAACTTTATGAAAACAGGGAGTGGACTAGATTTGACCTGTTGGCCATAGTTTGCTGACCTTTATTCTAGACTCATATTCATTAAATAATTTGACCTTGCATATTAAATGAGAATAGCATAGCTAACTAGGCATAGGTAGGCTGGACATATGGTGCTGAAAGAGAAGCCAGAGATTAAGGCCAGTAGAGTTAATATTAGCTGATGTTACAGTATTGATGAGATCACCAAAGGACTGGTATTTATGGTATGTATATGTGTGTATTTTATGCCTAAGAATTACAGAAAAGCTGGATTTTTGAGCAATAATTGTTAAGGCAGGAAATACTTGTTCTAATATGCATATATGAGTAATAATTGTTCAATAAATCCTTGTTGAATGAATATAATTAACAGCAGATCTTTTTTCAATGATGTGGTTAGGTGATGATCAGTTTATGATTTACAGAAAAGTTCTATTCTAAAAAATCATTTAAAAATAAGGTGTTTGAAACTCAAGGCAAATTTCTTTAACAGTGTTTTGTGTAGTGTTGTTCCCAAACTAACAAATAAAATCCTACTTGATTCATAATATATTTGAAGGATGTCTGACAGTTCTGTACAGCCTATAGTAACCCAAATTTTTCATTAGAAAGTTGTGTGCAGAATTAGGTTGGGTTACCGGGAATACATTTTTACCTTAGCATTAATGTCAAGGGTTTCCATTTCTCACTTATAAGTGAGGGTGAAGGAAATGTTACTATCTCAGTCCCAAGGTATTGCTGTTTTTTTTCCTGCCCTAGCTGATTGTCCAGTTGGTTGGAGTGTTGTCCAATATACCAGAAGTTTGAGGGTCTGATTTCTGGTCAGGGCACATACCTGGGTTGTAGGTTCAAACCCAGGTCTGGGCATGTATGAGAGGCAACTGATTGATGTTTCTGTCTCCTCTCTCTCTCTCTCTCTCTCTCTCTCTCTCTCTCTCTCTCTCTCTCTCTCTCCCCCTCCCTCCCTCTCTCCCTCCCTCCCTCTCTCTCTCCCTCTCTCCCTCTCTCTCTCTCTTTCAAACAAACAAAAACTCAAAAAATATCCTTAGGTGAGTATTAAAAAAAATAAAAGAAGTGAACTATATCTGGGTGAAAATTTGGTAGTGAAGCCTAGAAAATGGGTCTCTTGGTAAAATAGAAATCAGGAAGTATAAGAAATAGAGCCTCTAGCCTTGTAAACCCTGTGGACATTTCCCATTCTCCAGTCAGCTCTCTAGGTTCTGACTTTTCTTCTTCTTTTTTTCTTTCCTTAAGACTCTTTGGTCCTTCCTTGGCTGGTGTGGCTCAGTGGGTTGAGCTTGCAAACCAAAAGGTCACTGGTTCAATTCCCAGTCAGGGCACATGCCTGAGTTGCAGGTCAGGTCCTCAGTTGTGTGTGTGTGAGAGGCAACCAATTGATGTATCTCTTGTACATTGGTGTTTTTCTCTCTCTTTCTTTCTCCCTCACTTCCCCTGCCTGTAAAAAAGTAAATAAATAAAATCTTTTAAAAAATAAATGTATGTGTGTCTTACAAAAGAGCAACTTCTTTGTTTCAAAAAAACCCCCCCACAAAACTCTTTGGTCCTAAGTATCAGAGACTCTTGGCATATTGAAGAATAGAACCTCATCTTATACCTGCTCAGTTACCCTACTGTACCTGACCATTGGTCTAATGTTTTTGAAGCAGACACAAAGCTTTCTTTTTTTTCTTATTTAAAAAATGTTTTTGATCACTTATTATGTGTCAGCACTTGGAGAATATGCAGAAGGAAGGCTACTTAAGTTTAGAAATCATAGGTTGATATTTATGGATTTCTTCTTTATTTTTTCCTACAAGAAATATAGAGAAGATTCCTTCTGGATTGCTTTCCCTCCCTCCCTCTCTGTTTCATTCCTTCTGTCTCTCCCCCCTTTTCTTCCCTTTCACTTATAACTGTTGGGAAAGAAAGGCTGAAATGATAGTAGTGGGTGTTTGGATTGAAAAGAACTCAAGTAAGATTCATCTGTGTTGAAACAAAATGAAACCTTCATATGGGCATTTTGCCTCAGACTTGTCAACTTAATTCTTTAACTAATCTTTTAAATCACTCTACATACTCTGTATTTCTGTAATGGGTTATCTAGTATTGCTTCCATTACATATTTGTAATAGTACACATAAGAGTACTATATTTCATGTGTCCTGTATTTGTAGATTCATAATTAGTCATAATTCTAATTTGTTTAGATATATATAGTTTAAAATTCTATAATCATTTTTAGAATATTTTGTTATTTTCATATGCCATGTTAATAACCTTTGAAAACCTAAATTCTTATATTTAACTTTTACCCCCACCTCAGGAATCAGAGATGGAAACAGAAGAAGAGGTTGACATTTTAATGAGTAGTGATATTTACTCTGCAACTCTATCAACCAAATCAATTTCTTTCACACGTGCCCAGACAGGATGGCTTTTTCGGGAAGATAAAACAGTACGTACAAATCTAGATTTTTGAACTTTAAAAATTGTTTAGTATTTAATGCTGCCAAAAGAATGTGTGATGGAAATGCAGGAAGAATTGTCTTCAAGTAGTTTATTATTTCCTCTTTGAATTCACACAGGGAATTATAATGGTTGGTTACTTATAATTGTCATGGTTGGAAAGAATTCTTACAGAAGCCAGGAGAGAAAGTTTAACTCATTTGAATTCTTTTTTTTTTCCCCTTTTCTTTTTAATTGTATTTTTTTCCATTACCATTTAGTCCCCTTATACTCTTCTTCCCCCCTAACTCATTTGAATTCCATGTTGGCAAAGATTCTTGTTAGCTGCCTTGTTATGGTTCCATTATATTTATAATGATTTATTCCTTAGGAAGACCACAAAGAGGGGTACGCTTTTGAATTCATTTCCCTGGACTTTTTTTTCTTTCTACTTTTAGACTTCTAAACTATCCAGTGTCTGATTTTCAGTATACTATATATATGACTAAAATTAAATATGCTTATGTTTCTACGACAGCATCATTAAATTAGATCTTAGTGGTGGTTTCCCCTTTGTAAATTATAAAGGTTTTCCATAATTACCATTTCACCTGTCAGCAAGAAGTTACATCAGAATGCTCAAAATATACTCAAAACTTTTTAAAATTAGAGATATGGAGAAGCATTTTATAAAATTTTAAAGTCAAGAATAAGTAGCCCTGGCTGGCATAGCTCAGTGGATTGAGTGTGGGCTGTGAACCAAAGTGTTGCAGGTTCGATTCCCAGTCAGGGTACATTCCTGGGTTGCAGGCCATGACCCCCAGCAACCGCACATTGATGTTTCTCTCTCTCTCTCCCTCCCTTCCCTCTCTAAAAATAAATAAATAAAATCTTTAAAAAAAAAAGAATAACCAGATCAGGTAAGGGCTAGGATTTACTGCTTTTAAACATTATTTTTATCTTATACACAGTAGAAATAAATATAATGTTATTAGAAACACAAAAATAGCCTGTGTTGGTAGTCAGGGTTCTCTGAGAAACAAACACAATAGGAGATCTCTCTCTCTCTCTCTCTCTCTAAATATCTACCTATATAGATATAGGTATATAGATATATAGATACAGGTATAGAGATATAGGGATCTCCTATACAGGAATACAGATATATAGGTAGATATTTGAAGAGAAGGAGAGAGGGATGGGGAGAAATTGATTCATTTTAAGGAATTAGTTCATGTGAATGAAGGACAAGCCTGAGATCTATAGAGCAGTGTAGCAGGCTGGAGATCCAGAGAAGAGTTGGTGTGGTCTTGAGTCTGAAATCTGCATGCTGGAATCTCAGGCCTGGTTTCTGTGTTATTGTCTTGAGGCAGGATTGCCTTTCCTTTGGGAAACAGGGCTTATTTTTAAGGCCTGCAATTGATTGGATGAGGCCTACTCACATTATGGAACGTAACCTGCTGTACTCCAGGTCTACTGACTTACATGATAATTACATCTAAAAAATACCTTCACTGAAGCAGCTAGACTGGTGTTTGACCAAACAATTGGGCACCACAGTTTTGCCAAGTTGACATAAAATTAACCATTACACAACCTTGCACATAAAGCTTGACCATTACTCACAAACCCTTCTGTAAGGTTATCCATTTGTATATGCTTCAGACCTTTTTTTATGCTTTCCATAAATATATATCCATAGTAATATATAGCTTTAGTTGTTATTTATTTTTTTATAAAGTATCATATCTATTTTTGCAACCCCTCCCCCATTCTTTTGTATGTCTTAGGAACTTTTTCTTATTAGTATTACTACTTCATTCTCTTTAACAACTGCACAGTAGTCCATAGTTTGGGTATATTGTAATTTATCTATCCAGTCTCTTATTTTTAGACATTTAGATGAATGGACACACATTTGTGTCCAGTTTTCTGCCATTATGAATGATGTTGCATTTACCATTCTTTTACATTCCATTGCAGTGTCATAGATAGCAAGCAATAAAATGGCTGAATTATGGGAACTATACACTTAAAATTTTTATTGTTATGGTATACTTTTAATAAATGCTTTTTCTTTATAAGATTTCAAAAACAGCTACTTATCACCTGAGTGTTTCACAGGCACAGAAAAATCCTCACTCTGAGGTCTAGGCTCATCAACTTGCCTCTCTAAGCCTGTTTGGCAACAAATAGCATGATAGGGTTTGCAGTTGGGAGAGCCTACACTGCAATCCCATTTGTTGGCTAAAAGTCTTGTTTGTACTCTGTTCTTCTGGACAGCATTAGAAAGATCACTTCAAGAGAAGATAAAAATTGAAGCTGCTATTCATCTAGTGCTGCTGCTAAGCAGCTCAAAGCTCTTGAATAGCATCTAGGTGATCTTAAATCTTTGACAGGTAAGGAGGGAGTCAGTAATGCTTACGGTTCCCATTTTGTAGGTAGAAACAGGTGCAGAATGCTTTGCTTTCTGGTGACTGGTAAAGAGGCCACCAAAAGCAAGGTGGACATGGAAGCAACTCTAAACACATAGTTTTGGAATGCTAGGAAATGGTAGTAAGAGGGAGACCAAGTGATTTGCATGCAGGTAGAAATGGGAAGCATGTTTTCCATCATGTTGTTTTGAAGTAAGGCATTCCAAACTCTGACCACCTATTGGGTCTGTTAAAAGGGTAAAGGTTGATGTTGAAGGAGGACCTCTTTGAAAGGAAATAACAGCTCTCTTCTCAATGTCCCTTATACCTCTTGAGTTTCCCTGTCCCCAGTTCCGAATGTAGACAGCCATACTGTATTGGTGAGCTGGACTCTCTGTTGTTCTCTCTTTGTTGAAAGCAGCAAGCAACTGTAACCTAAGGTTCCTGTTAGAGAATAGAGTATTGGAATAGGTGAATAATTCTAGTGGTACTAGAGACTTCTATGTGACTTAGACTATTTCTTTGTAGTCCACTTTCTTTTCTATCTATAAAATGGGAACAGTAATTATCCCTGACCCCTCCTTGTTACTCATAATGTTTGACTATCAGCTAAAATTTTCAGATGCTTTGTGTTTGGGATTCTAAAGGAATACTATGTGGTATTTTTATTTAGATGTATCTACCATACATCAGTGTGTTTATCAAGTTTTCTTTACAGATTTAAAACATAATTTTATATATTAATCTAAGAGAATACATAGGATATTGAGATAATTTCAAGTGCCAAAGGAATATGTATTTATACCTTAATGTTACATGCTATAGAAAAACAGGTATACACGTATGTATATTACTTTGAAACTTTTAAAATGTAAGACAAACTTAATTTTTTTATTATTTTGAATGTTTGTGTTTTAGGAAAGAGTAGGAAACTTTTTGGCCGACTTTTATCTGGTAAATGGACTTGTTTTAGAATCAAGAAAAAGAAGAGAGCATCTCAGTGAAGAAGATATTCTTCGAAATAAGGCCATTATGGAGAGCTTGAGTAAAGGTGGAAACATAATGGAACAGAATTTTGAGGTATAATTTCTAATTTATAATGTTCTAAGGAGAGAGGGGGTAGACTTCATTCCTGGTATTTAGTGAGTTTATGTAAGTACAATCATAGGTTTTGTTGACTATAAACACCCTTTCTTAATTTATTTTTTTGATAACAGCCTTGAATGATTTGTTCTTGTGAATCTGTACTTGGTCTTTGAGGCTTCATTAACAAATAGATTATATATCATTTTATAAGCATGAAACCCAGTGTTAATTTTTAATCTATGTCCCTTTGTACATATTCTTTTTTCTACTTCTCCAAGTGAAACATTTGACAGCTTTGAAGGCCTAAATAAAGGCCCACTTACTTATGAATCATTTCTAGCCTATAACTTCCCATAAAATTTTATTCAGTGTGTGTTTTTGAAAGCATGCTGTATACAAAGAATTGTGTGACAGTAGGGAAAAGGGAGGGGAACTTAGGAAATACAAAGGTATGTGAGACATGTTAACTCCCTCCATAGTCTTATTCCCTAATAAGATGAAAGACGAAGAATGGCTTCTTTTTTAAAAAAAAATTTATTGATTTTAGAGAGAGAGAGGAATTAAGTGAGAGAAACATCAGTTTATTGTTCCACTTATTTATGCATTCGTAAGTTGATTCTTGTATGTGCCCTGACAGGAGATCGAACCTGCAATGTGGTGTATTAGGACGAAGCTCTAACCAACTGAGCCACCCAGCCAAGGCCTGAATTCTTAAATTTATTTTTTATTTTGAAATTTTAGATTTACAGAAAGTCCTGAAATAGTTCAAACAATTTTTGGATATCCTTCACTAAGATTCCTCAAATGTTAACATTTTACTAAATTTTAAAGAAGTGTTTCTCAAATTGCTGGATAGGGACCTCCTAGTAGATGATGAAATCAGTTTTAGTGGTTTGTGACTAACCTTTTTTTTTTTAACTGTAATTTTTTTAAAGATTTTATTTATTTATTTTTAGAGAGGGAAGGGAGGGAGAAAGAGAGAGAGAGAAACATCAATGTGCAGTTACTGGGGGTCATGGCCTGCAACCAAGGCATGTACCCTGACTGGGAGTCGAACCTGCGACACTTTGGTTTGCAGTCCGCGCTCAATCCACTGAGCTACGCCAGCCAGGGCGTGACCAACCTTTTTAAATTCAAATCTAAATAAAGATAGTAGTGAAAATCCAGAGCACATTGCATACAGTAGGCGTCATTATTGCTTTATGAAACAATATTGTCAAGGAGTATGTGTTTTCTAAATATGTACATGTGTGAGTTCTGGTTTGTGGTATAAAATATAAATCACATATGTAAAAAGATTAAAAGGTACTATGAGGAGGCTTGAATTTCTTGAATGTTTAGTCTCCCCCTTTGGTATTGTGCCAGATTAATGTTTTAGGGATAGACAGACTTTTCAGAATAATATGCCAGGTTCCAACTAATTCATGGTAACACTGTGTGTGTATGCCAGGAAAATATTTTAATGTTTAGAAAGTTTACATATTGAGTGGATCAGCCATGGTTCAATTAAATAAGCACAAGATGTAAAGTGTTTGAGAATCCCTATTAAATGTTTAAGTTAAATTCGTGATCATGCTAGTTTAGCTTGATCCTGTCTTCTTCCTCCCAGATCCTCTTTGTACTCCTCATTTTTCTTTAGGCTTTGGGATTGAGTAGAGCTTCACCAGACTTAATTTTTCAGAAGCCATCTGGTATTTAAAGATATCTTGATCACTAGGAGATAAAGGATATGACATGTTCAAAAATAGAAATGGATTGGGAGAGGAAATGCTGAACTCAATTTTTGACAAAGCTGCATCTCTCACACATTGTTGACCAGACAAAAGACTGTTTCTTCAGACTTGTACTGTGATTTAACTTTTATTAAAAGTTATTTTTTAAAAATGATATTGTTGTGCTGGTTATTGCTACCTTTGCATAATTTTGTCAGCAAACCATTTTGGGATGAGTACATGGAACAAAAACCTTATAGAATACCATTTCATGGACCATTTGCTGATTGTCTCTGATTATCTGATTTATCTATATTTAAACTTACAGTATACTACTTAATTTTCTTTAGGGTAGAGATTGTGACTTGATGCATTTGAATTGTTAAAGTGGTCTTTAAATGGCATTTTAATAAACTGTAGTTTTGCACATTGAAATTAAGACAGTTTAATTTTGGATAGCTATATAATACAACAAAGTAATATGAATTAAATAAAATAATTAAGATTTTTGACTTCTGGTAAGAAAGCAAATAAAACAGTTCCCATGTGAATTGTAGCCCCTTAAATTTTACAGTTTTTTTTTAAACCACACCTGAGGATATTTTTTTATTGATTTTAGAGAGAGAAAGAGGAGAGGGAGAGAGGGAGGGAAGGAGAAAAGGAAAAGAGGGAAGAAGAGAGAAAGAGAAGAGAAACATTGATGTGAGAAACATCGATTGGTTGCCTTCTGCACACACTTTGACTTGTGATGGAACCTGCAACCTTTTGGTCCACTGGACAGTGTTCCAGCCAACTGAACTACCTGGCCAAGGGCAAACTTTACAGTTTTTGATGAATATTTAAATCAACTTGGCAATTCTTCAAAAAAATAGAACACTTGGTAGGATTTTGATTAGTATGGTATTGAATCTATGCATCAATCAATTTCTGCATAAAAGCCTGCTTGGTTTTTGTTTACTCAATGTTTTATTTGGAGATAATTGTAGGTTCACATATGTAGAATGCATAATGAGGTTGAATGATCATCTTTTCATGTGCTTATTTGCCATCTGTATGAGGTCTGTCCAGAAAAGGCCCAGCCATTGTTAATATAAGGGGAATGGTTTTCATGACACCGATAGAAACTGGCAGCCAAGGAGAGTGGACTGGAATGCACATGATTGAACAATGATGACCTCACTGTACTAGTCAGTGGGGGCTGTAAACACTGTTGAGTGTACTGTGTGGCCATCACATTCAAAATGACTGAGCAAGTAGAGCAATGAATCTGCGTCAAGTTTGCAATAGGCTTGAACATTCCTCCCTGGAAACTATTTGGATGATTCAGAAGACCTCAGTGATTGAGGGCAACTGGTGATTGGCAGCTTCATCAGTGTCTTCTCATGCATTGTCTCGTGCAGAGTGTTTTGGTGAAACATCAAATCACCCAGGTGACTCAGCCCCCTTACAGCTCAGATTTGGTGCCTTGTAGCTCCTGACTTTTCCCAAAAGTAAAAATCACCTTTGAAAGGGAAGAGATTTCAGACTGTTGGTGAGATTCAGGAAAATATGACAGGGCAACTGATGGCAATTGGGAGAACTGTGTGAAGTCCTATGGTGCCTACTTGGAAGGGGACTGAGGTGTCATTGTCCTGTGTACAATGTTTCTTACATCTTTTTAAAAAATTTTATTTAAATTGTTGCAGTACAATTTTCTATCTTTTACTCCCATCCCAACCCCCCCATCCAACCCTTCCCTCCTCCCTCCCATTTCCACCCGTCCCTCATTTTTATCCATGTGTCCTTTATACTCATTCCTGTAAACCCTTCCCCTGAAATTCCCCTGAAATTCCCTCTCCTCTCCCCTCTGAACTCTGTTAATAATTGTCTCTATTTTTTATATTACGTGGCTGGATTCCTTCTGGACAAATCTGTTATATCCTGTTTGATGAAATGTCTCTTTGTGTCTTTTGCCCATTTTTAGATTGGATTTGTTTGTTGTTGTTGGGTTTTAAAAGATATTTATATATTCCTTCCAGATATTAGTTCTTCATTAGATATGCATTTTGCAGATATTTTCCTCCCTCTCTGTAGCCTATCTTTTCATCCTGGTAACAGTTTTTGCAGAGGAAGTTTTTAATTTTGATGAGGTTCAATTTATCGATCTTTGTTTTATGTTTTGTGCCAAGTCTAAGAATCTTTGCCTAGCTCCAGGCCCCTAAAGTTTTCTTGTGCACTTTTTTCTCTAAAACTCCTCTTGTACTTTATGTTTTACATTGAAGTCCATGAACTAGTTAGTTTTGTACAAGGTGTGCTGTTGAAGTCAAGGCCTATTTTTTTTGCCTTGGATGTCCCGTTCATCTAGCACCAGTGGAGAAAGGGTATCCCTCTCTGTTGAATTGCCTCTGGAATTTGTATTGGGATGGTGTTGAATCCATAGATTTATATGGGGAGAGGTGGTATCTTAAACATACTGAATCACCTGTTTCATGAGCATGGTACATATCTCCATTTATTTAAATCATAAATAGTTTCTCTCAGACATGTTTTTAATTTGCAGTATACAAATCTTGTGGAGATCTGACTAAATTTATCTCTTAATGTTTTGTATTTTAATGCCATCATAAATGATGTTTTTAAATTTCATTTCCAGTTGTGCATTGCCAATAGAAAGAAATGCATTAGATTTTTCTGTATTGCTAAATTAATATATTAGTTATATAGTTTTTTATAGATTCCTTATGATTTTAAATAGATGATTATGCCATCAGGTGAGAGAGAGCTATACTTTCATTGTTAATCTCTTTGTCTTTGTTTGTTTATTTGTGCCTATTGCGCTAGAAAATAATACCAGTATAATGCTGAATAAAAGTAATGACAGCAGGTGCTATGCTTTTTTTCCTGATCTTAGAAGGCATTTTTTAAAGTTCAGCGTTAAATTTTAAAAATCATAATATTTGTTAATCTGGCGTAAGTACTTTATCAAGAATTATGAAGAACTATGGCTGTATTGTAATTTGTTAGTTTTGTAATACTTTTAAGATTATTTTTGTCCTGCCTGGTGTGGCTCAGTGGATTGAGTGCTGCCCTGTGAACTAAAGGGTAGCCAGTTCTATTCCCAGTCAGGGCACATGCCTGGGTTGTGGGCCAGGTCCCCAGTAGGGGGTGTTTGGGAGGCAACCACATGTTGTATTTCTCTCTCTCTCTTTCTCCTTCCCTTCTCCTCTCTAAAAATAAATAAATAAAATCTTTTTTTAAAAAAAGGTTATTTTTAATTTTTGGCTAATGAAAATATACAAGGTCTGTCTGGAAAAAGTCCAGCCATTGCTAATATAACAGGAATGGTGTGCGTGACACTGACATCAGCTGGCAGCCCAGGAGAGTGGGCTGGAATGCACATGCATGAACAATGACAACTTCACTGTATTAGTCAGTGGGGCGGTAGACACCCCTTGACTGAGCATGTGTACTGTGTGGCCATCACATTAAAAATGACTGAGTGAGTAGAGCAATGAATCTGCATCAAGTTTGCAATAAGCTTGAACATTCCTCCCTGGAAACTATTTGGATGATTCTGAAGGCTGCAGTTGTGGGCATCTGGTGATTGGCAGGATTATTAGGACAATGTGCCCACTCATGCATCGTGTCTCAGGCAGAGTGTTTTGGTGAAACATCAAACCACCCAGGTGACTCACCCACCTACAGTCCAGCTTTAGTGCCCTGCGACTTCTGGCTTTTCCCAAAAGTAAAATCACTTTTGAAAGGGAAGAGATTTCAGACCATTGATGAGATTCAGGAAAATATGACAGGGCAGCTGATGGCATTGGGAGAACTGTGTGAAGTCCCAAGGTGCCTGCTTGAAAGAGGACTGACGCGTCATTGCCCTATGTGCAGTGTTTCTTGTATCTTGTATCTTCTTCAATAACTGTCTCTATTTTTCATATTACATGGCTGGATACCTTCTGTATAGACTTGATTTATCTCATCTATTGTTTGGACATTTGATAGGGAAGAATTGATGAATTATAATTGAATTATTTTAGAGTTCAATTATAAATAGAATAAATTTAAAGAAAATATTAATTCTATCAGATGTTCATCTATACATATAATTTTATTTTGTTGAATGTGGCAGGGTACAGTATGAAAGAACATCAAAACAGAACTGATAAGTCTGATTAGGAAAAAGATAACAAATAGCTGTCTTTTTTTTTTTTCTTTCCTAGACACAGAATTTATAAACACAGGGAAAGCAGCATGTACCTGATACCAGCTTAATTATATTTGACAGTGGGCATTAAGGCAGGAAAGATACATTTCTATGCATTTTATAGATAATTTTGAGAATACAGTTCTTTTAAACTTAAATAATAAGCTTTTTAGGAAAGATACATATAAATGAGCATGCATAGTTAAAAAAATAGGTGGTCAAAAAAGTAAAGGGAGGGATCTATCAAATTCAAGAGACAATCCCATTTTAATGGTGAACTGTATTTAAAATTTTAATAAAGTTTAAAAAACATACTAGTATTAAAAATGGCTGCTTGGTCACAGCTGGTAATATGAGAATAAATTGGGTGTGGAAATTGATATTGCTTGACTTGTTATAGACTTGTAAGTCACGTAAACATTGGTTATTTACTCATATGCATGTATTTTAATTAGTGATGATTATTACAAAACATTATATTGGAGAGTTACAGATAATTCTCCAGTGCCTAATCCAAATGCCATGAACTCTAATTCAGCTTCTGTAGGTTCAACACTGATTTTATATGCACCCTCAACAAGTTTTTGTTTTCTTTCTGTTGGTTTAAAACATTGCTATTGTAAACGTGGGCATTGTGTTAAGTATTTTCCATTTATCATCTCAATTAATTATTACAGTGATCTAAGAAGTGTCATTGTTCCATTGTACAGAAAGGAAAATGAGATTTAAAGAAATTAATCTCTCTTATGTCAAAAAGCTGGAAGTAGCAAAGATGGGTTTTGATTCTGTGAGGCTTACCCCAAGCTGTTGTTGCTCTAAGTTATTGTTTCTCTAGAGTGATCCAGATTCATATTTAACAAAGACAAGGTGTAAGTTTTAAAATCTGACATGACCTTTTACCAGAGTTGTTGATCAAATAGTCAGTCTACGTGTGTTTTGCTTTCATGTAAATATGAACTCCAGTCCCCTAGTCTGAATTTATTATCTACAGAAGATTGCTCTCTTTTCTAAACTCCTCTATTTTTTTTTGTAAGCTCATTTGACCTTTGATCATATCATATTTTGTATTTCTGATTAACTCTTTATGTCTGTATTTTTTTTCTTTGAATTGTAAACTTCTTCAAGTCAGGGTTAGTTTTTATATTTCTCTGTAGTTACCATGTTCATTATTGTAGTCTAATGCCAGAAACATTTTAGAAGATTAAAACATTGAATGAATTGGGTTTTATTACTTGATAACTTACCTTCATATTTGAGATTTTAAAAATTGATAATACATATTACTGATAGAGCTTAAATCATAATGGAATGATCTTGCAAGTAAATTCTCAAAGCATTATATTAAAGAGATGAAACAATTTAGTAGTTTAAACAGTTTATTGTATGTTTTTGTATTTTAAAAAATGTCATTTTTTTCCCTCCCTCCCTGTCTGTCTGTCTCCCTCTTTCTGCGTCTCTCATTGTGTGTCTCTGTTTCTCTCCTTTCCCTCTCCCTCTTTATTTTTTTCTTTTTGACAGCCGGTTCGAAGACAGTCCCTTACTCCTCCTCCTCAAAACACCATTACATGGGAAGAATATATATCTGCTGAAAATGGAAAGTAAGTGGGTGTTTTGATTTATTTTGTTTATTTTGTATTTTTTGGTTTTTAAAAAGAATAATTTGTGCCCTGGCTGGCATAGCTCAGTGGATTGAGCGTGGGCTGTGAACCAAAGTGTCACAGGTTAGATTCCCAGCCCGGGTACATGCCTGGGTTGCAGGCCATAACCCCCAGCAACCGCACATTGATGTTTCTCTGTTTCTCTCTCTCTCTTTCTCTTTCTCAAAGTGAATAAATAAAAAAAAAAGAATAATTTGTAAAAACATGAATATTTAGATATAAAATTGTTTGAGAGAGAATTACTAGCACTTTTGTCTGGAGCAGTTCTTTTACCTTTAAAAATATGGATGCTCTGGCCAGGTGGTGGTGGTTAGCGCGTCATCCCATACACCAAAAGGTTGCTGGTTCTGGTCTGGGCACATACTTAGGTTGTGGTTTGATCCCTGGTTGGGGCACTTAGGGGTGGCAACTGATTAATGTTTCTCACATCGATGTTTCTCTGTCTCTATCATTCTTCCTGTCTCTCTGAAATAAAACATATCCTTGAGTAAGGATAAGAAAGAAGTTATGGCCCTGGCTGGTGTGGCTCAGTGGATAAGCGCCACCCTGCAAACCAAAGGGTCGCTGGTTTGATTCCCATTCAGGGCTGGGTTGCAGGCCAGGTACCTGATTGGGACATTGATGTCTCTCGTCTTCTCTTTTTCCCTCCCTTCCCTTAAAAAAAAAAAAAAAGAAATTATGGATTAAGCATGATAAGGGTGAGGTATCCTCAGTTATGTGCACTCTTTGACAAAGTTACAGAGTTTTCTTTTTATATCCCTGCTACCAATTTACCTGCTCTAGAAAGCCTATAGGACATTGTTCTAAGGAAATATAATGTGTGGAATTGCCCAGTGATGTTCCTTATTTGAGTGCACTTTATGGTGAATTTTTATATTCTGTTATTATCCTGGATTTTTAGCATGGTGTGTAAAGACATTAACTATTCATCTACTTTTTGTTTTTCCAAACTCATCTCCTGTCATTATTATCCCTGTGTTTTAGCTTATGCCAGATTACTTCTCACCATCCATAAATAAAACATTTGCTAATGTTATTACTAGCACATAGTTTAACATATATTTATTGAATAAAAGAATGATGAATGATAAATATTTTGAATGAATTGATAAATAAAAGGGTTTTTTTCCTGGCCAACTGTGTGAAATAAAGTACAATCCTTTATAGAAAATATTTTCTTTTGGCAGGCAATAAAATACTACTGACCCATAAGGGGACAGTGGACAGTAAAAGAGATTGAATTGTGATTCTAAAGACACAATGATATTCTAAAATATTTTTGTGATTTACTTTGTTCCTAAAAGTGATTATTAACATCATATCCAATGTAAAATTTGTTGAGTTATGATCATTTTTTTTAACTTTTACACTTTGTTACCCTTGTTTTATTTCTTACACATTTCTCATTTCCCTTTAGTATAATATTACTGTATTTTGCTCTGTGTAATGTGCTCTCATGTATAATGCTTATCCATGTTTTTGGCCCAAACTTTCAGGAAAAAAATCTTTCATTTTAATTTTTTAATTCAATTTTTATTTATTTATATGTAGAAACAAAATCAATTATTGTATTCCAGGGTATTATTTTGCATGTGGATATCATTATTGCTTTCTAGAATTATACATTTAATGCGTAAGCATAAACAAAAGAATTAAAAACATTTATAGAGATATGGAATTAGTACTACCCATCTATAATGCACATCCTTATTTTTGCCACAAAAATTTGGGCAAAAAAGTGCATTATACAAGGCAAAATACAGTAATTTATTTCTGTGCTTAGAATAAGCAAATTAAGTATCATTGTAAGAGGACAGATTCTTCTTAGGAAGATGATAGCACATGGAAAATCTTTGCTAATATATATATATATATGTTTCTCTTTCAGAGCTCCTCATCTTGGTAGAGAACTGGTATGCAAAGAAAGTAAGAAAACATTTAAAGCCACGATAGCCATGAGCCAGGAATTTCCCCTGGGAATTCAATCGTAAGTTTGTTTTTAACCATACAAGTTTGTGAAAGATGTTATTAAACCCTAAAGGCTGTAATAATATTTGCATCTAAGTAGTTAATTTAAGGCCTTTGAAATGCAAAAGCGAATAGCCATTGTTTTGATAGTGTGTGCACCCTTCTAGAAATTTTCTAGTTCACCAAATATCAACATTTTTATTATTTTGACAAGATAAGTGTTTGAATAGTGTTTAATTATAAAAACAATACATAAGTAATTAGTTTTTGTAAAAAAAACTAACAGCATGAAAGTGTATAGAAGAAAAATTATAGTTTCACCTTACTAAGAGTTAATAGGTGAATAGTTTATCTAGTTTTTTTCTGTGTATTTTTGCATTTTTATAAAATTGGCATAGTCTACATTTTGTTCTGTGAGTTTTTTTCTTTTAAAAGTGAGTGTATTTTGTACTTCCTGGTTACTCTTTAGTGTATCTTTTTCTTTCCTTGGTATTTTGCAGTATTGATATATTATTTATTTTATCAACCCCACCACTGATAAACATTTTGATTGTAGTTTGTCATTGTTATAAACAATATTTCAGTGGATATCTCTCAAAGTTGTACTCATCAAGTGCTCATTAAAAAAAACTTAATTTGGAGCACCTTTTAAAGAAAAGTACTAGGGGGGATGCTGCCTGATGCATGAATCACTTAATTAATGCATGTTAGATCTTAAAAAAAAAAATTCAGTTTTGGAAAAAGTGGGTGGAGTGGGAGAAAGGTAGCTATAGTTTACTGTGATAGAACTGAAACTTCAGGCTCCTCACTAAAGTAGGGGATGAATTAAAGCCCCAGGCTATTTTCTTTTCATAGTTCCTTCTCTACCAGTCTGGCCTAATACATTAAAACAAATTATGATAGGAAAGAGCAGGACCTACTTTTGTCTACAAAGTCTATATATTTCTTATACTCTCCAATAGCCAAACCCAAGAAAAGTAAATAGAATATACTCTTCAGTGCTCAAGCCATAGATCAGAGATGGAGCTAGACAGTTCCCAGAAGATGCAGGAAGGGAGTGAGCCACACAAATCTGCATTATTATCATATCTTAGACTCAATTAACTAAAAAATGTACCAGATTTACATTCTAATAAAGAAGAAATGTGGTCAATAATAGGATGCTATCAATTTTAGGAGTTACCCCAATTTCAGAGATGCTAATATGTGAAAAAACCGGGGTGTATTAGTACCTATAAATGTAGCATTTATGATTTCCCCTGAGAAAAGTAAAGTAAGGAATATAGCATATAAAAGCCAGACCAAAAAAAACCTTTCTAGAATAAAACATAGGTGAAAGAAAGAAGAAAATTCTTTAAGTGCTATAGAAAAACATTAAAAGAATGAAATGAGTAAAGTGGATCACTCTAAATGAGATGATAGTAAAATGAAATGAAAAAGATATTGTAAAGCTAAGGAAATAAATTAAACATAAAAAGGACTATTGCAAAGCAAATACTTTAGTAACAACAATGAATAGAATAGGCGTGGCAAAAAAATTAAATTTTGATAACTCATAGTGAATGCGGTGACAGAAGAGGTTAAAGTAATTAGAGAAATACTATTTATTTATGGGGGACAAAGATAGTTCAACATAAGGATCCTTGGTGTTCCACTTATATAAAAAGTCTCCAAAATGCAACCAAAATAGCATTCTAAATATGAAAAAAGAAAATTTCTCTGTAAGGAAAACAGAATCTGTAGCATAATGTTAGGCTTTAAGAAAAATTGATGAGAAAAATAACTAACAGTAATTTTCCAATGAAACTATGTGACTTTTATTTTCATTAAGAAGTCTAATGGCATTCAGGCAGAAACGGGTAAAATACAGCCTGCTCTTATATTTCTTCACATGTTAACATTTCTGAGGCAAAGAAAGTGTGATCTCATAGTATACCTAGCTGAGATGTCATTTACATATCAAGGCAATTAAAAAAGAAGAATTCAAGAAATCTAGCAGTGATGGGTCCTTTTTGAAAGAAAATAGTACTACTTGAAAATGAAATCCATTAAACCAAAAGATGAAAGGAGAAGCTACAGTATAATGCAGTACTGAATGCTAGGAGAGATTATGAAATTGTAGTTCAGAGGGAAAGAAGTATAAACAGAAATTTTATGCCAGCCAAATTTCTCTTTCAGAATGCAGAAAAGATACTCGTTTATCAAATCTGCAAGAAATCAAGGAATACTAAGCACATAAAATCCCTTCACATGCATAAAATTGACAGTGATACCCAAATAGTGGAGCAAATTAAAGAACAGGGGAATGTATAAACTTTAGGAAGAAGATGGGTGTAATAAGCCTTGAATTCATTTAAATATAGACCTAAAGTCAAACAACTGTGGAAATTATGGCTGCACAATAAAATGTAGAAGTTATAAACTTTGACATGGTAGAAAGAATAATAAAAACAAAAATTTCAAGAGAAAGAAGGAGGTATCATTTTGTTATCCTTATTATCTTGAAGTTAGTAATAATGTCTAATTTTGAAGCTTGTGGTTATAAAACAACATAAGGACGTAAAGAAATCCACTTGAAAACATTTTTTTCTTCTTCCATTTTTCAGAATATTGAATGTTTTGGAAGTAATAGCTCCCTTCAAGCACTTTAACAAGCTTAGAGAATTTGTTCAGATGAAGCTTCCTCCGGGCTTTCCTGTAAAACTAGGTAAGAGAAAAATTACTTGTAATTTTCATATTTATTAGAAATATGGAATTGTTTACTAACATTTAATAAGATATATGCGGCTCACTGGCATAGCTCAGTGGAGTAAGTGCGGGCTGAGAACCAAAGGATCCCTGGTTTGATTCCCAGTCAGGACACATGCTTGGGTTTGGCCAGGTCCCCAGTGGGGGCCATGTGAGAGGCAACCACATATTGATATTTCTCTCCCTTTAAGAAAAAAAAATTAGATATATGCTTTGAAGGAAAATGGATTTCCTAGTTAAAAATTTTTTAAATTTTGGTAATGACATGTTTTAATATTCATCTGTCAAATATATAAAGTGTCTAATGAGAGTTATAATTGTACTTGATCTAAATTAAGTGTATGGGGTATGCAGATACTTCATACAAGAGGGTGTTGGTGAACTTAATGATGCACTGTGATAATGTCTTTAATGTGAAATATGGAGACTAGATTTTAGCAGACTCTGAGTTTCTGAATAGTGAGAGTGTTCCCAGAGTCAACACAACAGTCACTATTTATAGATAAAATGATACTCATTCACTCTATTTTCAAATATTTAAACTTAATTTTATCTTAAGCAATGATCTTTAGAAACAGCAAACTCTCTTTTTGTACATATTTATCTTAACTATATCAGAAAATTGGGAATAAGAGATTGTTAAAAAGGTACTTTTGGAGTTTGGGCTTATATTTAACATTCATTTAATCTTTAGAGAGTGTTCAGTACCACCTATCAATCCAGCCATCAGATATTTAATGAGTGCTTGTTATGTGACAGATGCTCTTCTAGGGATTTGAGACTGTAAAAATCCCTGCCCTCCTGGTGTTTACATTCTAGTGGGGGATAAAAATAAACATATAGTAAATACAAGCTTTATATAATTCCTCAGATACATTTTGCCTTGCTCCATTCAATATTAACTGCATCTCAGAATAATTAGGCCAAAATGCTCTACTCCGAGAAATAATGCTTTCATTGCTAAAAGTTAAATGAACTATTCTTATTGAAGCTGCAAAGCATTTTGTGGATTAAAATGGATTTTAAAGCATGTTTTCAAAATGTCACTAGATTCCTTTAAAAAAAACACTGGGATGTCTACTTTAAATCCCAATGTCTACTTGAAGGAATGGTTAGAAAACTAAAGCAATAAAGAGCTGTGTGTTGGAGCTATGGATAGGGACTGTTATGTGAGCATTTCTGCAGAAGCTTAAAATCCCACTGTAATTTTCTATAGCTAGAAAATGGTTCAAACATTGGACTCCTTCTTTCTAGGTACTTTAAGAGGCACAGTGACAAACTATAATAGACGGCAGCAAAGTAATACATGAGATTCCCGTACTTTTCAGACCCCATATTCAATATAGATATGTATACAAAATAAATACTTTGATTATACATAAAGGAAAAAAAACCTACAGTACTTCTTTGAAGGAATTTCTCTGATATAGCCTGACATTCTTCTTTTTTTTTTTTAAGATTATATTTATTTTACTATTTAGAGAGAGGTGAAGGGAGGGAGAAAGAAAGGGAGAGAAACCAATATGTGAAAGATACATTGATCTGCCCCTCTCACACCCCCACAACTGGGGACCTGGCCTGCAACCCATGCATGTGCCCTGACTGGGAATCAAACAGGTGACCTTCCGGTTCACGGGCTGGTGCTCAGTCCACTGAGCAACACCAGCCAGGGCTGTAGCCCAACATTTTTTTAAAAATATATTTTATTGATTATGCTATTATCCCATTTTCCCCCTTTATTCCCCTCTACCCTGCACACCCCCTCCCACCTGCATACCCTCCCCACCTTAGTTTATGTCCATGGGTCGTACATATAAGTTCTTTGGCTTCTATATTTCCTATACTATTCTTAAACTCCCCCTGTCTGTTTTATACCTACCATTTATGCTACTTATTCCATGCCTTTCCCCCCATTTCCCCCCTCCCATTCCCTGCAGATTACCCTCCATGTGATCCCCATTTCTGTGATTCTGTTTCTGTTCTACTGTTTGCTTAGTTTATTTTTGTTTTTGTTTTTTTTAGGTTCTATTGTTGATAGCTGTTCAGTTTGTTGTCATTTTGCTATTTATATTTTTGATCTTCTTCTTTTTCTTAGTTAAGTCCCTTTAACATTTCATATAGTAAGGGCTTGGGGATGATGAACACCTTTAACTTGACCTTATCTGGGAAGCACTTTATCTGCCCTTCCATTCTAAATGATAGCTTTGCTGGACAGAGTAATCTTGGATGTAGGTCCTTGACTTTCATAACTTCACATACTTCTTTTTAGCCCCTTCTTGCCTGTAAGGTTTCTTTTGAGAAATCAGCTGAGAGTCTTATGGGAACTCCTTTGTAGGTAACTGTCTCCTTTTCTCTTACTGATTTTAAGATTCTCTCCTTATCTTTAATCTTGGGTAATATAATTCTGATGTGCCTTGGTGTGTGCTTCCTTGGGTCCAACTTCTTTGGGACTCTGAGCTTCCTGGACTTCCTGGAAGTCTATTTCCTTTGCCAGGTGAGGGAAGTTCTCCGTCATTATGTTTTTGTTTTTTTTTTAAGATTTTTATTTATTTATTTTTAGAGAGGGAAGGGAGGGAGATAGAGAGAGAGAGAGAAACATCAATGTGCGGTTGCTGGGGGTCATGGCCTGCAACCCAGGCATGTACCCTGACTGGGAATCGAACCTGTGACACTTTAGTTTGCAGCCAGAGCTCAATCCACTGAGCTACACCAGCCAGGGCCTTCATTATGTTTTGAGATAAATTTTCATCTTCTTACTCCTCCTCTTCTCCTTCTGGCACCCCTATGATTCAGATATTGGAACATTTAAAGTTTCCCGGAGGTTCCTAAACCTCTCCTCATTTTTTTGAATTTTTGTTTCTTCACTCTGTTTGGTTAAATGTTTATTTCTTAATTCTGTTTCAAGCTATTTAAGTTCTGGTTTCCTTTTCATTACTGTTGGTTCTCTGTGCCTTTTACTTTATTTCACTTTGCATAGACTTCACTCTTTTTTTTTTTTTTAGATTTTATTTATTTATTTTTAGAGAGAGAGAGAGAGAGAGAGAGAGAGAGAGAGACATCAATGTGTGGTTGCTGGAGGTTACGGCCTGCAACCCGGGCATGTACCCTGGCTGGGAATCGAACCTGGGACACTTTGGTTCCCGGCCCGCGCTCAATCCACTGAGCTATGCCAGCCAGGGCTAGACTTCACTCTTTCCTCTATTTTGCGACCATACTCAACCAAATCTCTGAGCATCCTGCTTACCAGTGTTTTGAACTCTGGATCTGATAGGTTGGATATCTGTACATCGCTATCGCTTAGTTGTATTTTTTTCTGGAACTTTCATCTCTTCTTTTCATTTGGACCATTTTTTTTTTTTTGTCTTGGCACACCTGTTATGTAGTAAGGGGCAGAGCCTTAGGTATTCTCCCTGATGGGGCAACACATGTCCAGTGTATGTGGAGGAGGGGTCTGAGAGGGAACAATGCTGCTTGTTTAGCTCTCTGCGGGCTTTCAGTCACTTCCTCCACTACCCACAAGCAAATTAGGCCATTTTGGTGCTGATTCCTGGGTGGGTGGATCTGTGTACATTCTAGGACCCTGTGGGTCTCTCCAACAAACTCTCCTGTGTGGCTGGGAGTTTGTTTCTCTCGCTGCCTCACCCCCCACAGGTTTTTTCAGTTAGAGGTTCTGAGGCTTTATTTCCCTGCACTGGAACCCTGGGTTGCTTGGTCTGTCTCGCTCCCCAGTCGTTCCTCCTGGCTATTTACATGCAAATGTGGGACCAGCTGCTCGGCCAGCTGCTGCCTTGCTGCAAGTCCTCTTCACCTAGCTGCCCATCTCTGCCCCTCCTACCAGTCTGGATGAATGTTTCTTCTTTAACTCTTTGGTTGTTGGATTTCATATAGTTTGATTTTCTATCAGTTCTGGTCGTTTTTTTGTTTTTAAATTTGTTGTTATCCTTCTTTTGGTTGTATGAGGAGGCATAGTGTATCTATCTATGCCTCTATCTTGGCCAGAAGTCTGTGTTCCTCTGTAGCCCAACATTCTTAACAAGGGATTGAAAATCTTTTGCTTATATACTTATAGGTATCAGAAATTTGCATACCTATCTCGTTCTCGTCTCTTCATCGTTCTTTTTAATTAACCTTGTAAAACTCCAATCCTAGGTCAGTTAAATCTTCGACCATTTCTGTTTCAGTATTCAGGCTAAAAAATACAATTAAGGGGAAATTTATAAAAATTTGGAAATTTTTCCTTTGACAACTGCATGTTTTCAAAATCAGCTAGAGCTTTATTTAACTGTTGATTATGAATGATCTTTTATCTCATCTGCTGCTGCTTCTATTTTGCTTAGAGGCTAAACTTGAATCTCTTTACCCATTCCCATCTCTTCTAATACTTATTCCCATAATCTAAACAGAAGATTTTTGCTCTCTTTAGTTACAAAAAAAGAGACTATCCTAAATGAGACTTTCCTCATTACCCCCATCCTGCATACAGACTTTTGTGTTTCAAGCTTTATCCTTTCCTTGTCTTTTCTGTAACGATGAAAGTGGTGTCCCTCTTAGCCTGAATGACCTCTTCATTTGTATTATAGGTCTGTTCTCCCAGCTCTTTTAAAAATCTTGCTTTACCAGTCTCCCCATATTTCTCTCTTATCTTTCAACTCCCCTTTTTACTGACTTTTTCCTCTTAGGTTTAGGCTTTGTTCACGTCTTTCTCCTTTGAAAATTCAACCAACCAAATAAAATAATCCCTTTAATTTCACCCTATCCAGCAGTTGCCTTTTGATGCAGACCCCAGCTTGTGGGGTCCGCCACATTGTGGATGAGACTAGAGAAATTCATACAGATTACCAAGTCCTGTGGAGGAAAAGGGATGGCATGGCCACTCTCTCAAGGGGAGAGCGCCCCAACCCTTGCTTTGACAAGCTTTTATTGGGTTCAGTTTGCACAGGAATAATGCTCATCAATCATTGTCAAGCAGAAATAATTAAACAATAGATAACATTCAAAGAACTCTGAGGCCTTATTCTGAGTCAGGGTCAGATAGTTAAAGGGCCATACAACTTTGGAGAACAAATTTATTTCAGGCTTGGACCTTTATCATTTAAATTGAGGGTATTAGCAAAGTAGGTTTCATAGAATTTTATGCATACTTTCTTAGGCCTGATCGCCTTAGGGAGCCCACCCTTTCTAGCACAGGGCTACACACACTTCCAGCATTGTTTCAGGTTTAAGTCAGGCAGGGGAAGTAAGGCAGCCAAGAGATTAGGAAACTTCTTGCAGACAGAATGAGGACTCAGGCTGTGTCAAAGCTGAGGGGTGAGGGTCCATCACCCCCATTTCCTATAGTCCCCCAAATCCTTCTCTGGGGGGCCCCGTGATTGTGCTTGTCTTAGGTTGTTCCCCCCTTGGGGAATCTTACCTGTCATTGGCTTACCGATCAAGCATTGTGGGCCAGGAAGGGTGAAGAAGAAGGAGCAGAAGTAGCGTCCCTGCCAGGGAGATAAGCTTTGTCTCCTTAGTGGCTTTTAGTCTGAAGGTCACTCACTCAGCCATAGCCATGGGGCGGGGGGGGGGGGGGGGGTGGGCAGTTTACAGCTCCTGAAACCAGCCAGGGCGGTTCCCAACAGCCTTTAATCTCTACTTTTCATAGCCAGTCTACTTTGAAGTCTACCTTTATCTCTCCATTCTTATTTTCTATTTACAATTATATTATAAAGGGTGAAAGTACAGGGACATAAAGGGAGGCAAGGTCTCTCAACTTCACTTGAACTTATAAAGTAATGATGCCCAGGAGCCTGTGATAAGTTAGTTATATGTAATGTGTACCAGGACAACCAATAAAGAAGTTACACTAGGAGACATATTCAAAAACACTGTAGAGAAATAAAAATGAAATTCTAGAAAATAGACAAGTAACCTATAGTAAGGCAAGAAAGCAAAAAAAGAAAAAAGAAAGAAAAATGGCAGGCTTCAGTCAATATGTGGATATTTTCATTAAATGTAAATAGTTAAAGAGACTTTAAAAGATAGAAATGGACAAAATGAATTTAAAAATATGACTGAACTATATGCTGTCTTTAAGAAACTCTTCAAATATAATGATATAGGCAAATAGAATGTGAAAGAGAAATGGAAAGAATGTATGAAAGGGTAACAGGACTAGCTGTATTAATATTACATAGAGTAGATTTCAGAGCAAAGAAAATTACCAGAAATAGAGAGGGATATTATATAATGATAAAATGGTCTGTACACAAAGAAGAAAAACAATTCTAAATTCATATACACCAAACAGAAGATCTGTAGGATAGGTGAAATAAAAAAATAAAAGAAAAATTCGAATACTTATAAGTGATGACTTTAGCACCCTTTTCTTAATAGTTGATATAACTAGACAGAAAATCACCAAGGATGTAGAATAACCATACAACAACATACACCAAAAGCATTTATAGACCAGTTTACCCAACATCAGCAGAATGCACATTCTTTTTTTTCTTTTAATCAATTTATTCTTTAAATTTATTTGTTTTTATTTTTGTTCAACTACATTTGTCCTCATTTCCCCCCATCACTCTCCCCTGCCCCACCCACCCCCACCTCCCACATTCATTCTATCCCCCCCCCCCCACCCCGTTGGCTTTGTCCATGGGTCCTTTATACACGGAGCATACACATTCTTTTCAAGTGTCCTTGGAAACATATGCCTAGATAGGCTCTATCCTGGGGCCGTAAGACAAACTTCAATCATTGTAAAAGAACTGACAGTCATTCACAATAGAATCAAACTAGATATTAGTAATAGAAAAATAACACGAGAATCTCCAAACACTTAGAAACTAAAGAACATTCTCCTAAGTAATTTGTAAATCAAAAGTGAAGTCTAAAGTAAAATAAAGGAATATATTGAACTAAATGAAAATGAAATTGCAGCATATCAAAATTTGGGGAATATATCTAAAGCAGTGCTGAGAGGGAAATGTATAGTACTAGATAAATACATTAGGAAAAGCGGGGGAAAAGGCCCTGGCATGTGTGGCTCAGTTGGTTGGAGCATTCTTCTGTCACAGAAAGGTTCAGGTTCAATTCCTGGTCAGGGCACATACTGGGGTTTCTGGTTTGGTCTGTTGGGGTGCATACAGGAGATAACTGGCGGATGTTTCTCTCTCACATCAGGGTTTTTCCCCCCTCCATCTAAAATCAATAAAAAATATATCCTTAGGCAAGGATTTAAAAAAATAAAGTGTAAAAATTTTAAGGTCCTACCTCAAGAACTTAGAAAAAGAAGACCAAAATAAACCCAAAGCAAGAAGAAGAAAGGATATAATGAAGCCTAGAAATAACTGAAAGAGAAAACAGAAAACATATTGGGAAAGCCTGTGAAGCAAAGAGCAGGTTCTTTGAAAAGACCAATAAAATCAACAAATTATTAGCAAAATGATAAAAAAGAGAAAACACAAAATACCAATACGAGGAATGAAACAGGATATCACTGCAGGCTTACAGAAACCAAAAGTGTAGCAATTGCAGGAAGGAATGAAAGGAAAAAAGGGTATTCAGAGCAGAAAGGAAGAAATACAGCCTTCTCCATTTGCAAATGACATGATTCGGTAAATGGAAATCCCAAGATTCTACCAAAAAATTGAATTAATTGAGTTTAGCAAGATGGTAGGTTACAAACAATAATCACTTGTATTTTTTTGTTAGCATGAACACATAGACACCAAAATTAAGAATTAAATGCTGTTTATAATTGGTAAAAAAAAAGAGAAATATTTAGGTGTAAGTCCAGGAAAAATGTGCAATATTTGCATGCTGAAAATTATACAAACTGATGGAAGAAATGGAAGATCTAAACAAATGGAGAGGCGTACCATGCTCATGGATTGGAAGACTTTCTTGTTATGCTACATTTCATCTGCTAAAACTTAAGCCAAAATATGTTGCTACTCTGCTCACAGCATCCATTTGCTTTCCATTTCATCCAGAGAGAAAGCCAAATACTTTTCTTGGACCGTGACCCCACTTGACCTGATGCCTTTTATCCTTCTGACCTTATCTGCTGCTAATCTTCTGCAGCCACATTGGTCTCCTAGCTGTTCCTAGAATAAACCACTCTCTTTTTAGGGCTTTTGTACTTAACTCCGGGAACTTTCTTCCTTCCAGGCAACTGTGGGATGTTTTTATTTTTGGTCTTTGCTAAAAGGCCACTTTATTTAAAGTTTTTCTTTGAGCATCCTCTTTAAGAACTCTTATTCTCAAACACTGGGACTCCCTGTCTCCCTACCATGCTTTAGTTTTTCTAGATATGTAGGCACAATTACTTTTTTGCTTATTTGTTATCTCTGTCTCCCAACCAAAATATAATCTCCATAAGTACATGATGTTTTCTTTTATTTACAGTTGTATATCCAGTGACTAAAACTTTTTCTGAAATATAGTAAATATTTAGGCTTTGTGGGCTGTTTGGTTTCTGTCACAACCACCCAACTCTTGGAGAAAATTGGGAAGCAATGAGACCTTGAAATTTTGATGTAATTCTTGATGCTTTGTTTTTTTTTCTTTTCACCAATAGCCAAATCCTTCCCCCAAACACACACACTCAGTAATAAACATGTTAGGATCGATGTGGTGGTTGAACAATTTTTTTTTTTTTTTTACGTTAAAGGAGTATAGATATCTCTAATAGTATTCTGTAGTCTATAAGTAGATTAACCTTTCATTTTACAATGTTATCATTGATTGTCCTCTAGATATACCTGTGTTTCCTACGATCACAGCCACTGTGACTTTTCAGGAGTTTCGATATGATGAATTTGATGGCTCCATCTTTACTATACCTGATGACTACAAGGAAGACCCGAGCCGTTTTCCTGATCTTTAACTGACATGGAAAATGATGCCACCTAACCAAGGAAAGCAAGAGAATGCAGACCTCACAAGTGAAGCAAAGTGGAAGGGACACATACTTTCAGTGAAGAAAAGGGAATTACAGGAATTGACACATCAGTAATACGATATGAAATGGGCCTCTAAGAAAAATCTCAGCTAGTTTCCTGATGTGCCATTTTCAGTCTTTTTAAAAATATACATATTATAGTGTAATAGTTTGACACCTTAATGACTCTAAGTACTTCTTATGTAAAACAGCTATGAGTGCTGTGATTTGTTTTTAAAATTTTTACACTTCTTGTTGAAATATATATGCATATAAATATATCTATAGTTATATCTAAAACACTCCTGGACCATTAACATAAATTAAATGTCTTAAGAGATATGGAGTCCTTTTACACTTGTCATCTTATATTCAAGGTGACATTTATAAATATTCCTTCAAACTTTGTTTTCATAAAATGTAAACTATGTAACTTTATGTATAGTCCAGTAATTTGAATGTTTGTTCAATATAATGAACTAGAAAGGAATGCAATTTTCTGTAGATGAATGAACCAAATGGTACCCATTAAACAATTGCATTTATATGTTGCAATACATTTCAGAAGGAGCGTTCACTCTGCAGGGAATAAGGTACCTCCTTTAGCACCTTAGTGCAATTCATTGTGGTGCTATTTGTTTTTACCTGAATTCTTTCTTCAATGGAAAATGTTTGTTACTAATCTTCCTTTCATAGAACTTCTATTTTTTTTTCTAAACTTGAGTTTTAAAGTCTTTTTTTGTGTTCATAATAGGGTATGGTCAGCATGCTTAAAGATAGTCCTCTTCCAAATCTCAGCACTTTAAAAGAATTCCAAAATTTTAAACTTGTTCATAATAAGTACATATCATTCTGATTGTTTTGTTTGTTTTTAGTGGAATAAGGATGCGTGTCAGTTTTAAGCAACAACCCACATTTTGGACATCCCTACATATTTAATGCTTTCAAAGTTAGGTAAAAACATTTTTATATGCTAACAGAATTATATTTGTTATAAGTTAAATTCCAGAAATGTACACAAGATTGATAATTCCTGTTTATTTTTTTAGTCACAAAATATTTATTGGTTTTAATTATCTTCAAAGTGTTAAAATCATGCATTACTCATTTTTGCACTTAAAATTTTTCATGTTTGTTCCAAGATGGTTTAATGGTCCAAGAATGAAAATAAATTAGGGAGAATAATGTATAACAGTCATAATATGTTATGTTGTATTAAAGAAGTTAGCTAAAGAGATGATTTTAAAATGTATCCTGATAAACGTGTCAGAATGTATTTGTCAGGTTTTTTAGAGTGACCAGTAGTTTAAACTTTTTCCAGGATTTTAAATAATTTGAATGAATTTAGAAACCTTTATTGAAAAGATGATTATTTACAAATCCAAAGCATCAATCATAAGATTTTTATAATAAACATCTTTAAAGCTGCATCCTTCATGCTGATAACATATTACATTGCATATTTTGACATTGTATTAAATATATTTTATAATGAAGAAAAATAATCATAGTTAAAAATTCAAAGACCAATTACTTACTACCTGATGTGGGTCTGTTGAGTTTTGTGGAGAGAGTTGGTAAACCCAGACTAGGTTTATTGAGTACAAATTGATCCCAATTATTTTGGGAATGCTTATAGATCAAGTGACTTAGAGATTGAATTGCCCTGTCATTTATTATGTGAGGTTTGAGACACTGAACGGCAGTCATCACTGTCGCTTCTAGGCTTTGTGAGAATATGATATACTTTCAGGAATAAACTATAGATTTTTTAAAATTAGTGCAGACAACTTAGTGGGAGGAAAAAAAACATGGTAAATTGCAACTTGGAATTTGTCAATGTCCTGAAAGCTGTGAATATTTTGCTGGGGTACACTGGAGATAGGAAAACTACTGAAAACTTTTGCACTTCAATTTTGTTTTTAACTCTTTTTTTCTTTCATAAAGAATAGTATAAAGAGATGATCCATTCCAAATGTCTTTTATTTGATCATAAAGGACAAGCAAATGTCAGTATCTCTTATGATGGTCAAAACAAGGAAGTTATTAATGCAAATAAACTTTTCACATTAGACTTTTCAAAATGTGCCTTTTAATCCAGTTAATCACTGAAGCTATTATATGCTCTGTTTCAAGGAAGTAAATCAAAACACCATATATTTTAATAATTCCACATGAAAAGTGATATTTTGTAATGTAGGTCCTTAAAATTGTATATGCCTTCTATTTGTGATTGAAGAAGGGTTTAATCTTGGGGGACTATGAAATTGGTCACCTTAAATGGCTATTTTGAAATGCTCGACATTCCTGCCACCAGTGTGGTATCAAAAGGAGATGTGATTCTTGTCTTAAATAATTCCTTACAATTTGTTTCAGTCTGTATTCATAGGGAATTGTCAGAATTCATAAAAAGGAGGCATAAAGTAGATGCTCTGATTATTGTGAACCTAGGATCATATGGTGGTCAGGAAATTAACACATTTCAGAGAAGCTAAGAGCTGACAGAAGCTAAAAAACAATTTGGTTTGTTTCTTCTTAGCACTGGTATTGAGCCCCACTCGTACTAATAGAAATGGGTTTTTATGTTGTTTGTGCAGTTTATGACTCCCACCTTGAGATAGGGTAGTGAGTAATGATGATTTAGCGACCCCTTCTCCCTAGTTTTCACTAAGTCTACAGCAATGATCCTGTTTCAAGGGCATAGAAAAGGGCTGTAGTAAATATTTTCCGATTGATTTAAGGGTGCTTCCTTTTGCTCACTTATGTTACTGTTATTTGCAATCAGCATGATTGAGAAAGTTGCAGTAGAAAATCAGGTGAATTTGAAGCCCTGCCTTTAAAATTGAGAGAAGTATTGCTTAGTATGGAACACAATATACCTCTGCTGCTAACTCGAGCAAAAGGTATCGTAACTATGTTTTCTCAAATGAACAAAATGCAGCCTTACCAAAGTTGCTCTATATGGAAACTGGAAACTGACAGTGAAACTTGGCCCAGAGACAAAAGGGCAGAGGTATTACACCATTTGTAAAGGCAGCAAAATTAAACTTGCTAAAAGCCGGCCATTTGCATACTGTGAATTAACAAAAACTACTTTTGCAAAGCCTTTTATGTCAGAAATCTGGGCAATATTAAGATCTTAGATCGCCATCTAAACATGTCATCTCAAGTATTAAGTTGCACTTCAGGTCACATGACCCTCTTTACAGTACTACTTAGTAATGAACTAAAATTATAAGCTCATTTAAAATAGTACTTATGGTCATAATGGCACCTGTGAATTACCTAAGCAAAATCTCCTAAGGGTTTTAAAGAAAGGTACTTGGCAGGCATTCCTGAATTTGATTGTTTTGCAGAAGGTGAAGATGACTAAAACAATGAAAAAATAAAACCCACCACTTAATTTACCTATACATTTCATAGTATTCTTGGTCCCTAAAGTTGGCTAACAGTGACTAGCTGGGGTGCTTGAATGGAAATGGGTAGTGGAGTTGTTTTGGAGAGAAGTGAAGCCAAAATTTTGTTACGCACGTTGTGGCTTATCTGCTGGCCCCTTTGGGAGGAGGCAGAACCCAGGCCTGCAGTTATTCAGCACTTCACCTCCTCCTTCAGCCTCTCAAACTTATGGGCTAGGTATGTGTGTTTGGTTTTGCAATGAAAGGTCCTGGCTTCTGCCTTGTCACCATGTTAGAAGCTATGAGACCAGACCTGAGTTTCAGCCCATCCTTGGTTCCAGCTTTTACTTGTGGTTCCAACTTACTTACCTCTCCAACTGTCCACCTTCCCTTCCCAAATGCCTGTTGTCTTCAATCTCCAGTATCATGCAAAGACTGTACACAGCTTTGAGACTACTTAACCAGCTCCCATAATTAAGGTCAAATGACCTGTGACAAACCTTTTCTGCTTCTTTGATTGAATGCTGACTGGCCAGAAAAGTGTTTTTAATCTACATGCTTGTGTTCCCAAACTTGGTATTTAAAGCAAGAGGACTTTAACATTCCATTTTTTGTGTGACTGTGGGCCTTTAACTTCTTATGCATAAATCATACTTTATTTAGCTAACTAGCTCTTAAGAAAAAGACATCATAACTAATTTTAGTGTCACTGGTTTAGTGACGGTGCACTGGGAAAATAACCTAAGTGACATTTTGAAAAGAACATGAACACATCACTTCCCCAATCACTTTTTTTAAAATGATGTCCTTATTCTGTGAATTGTCTTTAGATTGCTGGTAATCAGTATGTTCTTTTGCTAAGAATTTCTAAATGAATTCACATACAGTGAAAATGGTAGCAAAATCAAAACAGTAAAAAATAGACTAAAAAGTCTACAACTCCAGAATTAGTCTCATTTAGAAACTTCTAATAAAGCCTTAGGAATAGACATTCTGGATGTTCTTAGAAGTTCCACTAGCATTTCGATTACATCTATACTTAACCAAAGTAAACACAACTGTATGTACTTGATTAGAGAAGTAGTATCGATAGCACAGGAATGCAATGCATCAGCTATATTTGAGACAAAAGGAACAAATCTCAAGTCCACTTTAAAAGATGTCTGTCAGTCTTCAAGCAGCATTGACCCTAAGCTTGTTAATCTTGAGCCCAAATGAAGATGGTGGTATTGTTTGCCAGAGGAAAAGTTGGCTTGTGAAGTCCCTATGATAGCCACACCTGAATTTAACTGTTAAGATGCAACTTCCGGTAAAATCTGTTTGTATTGTTCCAGTAGAAGCCTCGTTTGTTCTTTTCCTAGGCACCCAACATTGACCTATCTTCCACACAAATATATTGTAGTCACTACCCTGAAACTTCCTGAAGCTCCTCTTCACAAAAATGAAAAGGGCAACATGGCCTTTTTAGTCTTACCTGTATAACATTTATCTTAGTGCTTTGGCTAAAAACATTATCCCAAATTATTGTAATTTTGAAAAGCTCCATAGCAGGTACCATTTATTGACCCAGGCAACACAGGCCTGCACATTAATTCCTTACTGCCAACTACATTGCAAGGTAAGTATCAATCCTGCTTTACAATTAGGAAAATGAACATCACACAGGTCTCCCCAGCTGTAAATAAGACTGAATCTCATGACCAGACTCTTACACAGCCACTACCTCTCATTCACTCCTGGGGAATTTAAGCAAATAAATAGGACAAACATTTTTTCTAACAAAACCACCTTTATTTTTTAATCAGTTACTACTAAATACAGAACAAAACTCAGTGTGGAGGCAGTGTTCACTTGACCTCAGCTGATTATCTGTGTTGAAGACTTGCCCCCTGTCCAACCCTAGTCTTGTGCATAAAATGTTCACTGAAAAATAACCTAAGTATGGATTCCCTTCACTATGGTATCCCGAATCAGTGGCACTATTTTATAGCCAAAAATTTAATCCCTTTTGAAAAGTATATTTGTATTCAACTGATCAGAAGTGAGGAAATAGACTGAGTAATATTAGGTTTCACTTGTTTTTGCTTTACAAAAATGGCAATGTCATATGGTTCAACCTTTATTTACTAAAAAAGATTCGTAAGTTTAAGTAAATGTTATTTGCTATCAACTGTTTTAAAATGATTATTAGGACCATTACTAGAACTTCTTAGACAAAATTCCTTTTGATAAAATCTTTAAAAAGTTAGTTACTACAAACTGTAAAAACAATGCTACTTTTCTATATGGATTTCAATTTTAAAAGTTAAAAAAATTACCAAACTTGGATAAAAACTGTACTTCCAAGTTTCATTTTCCCCTTAATCCCAGCCACTATAGCACTACTCATGTCATAAATGAATAAATATACTATTTAGTACTGTACAGTAGATATATACCATTGACAGTTGCTATACTGTTTTAATAAAGGCAAATTATCTCACTGAAAATACAAATTTACTAGACAAGGTGGGATCATTTGTTTATCCTAAAGTTCTTTCCTTTACTGAGCCCAATCCCTACACCCAGAATATGAGGACTGTAATGCTAAGAAACAGACTGTTTTAGATAGAGATTAAATCAACGTTGACAATTTTGATGGCAACTAATCACTACAGTGATGGCTTTTTATCATATGTAAATGTGTAGCTTAAAAGGGGAATTTGTAAAATGAAATGAGGTAAATGTCATACATTCAACAACTTGTAAATAAATACAAATACAGTTTTACAGGAAAATGAACATAAGTTTCAGGGTTTTATTATCAAAGTCTTGTAAAACAATTTCAGAAACTGTACATCAACGTGGCACAGACTGTAGCCTACTCTTGTTTTTACTGCACAAAAGTGAAGCTTGAAACTCCTGTAACTAAGAAAACAGTTGCCATACTACTTTGCATTTAACATGGAATCACTGTGGGCATAGGATTACTACTGCAGTAACACTAACACAAATTTATTGGTTTTATACAACTTGAGCTCAAATAAAAAGTACATTATCAAGTACATTTTAAAAGCACATGAAGGTCAATTTAAAATGCACTACCCCCTTTTTCCAACACATATTAAAACAAATGAATAAAAGTGGAAAATTGAAAATCAGGACATGAGATAATTTTCCTTTACAGATGGACTCTGGATAGCTTTCACTGATGTAGGTGTAGAATAAATTATTTCAGGAAAAAAAATTCCGAAACACCTTATGAAAAAGTATACAACTCTACTTCAAAATAGCTATTTACTTACTGCCAAAGACAGTTTCTTTTGAAATCTTGTTTCTGTAATTAAAGCCTAAGCAGCCATCAAAAAAGGTTAGTGCATATATAACCTTTCAAAGTTAAACAAAAGCCACAAAAATTCAGCCACAAGGCTTAAAGGATTATCTATTCAAATGCTTATTTCCAGATGTAACTATAAAGATGTTAATTTGTCATGTCAACAAACAAGACCGTAAGTAGATCCATCATGTTGGAGGAGTTTAATGACATTTAGGATATTCCTGCCACAATTAACATGCAATCAGTGCATTCCCTACATGGCTCTATTACGGCAATGAATCAAATTCTAGAAATACTATAAGTGAACTTACTTAAAGGAGATCATACAACTAAAACAATCCATGCCTGCTGTAGATGCATGCAGCTTTTCACCTCTGTTACGAAGCGGCACCAGAATATAACTGCTTGGTTACTCAATCAGATTTCACCATGTCAAGGATTGGTTACCCATGTATCATTTTCTAAAAGCTTTTGGATGTAAATAATATCAACATCAGGAGCTTTATAACCATTTATAGCTCAGAGCTGTATACATCTAAGATCTGAGATGAACAAATACAGCATTAAGAAATCACAAAGGAATGACACTGATGCATGTGTACAGCTGGATTCCCAAGGAGGCTACATTCAGTCACTCATATCCATGTCTTCCTCATGATGATCATCCCCATTCACTTTGGATTCTCTTAGTGCATCACCAGTTCCCTTTTCCACAGAACATTCTTTTGTTTTAGGGGAACCTGGTTCTGTTGGTTTCTTCTCCTCTTTCTTCTCTTTCTCGCTGTCATACCCTTGTTCCTCTTCATCGTAATCCCGTGTAACCTGCTTTGCCAAGGAGAATAATAAAAGTAAACGTCTTCACAGAAAAATCACTTCTTAAAGTACTGGTACCACCCAAAATACCAAAATAAATTAGTTTGTAGACATACTTTTACATCCTTATCACTCTCGGATTTTCTTTCCCGATCCTTTTCCTTTTCTTTACTTTTTTTCTTCTTGCTTGTTGATCGTTCTCTTTCATCTCTGCTTCTTTCTTTGTCTTTATCTTTCTTCTTCTCTTTCTTATGCCTAGGATAACAGTAAAATGTTCTCAAAGAAAAAAAAGATGCTTTAAAGGATACACTTGAAGTTTCATCTATAAGCATAGCATTAAGTTTAAACTTGTTTAGATGCTGAGCTTGACCAAGTTCACATGGTGTAAACAAGACAGCAGAGCCCTGGCTGGGTAGCTCAGCTGGTTAGAGCACTGTCCCAATATGTCAAGGTTGAGGGTTTGATGCCAGGTCAGGGCACATACAAGAATTAAACAACAAATGCATAATTAAGCAGAACAACAACAGAAATCAATGTTTCTCCTTGTTCCTTTCCTTAAAATCAATTAAAAAAATAAGAGGATGGCAAAGATACATTTTGAAAACACTGGGTACAAGCTATGAACATCAAGATTAATTTTGTAACAGGTCTAAAAATGCCCAATCCTCAGCAGCATTTATTATAACTCAGTCTCAAGTCATAAAAGGAAAATAAGAGCATATTCATAAGCATTTTTATCAAAAGAAAATACCTGAAAAATAGAAAGAATAGATCTAAACCATTAACATTCTTACCTCCTAGGGGAGGGTGAGCGAGACAATTTTCTTTTTGGCGACCTAGGCTTTTTAGGAGACCTTGTGCCACTGCGGCTTCTTCGTCGTCGTCTCTCTCTACAACCACAAACATACAAACTAGACTTTAAAATGCAGACACATCACAGCAGATGGGTCTATGATAGAGCTCCATTAGAATCTCTGACAACAGGGTTCTGATAATGAAATGTCTGTTTTCAAATACCGTTTTAAGCCAAAGAATCAAGTTAATAATAAAAAACCATAGTTCTTTATCACACTATGTGCCTTTCCTTTAATGCCCTCAAGACCCCTAATTTCCAGCAGTCCTTCTTAAAGACATTATATCATCACAACATCAAAATTACAACTAAAATACAGAACCATCACTCAAAGCCATCAGATACCAAGGTGAATGGAAGCCTGACAATTATGAAACAAAAGAAACCACATCCACCCAGACTGGTAGGAGGGGTGGGGGTGTGGAACAGGCTGGTTCCACACCCACATGTGGTGGATAAAAATTTGGAGGGATGTCTCGGGAGTGAGTAGTCCCAGCTTATACCAGGCTCCACAGCCCAGAGTTCCAGTGCCAGGAAGGTAAGTCCCCACAACTTCTGGCTGCAAAAACCAGAGGGGATTGAGTCAGTGGAAGGAACTTCTGAAGTCCCAGGCAGTTCCTCTTAAAGAACCCATATACAGCCTTACTCTGTCCAGGAAGCACAGAAAGTCCCAAACAAGATGGATGCAGAGGCCCACTCCTTACTAATTTCCTCTAAGCCCCAGCACCAGCGTAGTAACTTGAAAGGCACCAGTGGCACACAGGGAGGAACTGAAGTGTCTGGCATCAAGGCAAGAGCTTGAGGGACAGTTTTCTCCCAAACAGAAAGGTGGGCACAGGCCATGGTCCCTTTTCTGAGCCCTATCCCCACTGAACCAGTAGGCAGGTACCATATCTGAGACTCCATCAACCTAGCTAACACTGTCCCTCACTGGAGATTCCAGGAAACTCCCTCCCACCCAACTTACAGGGGGTCCACCCAAACTGTTAGCCCTGACTTTTCCATACGAATGGCTTGTCCTGGTTCATGCTTGACAACTGCCTAAATCTTTTCATACAAGCAACAGCCAGCCTAGATTCACAACTTGGCTTTGCCTGTGAATCTCCAAGCCCAGTAATAAGTAGCAGCCATCTCAATATGCTTTATAGCTCAGGCAGGCTGGCCCCAGGCAGAACACAGCTTGGGGCTCACCTTGGCCTGTGCCGCCCAGGAAACCTCTAAAGACAGCAGATGTTGGTGGTAAGTAGTCACAGCCAGTCTTTTCAACTGACTGGCCTGGTAAATCCCTCTTCTTGACCTGCCAACAGCAACCAAGGCTCAACTACAAGAGGAGGGTGCATTCAGCCATCATGAAGGTCTCACTTCAAGTACCCAGCTTGGGTGACTGGAGGCTATGCCACTGGACCTCATATAACACCTACTACATTAGGACACACTACCAAGACAGGAAGTCAAAGCAGCTCTACCTAATACATCAAAATAAACACAGGGAGGCTGCTGAAATGAGGAGACAAAGAAACATGGCCCAAATGAAAGATGAGATAAAAAAAAAAAGTAAAAAAAAAAAGTAGAAAAAAAACAACAAAAAAACAAAAAACACCCCACAAAAAAACCCCACCAAAACACTTTATAAAGATGCTTAAGGAACTTAGCAAGGACAATATAAAAAAGATCTAGTCAGAAATAAAGGATACAGTAATTTAAATAAAGAACAATGTACAGGAAAACAACAGTAGAGTGGATGAAGCTAAAAATCATTTCAATGATTTGGAACATAAGGAACCAAAAACAACCAATTAGAACAAGAAGAAAAAAGAAGCAGAACACAACAACACCCCCCCCCAAAAAAACAAAACAACAACAAAACAAAACAAAAAAACGAACAAAAAGCCCCCAAGGATAGTGTAAGCAGCCTCTGGGATAACTACAAGCATTCCAAAATTCGTATCATAGGGGTGCCAGAAGAAGAAAAAGAGTAAGAAATGGGAAATCTATTTGAAAAAATAATGAAAGGAAACTTCTCTAATTTGGTGAAGGAAATAGACATGCAAGTCCAGGAAGCACAGAGAGTCCCAAACAAGATGGAGGCAAAGAGGTCCACTCCAAGACACATCATCATTAAAATGTTAAAGGTTAAAGATAAAAATTTAAATGCAGCAAGAGAAAAGCAGTTAATTACCTACAGAGGAGCTCCCATAAGACTGTCAGATGATTTCTTAAAAGAAACTTTGCAGGCTAGAAGGGATTGGGGCAAGAAATATTCAAAGTCATGAAAAGGAGGGACCTATAGCCAAGACTGCTCTACCAAGCAAAATGATATCATTTAGAATCAAAGGCTAGATAAAGAACTTCCCAGACAAGAAGAAACTAAAGGAGGTCATCACCACCAAACCATTATTACATGAATTGTTAAAGGAATTTACTTAAGAAAAAGATCCAAACTATGAACAATAAAAGGGTATCTATTATCAATAATTGAATCTAAAAACAAAAACAAAAACAAAAACAAAACAAACCCCAAACTAAGCAGGAACAGAGACAGAATCATGGATACAGAGAGTGCTCTTTGATGGTTGCCAGATGGAAGGGGTATGTAAGAATGAAGAGGTGAGGGAATTAAGAAGTACAAATACGTAGTTATAGAATAGCCACAGGGATATAGAGTAGAGTAGAGGAAATGGGAGAAGCCAAAGAACTTGTACACATGACCCTTGGACATGAACAATGAATGGTATGGGGAATACCTAGGGAGTGGGGATGCTGGGTGGCAGGGGGCCAAAGGGGAAAAACTGGGACAACTGTAATAGCATAATGAATAAAATATAATTAAAAACATTACATCATCATGGCACAAGAAATGTTAAATTAGAAGAATGACTGATTAACCAAAGTTCTATTTTAAGAGAGAAAACCTGTGTAAATGATTTAAGAAATCAGTTTTTGATTCATTCATCAGTGTCCAGGAGAGATATAGGATCATAACTTGTAATATATATGTAAGGCAGGTGCTAATAAAATCCAAGCAAGCAAGCAAACAAGCAAGCAAACACTCACACACAAATACCCCTTCTAAATCAGTAGGTAAAAACTCAGACAACCAGAGTTAATGGTAATGGACAGAGATCAAACTGATTACCTACACTCCAGCAAACCATGTTCCCCAACCCTGTTTCGAGCAATCAGTGTTTAGGATAAATAGCTATCTCCCTCTCTTTAAAGTATGTCATTAAAAAAAAGAAATCTGCTTCTATTGCTATTTTCAAATGTTATTAGGACTTGCAAGATGATCATTATATAATTTAGGTACAAAATAAAAATAAAACCCCATACTTTCATCTGTCTAGTTTCTATAGGAGCCCCCTCCCTTTAAACTGTCACAGCACTGTGTGATTCCCTGGCCCGCCCCCCCACCCAATCCCCACCCAGGTCCTGGAAACATCACACACAACTTCATTTATCAAGTATTTATTAAGTTTGTCAGGGCTGTACACCTCATACTTTTTATAACTGTTTTGTATAATGAACACCCTGAATTTCCTAGATGGAAGAGGTGTTTTATATTTTACATGTCCCTTGATAGAAAAGCACAACTGCAAACACATAGTAAGGTATTGAATAAAATCTCACAGAATATGCCACAATTTTAGGTGATCTAATAATTATGCAGGGCAGGGTGTTTATGAATAAGTACATTAAATGATGCAATAGGAAAAAAGAAAACATTCCGTTTTTAAGCTAAGAAACACACGTTACACAGCAAGCACATCCAATCTTTCATGCCCCTTTGCCACCTACCCTCCAGACTTAGCTTGGAAATTTCTTGAGCACTTCGTATCAGGTTTCATTTTCTTTTTTTAAACAGTTAGTCCTCAATATCTGCAGGTTTCACACTCACAGATGCAGAGAGCTAACCATATGCATTATTCTATACCATTTAATATAAGGGTCTTGAGCTTCCTTCAATTTTGGTATTCACAGGGGGTCCTAGAACCAACGCCCTGCCCCCACCTACCTGGGGGACAGCTGTATTTACCTTTTAGGAAAATATTCCTCACCATGAAAAGGAAGCCCATACACTTTAGCTATCACACCCCAACCATTAATCTACTTTCTGTCTTTATAAACTTACGTATTCTGGACATTTCGTATAAATGGAATCATTTATAAATTTCATTTCGTATAAATGAAATTACATAAATGTAATTTATGGTTCTTTGTGACTGACTTCTGTCATCTGACCAGTTTTCAAAGTTCATCCGTATTTTAACATCCATTAACACTTTCTTCTTTTTTACTGCTTGATACTTCATTGTATAGATATAACATTTTGTTTACCCATGGTAACGAACATTTGGGTTGACTTTTTGGTTATTAGGAATAATGCTGCTATGAAAATTTAATGCATAGGGGTTTTGTGTGAAATGTTTTCTTTTCTCTTGGGTATATCCCTAGAAGTGAAACTGCTATGTCAAAAAACTCTGTATTTAACTTTTTAGGAAGTGTCAAACTGTTTTCCAAAGTAGTTGTACCATTTTACATTCACATCAGCAACATACAGTCTCAGGTTCTCCACATCCTCATCAACACAAGTTATCATCTGCTTTTTTTATTATAACCACCCCAGTGGGCATGAAGTTTATTTTTTTAAAGATTTAATTTATTTTTAGAGAGGGGGAAGGGAGGGAGAAAGACAGGGAGAGAAACATCAATGTGTGGCTGCCTCTTGAATACTCCTAACAGAATCGGTGAATTTCTGGTTCATAGGTCAGCACTCAATCCACTGAGCCACACCACTCAGGGCAAGAAGTGGTTTTGACCTGCATTTCCTGATGACTAATGTACATCTTTTCATGTTTACTGGACAATTTTTTAAATTTGTCTATGATTAAGTTATAAATAATAATACTTTACATACTCAAGATATGAGTCCCTTTTCGGATATATAATTTGTTATTTTCTAGCAATCTGGGTTGACTTTATTTTCTTGATAGTATTCTTTGAACACAAAAGTTTTTAATTTTGATGACCTCCAAAATTTTTACCTTTTGTTGCTTATACCTGCAATACCATAGCTAGAAAAATCACTGCCAAATCAAGGTCATGAAGATTTACTTCAGTGTTTTCTTCTGAGTTTCAGTTTCAGGTTTTACATTTAGGTTATTCAACATTTTGAATTAATTTTTGTACATAGAGTGAATCTCTTAACATTTAATAAACAAGGTAAGAAAACAAACACTGCAGCAAAATGTGTAAACTAGGTTGGAAGACAATGAAATTAAGTATGGCCGGCTTTCACTAATTTCATATAAATTCCAATGTTAAGCGTGAAAAATATTCCTGTGGAGTAAAGTGTGCAACACTAAATTTGCACACTATGGCAGGTTAAAGACAGAAATACAACTCTAAGAATGGTACAAATTATAACTGTTTCCCATTGTTTTATCAACGAACCACTACATATGGGGGGAAAAGTTCTTGAGTATTAACATGTTGACATTTTAAATATGACTTAATAAATTTAACATAACAATTCAAATCAGGATGTGAAATGCATATAGCAAACATAAAAACTGACCTCTGTTGAATTCCATGTTATTTCAAATATACTCTACATCATAAATATTAAGTAAGAAGATGAACTTTAAGTTATTCTTTACAAACTGCCTCTAAAAACTGTTAATAATAAAGTATGTACAGGGATGGGCAAAAGTAAGTTTATAGTTGTTCATATAGAAAGTAATGTAACGAATAAACTGTGTTTTGCTCACTCGCAGCTGTAAACCAACTTTTGCCCATTCCTAGAGATACTGCAAAACATTTAATGTTCACAGTATATTGATATCCTTGCAAACAAAGATTAAAAAAAAAAAAAAAAAAAAAACCCAAACCCCAAGAATTCATAATGTCTTACCTGCTTGCACTTCTGGACCGTCTGGCTGTGCTGTAACTTTTTGGTGGTGTTTTGGAACGTTTCTTTTCTTTGTCTTCTTTCTTTTTGTCTCTAATCAATGAACAAAATTTATGACTGCATTAGAAATTTCAGCTAATATAAATGTATACAGTTACAAATAAAAACAAAAATACAGTGAGACCTAATTCCATTTTTAAAGTATGAGTGTTATTCTAATAAATACTATATAGATATATAATTCAAGGGGTATTATTTGAAGTAAAAATCTTTTCTGAAAAATCCTATTTTCTACATAAAACTTCTCCAACAGAACAAAGTAGACTGACGAGAATATGATAAAGGGTATTGAAGAGTTTCTTGGTTGTGTGGCATAAACCCTCACAGTTTTAATAATTATCTCTAAGCTCTTCAATAGTCCTTTCTTTCAACTGATTTGTTTCCTAAACTACCATGGCTCTATGTCCTCTAGATCAGGCGCAAATTCCTAGGTTTAAACAATAAATCTTTCTGTTTATTTGTCACCTTAATTTTTTTTAACCTCATTTACTGGTCTTCCTACGCCAAAACACTTGCTATTTCAATAATTCATGCTAAGTCTAACAATATTCTCTACCTGAAACCATGCCCACTCACTGGGTCCCATCAAATCTATCTCAAATTAATACTCATGAGTCACTTCTCAATTGAGCCTCTTTCAACATCACTAACAATCACTTCTTATGTATATTCATCTTTTTACTAGTATAAAGCTATTTGAGGAAAGTAATGACTAATAATTCCTCTTTATATGATAGAAGCTTGTTTGATTGACTTAAAAGACGACCCACTCAGTACAACCTGACTAAAAACCCCGTTATGCAAGGAACATGCAGCAAAGCTATCCCAGAATTTATGGTTCTAGCTGAATGTTTACCAAGAATAAATTTTGTTGGCCCTGCTGTCCTTTATTACATTATTAAATACATAAATGGTGAAACAGTATAAAGACCTGCTTCTAGAAAAATAAGGCAAAAATTTTAGGGAGATACAAGACTGTTGTGAAACTATGTGTGACAACTACACAGAGGAAAAAAGCAACTAGGCACTTTTCCAGTGACAGAGTTCCCTTGTCACCATAAAGCGGTTCAAAGGAAAAGACTAGTTTGGTATTTGTTACTCAAGGCTAGGCATACTAATTTAAAAGGTTTTTTGCCTTAAATGAAAAAGATTGATTTTTGAATGCATGTTAAAAGTTGAAATAAAATGTTAGGGTAGAGATATTTGTTTTTAATAAATCCTCACTTTAACTCTCTACTGGTCCCAAATCATGGGATAAAAAGACTATGATTCAGTCTCTGGCATATAACAAATCTTAATAAATATTTTTACGTGCTTATGACATGTATAAAGATGAATTAAAGCATGGTTGACTGCAATAAACTCTTTGGCATCCCATGAGGAATGGCTGGTAGCACTAAACCAATCCTTAGGGGTGGTTGAGTGGAAAGAGGAAATGAAGGAAGGTAGTAGGAATTCTTAGCTGTCCTACTACAAAGAAATCTTACCTAGGTTTTCAGCTGTAAGTAGAAACCTCAAGTTTACAAAGGAAACAAGAATACAAATGTGACTTACTATAATAATATAAATTGAATGTAATAATTCAAACAGGGATGCAAAATGCATCCCGTTAGCCTCATCAAACTTCATAAAGTTTCTTCCCCAGTCTAGTCCTATATCCCATTACCACCTCTTGTCATTAAGAAGCACAGTCTTTGGGGTCTTGGGAACTCTAAAATGTCTTCTCACCCAGTATTAACTGTCTGTGTACCTGGTTTTTGATGTGCTCCTTGACCTTCTACCTCTCTCTCTGGAATGAGATCTTCTCCGTCTTGGACTTTTGGATCGTCGCCTACTTCTCGACTTAGAATGTGATCTCCTTCTTGATCTGCTTCTTGATCGCCTAATAAAAGAAAGCCAGTATGTATAGATAAATGTAAAAAGACTAGTTCTGTTTGTGACTATTTCATATAGCATCAGATATATGGGCTAACCATCAAGAAATGAGGATCATTTCCTTCCAGTTGCTGCCACTCTTTAGTCCATACAATAAACATTTTTGCTACCCTAGATTTATGTAATACCTTTTGTTCAATGTGTGAAACTAATCCTATGCCCAATGAAACTACAACACTGAACTTAAAAAAATACTGCTAGAGAAAACAAAACAAAACAAAAAAAAAAGTACACCTTCCACATTACGTAGCATTTTGGAATGTCCTTATTTGATAGATTTAATCCACAATAGTGAAGAATCAATTACCAAATATTTATTATACATATGCCAAAAGGTTGCGGGTTTGATCCCTAGTTGGGGTGGATACAAGAAGCAACTGATCGATGTCTGTCTCACTCTCTCTCCAAAACCAATATATATCCTCAAGTGAGGATTTAAAAAACAAAACAAAAACAAGAAAAAAACACTAGCAAAAAACCAAAAACTAAGAAGATTAGAATTCTTAGTAGTATCAACAATTCACAAAAGTTAGTATTTTGAACAAAGAAAAAGGAGTTCCTCAGGTGGATATGAGAAAGTATTAGGTAAAGATATGAAAAAGATTTAGGCAGAAAGGAACATCATGAGCAAAAACTTGGAAGCATAAAGAAGAGGTTATGTTCAGGCAAGCAGTACTATGGTTAACTATTTTTGGGTGGTGAGTGACAGGTGTAAGTAAAAAAGAAAAGCTAGACTGAATAAGTAAAAAACCCTGAATGCCATTCCAAGGTTTTATTTAACACCTTATGAGACCAATAGGGAACTTGTCAAAGTTTAAGAGTTGTAACATGATCCTGTCTTAGGTTTATGAAAGAAATCTTTAAGAATAAGATAAGCTGAAGGAAGGTAGATAACACAAAATAGATATGCCAGATAGGCCAAACACTGTTAATATTTTGCTATGGAATGAAATTGTCCTCCCTAAAATTTGTATGCAACGCCTAATCCCCAAAGTGATATTTTAAGGTGGGATCTTTGGGAGGTGACTAGGTAAAGAGGGTGCAGCCTTCCTGAGTAGAAATAATATTCTTTTGAAAGAGATCTTAGAGATCCCTTGCTCATTACCATTTGAGGACACAGCAAAAAGATGGCCCACTATAAATAAGTAGGTCCTCAACAGACACCAAATTTGCCAGTACCTTGATCTTGGACTTCTCAGCCTCCAGGACTATGATAATCTCTGTTGTTTATAAGCCACCCAGTCTATAGAATTTCTATTATAGCAGCTGACTAGACGAAGACACTGGCCAAGAACTGACCTGATAATGTCATGGGGTCCATGAAGTCAAAATTATTTTCAAAACAAGAGATATATTTGCCTTTTTTTACTGTGTTGACATTTGTGTTAATGGTACAATAGCAATGGTGGTGTAAAAGTATTGGCAACTCCTTATCACAAACTAAGTTAGTAGCAACTGAACTGCCTTACTAGACACTGCATTCTTCACTGCCACTTGTAGTAAGTAAGCACTTGAGGTAAAGGATAAAACAAAAGTATTTTCACAAGGGAAGTCTTTGATAAAGCATTAACAAGTATTAGTTACGAGTCTTACTAAAGCAGTTTTATTTACTGTTGAGTAGTTAATATTTAATCTAGTCCCTTGAGCAATATCCTATACAATTAAAAATGGGAAGTACGGATAGATCACTTCTGATACTTACTAAACTTCAATATATCAAAGGAGGCACTTTTGGACCAAAATTTGAGCTTAAACTGTCTTGTCCATGAAACATCACCTTTACTTGAAAGAACTGGTAAACTATGGTTGTTCAGACTTGGGTATTTGGCAGCTATTTTCTTGAAAAAGGAACAAATACTATCATTTCAAGGGAAAAATTCAATTTGTTGCCAATGATAAAAATCTGAGTTTTCAAAGAGAAAATTTTGGAAAACTTGAATCCACTATTGTGAATGGACCACATTCTCTGATGAGATTGGTGGTGGTAACACTAAATGTCATTTTTTTTTTGTTATAGCAAAAATGTGTTAACATTTGAAAACTTGCATAAAGCAATGAGTTGATTATCTTGCAAACCACCAACAAACAATTTTGCAAAAGTATGTTTGGAAAAAAGATCTATTCAAAGTGTTAAGGAAGATCAATGGATCTTCATGTAACACTGTATGAGAGGTTCCTTTATGGTTTCAAATTCCTCAATGCAACTATCTTCTAAGAAACTATCATTTGTCAAGTTTTGTTGTTAACCAAAGAACACAGGTTGCAATTTACCTAAAAAGACTATAAAATTACTTGTCTTTTCTAACTATGTTCATGTGAAGCCAGACTTTCTTTATATAATAACTAAAGTATATTGTAGTAAGTTAAGTATAAAATCCTGTGTCTACATGGTAAACATCAAAGAAGTTTGCAAAAAAGTAAAACAAAGCCACTCTTCTAATTTTCTTTAAAAGTTTAGTTTCAAAGCTGTGTGAATATGAATAATTTTACTGTCATTATTTTTAAATGATAGTTTTAAATTTTAATATGGCCTACATAAACAGCTATAACCAATGTAAACACTATTTGGGTTTCTCAAACTTTCTATTAAGTATAAAGGTCTTAGTACCAGCAAGACCAAGAGCCACCAGTCTAAAGAACCTTACAAATTTATACAGGATATCATGTGGAAAAGAGAATAAACTTATTTAGTCTTACTCTAGGCAGGATAACATTATACTATCAGTATATCTAACAATACAAAAAAAAATCTCAAGGTAACAGTAACTTATATGATTTGCAAATAAATATTCATGTGTTAGAGGGATAATGTGCAGGCTACATGATGACCTTCCAACTTAAATCTTAGGAGAACCCAGAGAAAAGCCAAAACTAGAATTCAAAAGTTTCAAGTGCAGTTCTTCTCACAGCACTAAGTCAGGTTAGTGCTTAAGTTCCAGCGCCTTCCTCCTATGCCTGAATATTTTGGAGTTTAAAGTATCAATCATCTATTATAGCCCATACCTTTTTTCCATTTTATATATGTGAGAACACTTATTCCAACACTTTGCTAACAGCACTTGTTACTAACAAACACTTTAACCAGGAGCTGCTAGACAAACTGAAGCAGCAAATTAAGAAGGATGTGACAGGTAGAAATGACCTTTGTCTAAGGCACAACTGAATACCAAAAGCAACCAATCTAACCTGTGCCTAGAAGATGAAGGAGTCCTCCTTCTTCTAGAGCGTGATCTCGATCTTGAGTGTCTTCGTTTTTCTTCTTTCTTATCTGGATTTAAAAGAAAAAAAATCCCAGATTTTAAAATCACCAAATAGATTAATCCCACTGGGGAATTTATCTAAGAATTTCTTTATCTTAATTTTCAGTGTTACACATAATCAATAAATGTTACAAGTGATCATTTTACAATCAAAATGTTGAGACTTACTGAAATTATACAACTTATCCAGGGTTTTGTAAGATCCAAATTAGACTTATGATTTTCAGCTGATTTCATTTTTAGACTTGGGAGGCTATCAAGTGTTGTCCATAAAATAATCTATGAAAAATGTTATCTTGCCGACCCTATGGCTCCATCTTGGGAGGCTACACTTGGCCTCCTTGCACAACCAAAAGGACAACAAATTTAAAAACAACAACAAAAAAATAACCAGAACTGTCAGAAAATTGAACTGTATGGAAGTTTGACAACCAAGGAGTTAAAGAAACACTCATCCAGATGGGTAGGAGGAGTGGGGACAGGTAGCAGGAATGGAGAGGATATGTGGGGCAAGGTGGGAGCTGGAGGACTGAGGCAGGTGAGGCAGCAAATGGTAGAGTGGCCAGTCTCACATTTGGGTGCAGATAAACCAGGAAGAACAAGAGGAGAGACAGACTGCGCAACCCAGGGTTCCAGTACGGAGAAATAAAGCCTTAACGTCAATGACTGAAAACACCTGTGGGGGTTGAGGCAGCAGCGGGAGAAAACTCCCAGCCTCACAGGAGAGTTTGTTGGAGAGACCCACAGAGTCCTAGAATGTACACAAACCCACCCACCTAGGAATCAGCACCAGAAGGGTCCAATTTGCTTGTGGGTATTGAAGGAAATGACTGAAAGCTGGCTAAGAGCTGAGCAAGCGGCACTGTTTCCTCTTGGATCCCTTCCCCACATACAGCACCTCAATGCAGCTACTACATGGGTTGCCCTGCCCTGGCAAATACCTAAGGCTCCTCCTCTTACTATGTAACAAGTGTGCCAAGACAAAAAATATGGCCCAAATGAAAGAACAGATCAAAGCTCAAAAAACAAACAAACAAAAAAAAACAACAAAAAAACCCCACCCCAAAAAACAACTAAGTGCCAAAAAGATAGCCAACCTATCAGATGCATGCTTCAAACCTTCGTAACCAGGATGCTCACAGAACTGATTGAGCTCGGTCGCAAAATGAAGGAACAAATGAAGGCTACCCCAAAGTGAAATAAAGGAAAATGTACAGGGAACCAACAGTGAAGAAAAGGAAACCAGGATTCAAATCAACAATTGGGAGCAGAAGGAAGAAACATTCAACCACACACAAAAAAATGAGGAGAGGCTTAGGAACTTCCAGGACAACTTTAAATGTTCCAACACCCAAATCATAGGGGTGCCAGAAGGAGAAAAGGAGGAGCAGGAAATTGAAAACTTATCTGAAAACATAATGAAGGAGAACTTCCCTAATCTGGCAAAAGAAATAGACTTTCAGGAAGTTCAAGGAGCTCAGCATCCCAAAGAAGTTGGACCCAAGGAAGCACACACCAAGGCACATCATAATTACATTAGCCAAGATTAAAGATAAGGAGAGACTCTTAAAAGCAGCAAGAGAAAAGGAGACAGTTGCCTATCAAGGAGTTCCCTTAAGACTTTCAGCTGATTTCTCGGGAAAAACAAAAACAAAAACAAAAGCAAAAACAAACAAACAAACAAACACCTTACAAGCAAGGAGCTGGAAAGCAGTATTCAAAGTCATGAAAGGCAAGGACCTACATCTAAGATTACTCTGTCCAACAAAGCTATCATTTAGAATGGAAGGGCAGATAAAGTGCTTCTTAGATAAGGTCAAGTTAAAGAAAGGAGTTCATCATCCCCAAGCCCTTACTATGTGAAATGTTAAAGGGACTTATCTAAGAAAAAGAAGATCAAAAATATAAATAGCAAAATGACAACAAACTCAACAGCCATCAACAATAGAACCTAAAAAAAACAAACAAACAAAAACAAAAACGAACTAAGCAAACAACTAGAACATGATCAGAATCATAGAAATGGAGATCACATGGAGGATTATCTGCGGGTAAGGGGGTAATGGGGAAAAGGCACAGGAAATAAGAAGCATAAATGGTAGGAAGAAAACAGATAGGGGCAGGTTAAGAATAGTATGGGAAGTGGAGAAGCCAAAGAACTTATATGTACGACCCATGGACATGAACTAAGGTGGGGGAATGATGGTGGAAGGGAGGGTACAGGGCAGAGGGGAATAAAGGGGAGAAAAAAATGAGACAACTGTTAATAGCATAATCAAAAAAATATATTTTAAAAATAAACCAAATAAAAAAATATGTATAGATAGTCTTTCTCACCCTTTATTCTTCAGGTTTAGAAACAAGGAATCCCTTTTCCACTGCTAGGTTTACTTTCCCAATATAACTACATCGTGCCAAGATTAAAATTTTAATTTTTCGTATGTTTATGTATAATAACAGCTCCCCAATACTTAACTGTAAAATAAATATTTAATGATAAATACACATTTTAAATTCTTGGTTTACCAAAATGTCCCTTCTTTCTTCATCACTTAGCTCTATGCTCCTTTGCTAAATAAATACATTTATGTGTATTTATATCAAAGTGGTTGGTAAACAGGTTCAATATTTGGGCCTGGCATTCTGAAAGTCATTCATTCACTGTTCTCACTACACTTCTGTGAAAGAATTGGATTTCGGGAAGCTTGTGCTCTTCATCTCTCTTCTTCCTCACCAATTTTCAACTGTGTAAGTGTATGAGATAAATCTAGAAATTAACTTAGGATGTAATAAGAGAAATAAAAACACTGCATTTATGGACAATCATCAAAGTGAGAATTAATTCCTCTTTTACTTTCACACTATTTCATTAATAGAATCCGAGTTATTGTTAATGTTATTAATAATTAATAGAGAGTCCTAGAGAAAATAATCATAAGAAAAACCACTTTAAGTCATTCCAGTTAAAAGTTTTTAATGAAAACAGTTGTAGCAGGGTGTTCTAGCTTTGGAGCCAGAGACCCAGCGGTGTATCTAAAAGCTCCTAGTGTTTGACGTGTGACTTTCAGGTAATTAGTTTTTTATTAATTAAATGACATAATACACATAAAGCACTTATATTAATTTATCCAATATTCAACTGGCTGCCTTCTGTACAGGCCATGATTGGGGGCTGGGTGCTCTGACTGGGAATTGAGCCCACCATCTTTTTGGTGCACAGGACAACACCCCAACCAACTGAGAGCCACCTGGCCTGGGTGCAATAATCATTTTTGTCCACAATCATAGTTTAAGATTCTACATGAGTTCATGAACATATTTTACCTGGTTCTATGGCAGCAGAAATTAGGGACTGTGCTTCTCGTACTCTCTTCATAGCTTCCTCTATTTCTTTACTGGAGGTATCTGATTTCAGACTTGGTGAAACAAGACCAGCAGCTACATGATTCAACCTAAAACAGAACCAAGAATTGAGACCAGGAATATTTTAAAATGCACAACAGCATTTCAAATAAATACATAAGTGCTTCATATAACATTTTAGTAGGATATTCCTTGCAAAAAGAGGGGGAGGATCTAATTTTTTTGTGTGAAAAACACCATATAGTAGGTACTTATAGTAGTAAGGGTACTTTTGAATATTTAATGGCTCCTGTATTTTAAAGACTCAAGATATCCAAAATAGGCAGTGGCCAAAGCACATGAAATTCCTGATTGAAGAGGCTAAAGATGCATCTTTCAGGGTTTATATTGTACATGTGAGAAAAAAATTAGACACCAAATTTAAGTCAACAGTTATTTGTGGAGAAAGTGGGAAGTGTAAATAAAAATGGGTACAAGGAATTTCAACTTTATTAATGATATTTTATTTTATAAACTGGGTGACAGGCACATAATTGGATTTTTATCTATTAACTTTTAAGAAAAAATTCCACTAACTACTACAGTAAAATAATTCTGTCCTCCTTCTTCCTATACTCTCCCACTTACTGCTAGTGACTTTCACCAAGGAGAAAAAGCATTCAGTTGAAATTTAAAATACCAAGAAATTATCAATTAAAATAATTATGACTTTCTTATATGTCCACTAAGTAGGAAATATAAGTTACAGCATGTAGAGAACTTTTCAAAGCACCTAAAGATGCTGGCCATTATTATGACATATGTCACTCCTTGGCTCTAGGCTGTTTCCTTCACTCCTAACTCCTATTCATGTCCTAGAAATTAGCTTCTCTGATCTTCAAACTAAGTTCTTGTCCTTGTAATGTTTCCACAGCACCTCTGTATTTCCTCTAGTTGGATCCACATGCTTCACTATATTAAATAATGTCTCCCTTCCTGACTAGAGTATAAATGCTATAAAGGTATAAGCTTACAGTAGGTATTCAATATATATAATAATATTTTCAATGAATCAACTAAAGACAATGCTTAGCTATTTTCTCATTATTTCAGTATATTTATAATTACTTTGAAAGACTCAAATTACAATAAATAAAACCCTTTATAGATGGACTTACCATCTCAGAAACAAGGATTTTTCTCCTCATTCCTAGAGAAATGAATTACATACTGTGCGCCTTGACATAATTATCTTTATAGCTATCAAAAAGTAACTGCTCTCCAGACACACACTATATCCACATCATCAATGGAAACAAAGAAAAAATCCTTACTTGGGATCCACAGTACTCATAAGCTTCAGCAACTGATCTGCTGCAAGAGACTGCAAAAGCAAAAACGTCACAACAGTGAGAATACATAAAGCAATAATGATGGCTATTTTATTTTTTTAGGATGCTGAAATGTCCTGAGACAACCTGGCAGACCTATAAAAAGTAGCATTTGAGGCAAATATGAAAATGGAAATACAATGCCAACTAAGTGTCATATTAAGTTTTCTAATAGCCACATAAACATCACTGGCTGTAGTACTGGTAATTTAGCAAGTTAAATATGAAGATTGTAAGAATGAACAATCTCGATTTTACAAAAACAATTACCTCATGCTTACTTTAAGACTTTCTGAGGGAAAGTAACGTCTCTTTAAAGAAACATGAAAAACAAAATTCAAAGTGCCTAGCCAATATAATAAATCAAAAATTTTCACAATGTAAGGATTCCTGAAAAGTTTGCCAAATTACAATGTAAACAAAATTTCCAAGTGAATAAATGACAGAAAAACAAAGACTTCATAACATTAAATCTCTTAACAAGGGTATATAAGAAAAAAATTAATACACAATCATTTCTATCCTGCTCTTGAAATGAACAGTAACAGTTAATAAATTTTTTATTATTAACTTAAGAATGAGCTCAAAAGTTGAAGGGTATTAAATTTTACCTGTGAATTCAAGTTTGCTCCAGGAAGCCCAAGTGCAGCAAGGGCAGGATCAAGAGTAGGAGCTCCCAAGGCAGCCAATGGAACAGCGCCAATCTGTGAAATTACAAAATTTTATTTTAAAAATTTCATTTGTTCTTTGTATTGCATGTGTCTGTGTGTGGTAGGGTTGTCAACTTATTCTTCCTTCTAAACAGCAAATAATTAGTTTAAATTTGTAGGCTACATGACTGCTGTTATAACTACTTGACTATACCACTGTTGGTTGAAAACAGGCACACGTAATACGGGGTGTGGGGGGGAAGGGCAAAAAACTCCAGAATTTATTTATAAAAAATTGTGTATTTATTCTTATATGTTTAAACTTTGGTCACCTTCAAAGTACTCTCCACTTGATGCAATACACCTAATACAGATTTTTCCACCGCTCAAAGGAGTTTTTGAACTCATCAATTTTGATGTCTTTTAGTGCTTCTGCTGTTTTTTTTGTTTCACATTTTGCAAATTGGCAAAGTGTTTCCATTTGAGGACTTTGTCCAGGTAAACAAAAAAGTCGTCGCCTGGGGAGAGATTGGTGGAATAGGGAGAGTGGGTGGAACCCCGGGGGTCCTGTCACTTTTGGTCAAAACCAGAATATTAAGAACAGTAAGGGAGGTATGCCTATAAACCACCCCCCAGGTAAATCATGAAATGGGTAAAGGCGAAGAGTCTTAAAAAAAATATCACTGGATAATGCAGCCTCTTACAAACAATGCCAACTGGTATGCTGATATAGATGGCGTCCTATAACACTAACCTAGTGGAGGGAGCCTATACTACATACAAGGAGCCCACCCTCTAGCAGATAATTCCATTTTCACTGGGTCCCCTGTCATACAAAAACAAAGGGAATAGTTGGGTCCTAATAAACAAAAATGGGTGTCTGGCCCAAAAGCTGTAGTTTGCCCACCTCTGGCCTCATTTTCCACCTGTAATTACAGCACATTTATCCCTACAATCAGAATTTAGATAAAAATGTTCAATATATTCTTACGTCAATTATAATTGGGGAACTGAAGTGACATTGTGAAAGGGGTTTCTCTTCCTGGTTCCTATGTCACCTTTCTGACTATTACTGCAAGCCATGTGGGATACCCAGTGGCCTTCACCTCTGTGCAAGTTTCAGAGCCATCTTCTTGTGTACCTTCCTGACAAGTTCTATGGTACCCTGGAAAACTTCCCTACTATCCACCTATTTCAAATGAGGTCTGAATCTTACTGGGGGAATGGGGTGGGTGGGGAGAAACCCCCCTCATCTAAATGTGTTTTTTCCTGTTGTATTCTTTCTTTCTTAGTCCTAGAATGGTTGCTTCCTATATCTGCAATTAATATATTCCTAACTAGGAACCAACACCTAGTTAGGTTTCTGTTACTAGTTATTAATTTCTTATACTAAACTTTTCCTGCTCAAATTACTGTGTGGTTCTGTCTCCTGTCTAATATAATTCTGATTAATCAGTAATTTAAGACACAGCCCTGGCTGGTGTGGCTCAGTGGATTGAGCGCTGTGAACTGAAAGGTTTCCTGATTCAATTCAAAGTCAGGGCACATGCCTGGGCCCCCAGGTGGGGGCATGTGAGAGGCAGCCAATCTGTTTTTCTTACACACTGGTGTTTCTCTCCCTCTCTAAATATAAATAAAATCTTTAAAAAAATACTAATAATTTAAGACACAAACCATGCAAAATCTTACAGCCCTGAGGGCAGTTTGACCTTCTCTATAAGCAGTATACTGAAAGTTCTCCTAATTGCAATTTTTAATAAATACAAGGTTCCAAACTTCTGTAGTTAACTATGTACCGAGTATAGTTAAAGTGCTGTATTAATACTATTATATAAGGTATCTCAGATATTACACAATTTTATACATCAGAGATATCTACAAACTTCCCAGATCTGCATTTTATAAGTGACAAACAACCAAAGTCATACTCAAAAAGCTGGGAATTCATGATCTCAGTCTTTGTATGATACCATGCAGTTCACTTAACAGTTAACTAAACTACTTAGGAAAAGTGATTTAATGAAAGAAATGTTACTATGAAGTTCTAGTTGAGGCTCCATCATTAGCTTTATCTGTGAAAACACTGACCAGCTACAATCTTTCTGAATGGCTGTAATACATGGTATTTAAAGAAACCTTTGGCTCTAAAGTCAACTTTTTATAGCATTATCAGGGCTGGAGAAATGAATTACGTATTGTGCACCTAGAAACATTAGAAACATTACCTGGTAAAATTTTCTCCAACTTGACTATTTTATCTTCCCCATATCAAACATATCCACAAATTCATTTTTCTTTCATGCCACCTACTTAATTAAAACCCCAAGGTAAGAGCAAAAGATCAAAATGCACTGGCAAAGAAAAAAAATTGAACTTTGCCTTTATTTTCTTTCCCAGTCCAAGCCTTTTAAACAGCGTGCTCCATGAGATTTTTTTTTCGTATTATTGGGTTACTTTGAGAGTCGGTGGCAAAATCAGTATGACAGATACTTGTGATTTTCAGAATGTTCTTAAAATGAAAATTACTACGAGATTCTATTTAGTATTTATGATTGCAACATAGCCTTTTACAACATTCTACACATGACACATCATTCTGTGAACTACAATTGCCACAATGCTTTCAAAACTCATTTATGTTCAGTTTTATCCATAATTCTGTGCCCCTTTCTATCCTTTAAGCTATCAACAGAACTAGTACCTGGGTAAGTGGGTTAGGAGTAGGCAGGAGTCCACCACCAGGCAGAAGACCTGCCACTGCATTAGCTGGTGCCAACAGAGACAAAGCCTTAGTCTCATCAGGAATAACTCCTGCAGAGAAACATCCTTGCATTAGAACACACCCTTTTGCAAGACAGAAAACACACAAAAACACCCAGAAAATGTCTCCCTGATACACCACCTGAGTTTGTTGAAAGTACTTATGTTCGCTAAAACATAAAGTTTGATTTCTATGATTATTTATCATTAATTTTATGTCAGAAAGAAACTTCAATGTGTGAAAATTTGTTTCCTTTTTTCTCTACAAATGGTTAAGTTTCTAGAGTAAAAAAAAAATAGCACAATACACACTACTTTTTTGTTAACACTGCCAAGATTTCATCACCTGTACTCGATTTTTAAGTCATGAACCAAACGTAAGCAAGCACAGTCGGTTCTCCAGGGGTGTGCTCTCAACTTTCAAAAGCTGTTTTATGAACAACGACTCGTGTCGGCTGCTTCACTATAAAGCACACAGAAAAATCAAGATACACAAGACAAAAAAAGTTTGATTTAGGGGTTAATAATATGGTACAGTTACTACGATTTTTACACCTACCATACAAATTTTGTAAAAATTAAGAGAAGAAAGTATGTAAAGGAAATATTCTGTTGGAATCAAGTGTAGGGCTTTTGCTGACTCATGAAAATGAATGTTTCTGAAGGTCTCTGAATACACACTGGATGTGTGTGTGGTAGTGAGAGAGAGAGATAGAGAGAGAGAGAATAGGTAAAACAACATGGCACATTCCTTACCTGTACAGTAAAATGCTTTATGTTCCAACATGTGCCATGCTAACCATACCAAAAAATGCTGCTATACGGTGTGAGTTCAAAAGCTAACTTAGCCAAACTCCTAAAGCCAAAAACAACATGTATGTCTGTTTTTAAAGCCTAATCTGTGTATTCAGATAAAAATCTAAGGGTCCTAAGACAAATATTTATGTAGACAATTTAAATTCTATCCAACAGCAAAAGCCCTATACAGATGGATTAATCTGTTAATGTGCCCAAGCCCCCAAAATGAGAGTTCAATAATACAATTAAACTACATATTTGCAAATACCAGTAGTATTTCTGTAATACATATTAAGAAACTGCATCTCATCATAAAACATACAATATGTACAGGGCACTTAAGAGAAACTGGATAAGCTGCAGAAGAAAACTGTTGGGTGGTATTTTCAGCAGGGCCTGGTATATAGTTCAGGCTGAACCAGGGAAAAGAACTGTAAAACACAACAACAAAAAAGAAAAACCACTGTTAAATAAAGGTAATGGTTCCTTCCACCTATACTGAGAAGTGCCGATAATATAAACAAATGTATACTACACAGCACTGTTATCTTGCTTGTGTCAGAGCTGTCATCAATTTAGATACCAAGAGTTATGGAGGGAGGGGAAGGGAGAAGATCATTTAGATAATAGGGCATTAATGCATCAATATTAACAAACCTACAAAGATTATGGGATAATCTTGCATGCAAAATTATGTCTCAAGAGGATAATATTAAATATCAACATCTTACTCAAATTAGTGCATATGCAACATTTCTGGCAAACTAAAATCCTCTTGAATTTATTGAGACACCTGATAGAAGATCTGCATCCATTACAAAAAAAAGTCATGCATCTGATCCTCTGATTAAAAAAAGACTATTTAAAAATAAAACTACAATTTAAAAATAGCAATGAGGCCCCTCACCAGTTAATTTTCATGCGTCAAGAGTATTTTTTTTACTGCTGCTTTGATAGAACCATGAAATACTGCATGAATGTGTAGAAATGAAAGAAAAAGAAACAGACAAAAGAAACAAACATTAACCAAGGAACCTAAATAACCCCCAAATCCATTACTATTAAAGAGTTCCTTCCAAATCCAGCTATCTCAGTTTTACCAATTAAGACTATTTATTCCTTACCGTAGACTCTGTGTCTATTGTTCTAAAACATGACGGAGAACCAACACCAAAGTGTAAGAGCTAAAACTAGGGTGAATGGTGACAAAGGGATTAAGTACATCAGTTATTTAGTGGAGATAACATTAATACAGCATACCATACCATTAATTAAATACACCAAAAATGAATTCCAGAACTAAATATTTTGGTAATTCTACATACACTTCTAAATATTTCACTTTTAAACAGATCCAGAAAAATTACCATGGTCTAAAAATATTTATGAATGCCAATTATATGATATACTGTATTATGTTCAGGGCTTGGGTATTATGATATAATACTTTGCCAATAAGAATTCTTTACATTTAAAGGCTAATGTTTAGCATATTACTCACATGATTTGACCCTTGTTCCAAAAACTATCTGTATTTTACTTATCCTAAATTGGAATTCTGTAAATTTTCTCTTGGTGATTAAGTCTTATCCTACAACAGGCACACTGATATAAAAGGAATTGCTTAATCAAAACACACTAAATCCAATGTTTATCAGCATATAAATTTTTTAAAACCTTAAAACTGAGTTCACACACTTTAATATCAGAGACAGATGTACTATTATACAGCATGCCTTCAACCCACCTATAATGCAACTTAATATCTTTAGACAACCACAAAGGCAATTTTTCTAAGTTTTAAGGATTAGACATTTCACAACTTGTACAAGGCATCGTGTAAATGTTCACACTGGTACTCAAAGATCTGAGATAGCATCTAATTTTCACAATAGAAAGATTCTGCTTCCACTGACCAATACATTAAGGAAAGGGAAAGCATTTAAAACCTCATCAGCATTAACTTAATGCTGTAAATTAAAGTCCAGTAACTATTAACTTAATTAAAATCCAGTAATTTTCTATTTCACTTATTTCTTTGTCAAAACTTAGTTACCAAAAAGAAAATAAAGTAGCAGTACATTGGGAACAAAGAAATTATAAAATATGGCTTAGAAAATTTCACAAAATTAATTAAATAGTGCTGTCTTGTCACAGTGGCTTTTTTAGATCCAAAAACCCTGCTCATTATTTCTGTCAAATTACTTTAACAGCCTAAAATGTAAAAAGAGAGAAAATGTAGTTAACAAATGGTTACACCAGGAAAACACTTGGGGGACTTGAGTGCTTGCTGGCCTTTAGTTAATGTCTAGAATCCCCTGTAGCTGCAGAGGACCCACTGTTTTTCAGTCATCTGGAAGAGTTTTGCATTTGCCTTCTCCACTACAAAAATCACACACACAAATAACAGAGAGAAGAATTTATTATTTAGAGATATTCTAGAAAATATAGCAAGAATGAACAAGAAAATCTGGCAATAAAAACAAAACACCCAGTGCCCATCTGGCACCTAAACTATAGGAAATCTTGAACTTTCATACAAACCAAAATCATTGTAACCCTTGGTATACTGGAATTCAATGTGGGATATACATATATTTTTTAAAGTTACCAATGAGAAAAAGAACTAAGGAAATAAAACCTAGTCATTTATTCAAAACAGAAATAACATTTTGCATTGATTTGAAGGTTCCTGTGTCCATTCACCTTCAGAACTTCTTAATAAAACTCAACATTTACTAAGTAGATGTATCTTAAGGAATTATAATTAGGGTTATGGTTTTAAAGAACTTAAAAATGTTTTAAAGGAATGGAAAGGTTAAATATCTTATAAAAACAGATCTGATTTCTAATTTTTAGAATTAAAAAATCTTTCAAGTTAAAATATGGACCACAGTATAACAAGGGTTTCAAAATGTTAATTGCTTATATTTTTAACATGCTACTAATGCTCACTCTAAAACTATACTGAGGTAGATGGTCATCATAGGATGCCCACACAGATAGTTAAACAAAGCACAAACCTTCTGCATATGGTACGACTATCAATGCTCTGTCAACGAATACAGTGTTTGTCAGATGCTGTGCCACAACTGCTGAGTCCGGGTCATGGAATTTAACAAAGCACACACGGGATGAGACTGGCAAAGGTGAATCACTGAAAAATAAACAAATAACATAAAAATAGAGAAAGAGAGTATCAGCTGAAACATATATGTATGATTCATAAACCCACACCTACATTTTAAAAGCAAAATAGGCAGATAAAAAGTACTTATTAGTTAATTAGTTAAAAAAATCCATTGAAATCATGTAGCAAAGCATATATACAATCACTGTTAATTTTACAGTTTACCAAGTTAGAAAGTCTGAAATTAAATTTTCAGAGTTTAAGCAGACCACACAAGTGTCAACATTTTGAAACTAACACCAATACCAGTTATGTTCAAATACAGGTAACAAGTAACTAGTCTTGGCTTAGAAAACATTTCAGAGTAAAAAACACAGAATTTTTCAATTCAGGAACAAAATAATATTGTGGGAAAGTACATCTACTTGACAATTGAGTTTTCTTGACCCAGCTACTAAATAAATGCCCTGTTGTCTACCTACAGCAAAGGAAAAAAAAAAAAAAAATTAAGCACTCACGGGGACAGTACTCTACACCCTAGTATTACCACTGTGCAAAATTTCAATAAGTAAAGGAGTCACTTCCCTCAGTAAATTGCTCTTAGATAAAACAATGATGAAGTACCGGCTATGGCAGCTGGTAAGATAAATTTTAAAAGGTGCACGTTTTTAGTTTTTTTTGTTTGTTTGTTTTTTTTTAAACATAGGTAGTTCAGGCCCTGGCTGGTGTAGCTCAGTGGATTGAACACAGGCCTGCAAACTGAAGCATTGCCGGTTTGATCCCCAGTCAGGGCACATGCCTGGGTTGTAGGCCATATCCCCACTATGGGGTGTGCTAGAGGCAACCATACATTGATGTTTCACTCCCTTTCTCCCTCCCTTCCCCATCTCTTTAAAATAAATAAATAAAAATCTTAAAAAAAGAGACTATACTGAATTAAAAAAAATAAACATAGGGTAGTTCAAATTTCTACCACAAAAATTTCTGTGAAATGAAAAGAGGAAGTAAAGGCAGGGGCTGATTCCTAATCCCAAACCAAAAGTTATTTTAAAACCAACGCATTACAACAATAGTAATCATATCACCCCCAGTTATACATTAGAATCATCTGTGGAGAAAAAAATACCTAGGCTTTCTACTCCACCAGGGGTATCAAACCCATGGCCCATGGACTGCATGCAGCCCAGGATGGCTATGAATGAGGCCCAAGACAAAATCATAAATTCACTTAAAACCTTTTTTGGCTTATCAGTTTTCATTAGTGTTTGTGTACTTCATGTTGGCTCAAGACAACTTTTCTTCTTCCAGTGTGGCCCAGAGATGCCAAAAGATTGAACAGCCCTGAATTAAATCAAGATCTCTGATGATGAAGTACTCAATGCTTACTCCTTTATTTTAATTCTCCCTGGCAATTCTTAACATATGCACCCAGGGTAAAGAACCCCAGCTTTACTATAAGCCAATTATATCCTAAGGCACAATAATGAAAAGGAAAATCCTGTAGTATCTTTGAATGTTATTAGAATGAGGCTTATCTTTAATCTTTCTAATAAACTGGACTTCAAGCATACATAAAAATGTATTTATATCATTTTTGTTACGCTGGGTATTTTCAGAGATAAGTATTTGCTGCAAAAACGTTCCCCCCCCCCACTAATTTGTGCACTGACATGAAAAACTTATTACTTATAATGAAGACTAACACAAAGCTATTAACCTCAGATCTTAAACCTGTTAGAATTTACAAATTTACCTAAAGGCATCACCCTTAGATACTAAGCACATATCCCAATCTAGGTTCAAAGCAAAGTTGACAATATATGGACATGCAATTTAAGCCATCTTACTATAAAGGTTCACTGCTAATGTTTTTGAAAGGATACAGTATTTTTTAATGTAGATATAACAATGATTTTTAATGCAAAAAACTATTGGTGGAAAATTTAATGACACCCAGAGTAGTGGAATGCAATTCCAGTTTTAGTACTAAAACTATATATAGCACTTTGTATTCCTTTCTGACATCCACATTTCTAATACTAAGTTAAAAAGCACTTTAAATGCTATTATTTGATAGTCTTAACACCTAACATAATGCCTTGGGTAGTCGTACACACTTAAATTTCTTAAAAAGGGACCTCTACCATTTCTTCAACACTATGTCATTTAACTAAAAGAAAAAAAAATGGCTATCAAGTTTAGGTTCTTGAAGAACATGAAGATGAACAGTTCTTTAAGAAGAAATTAGAAAGTACTGCTTACATGCTTACAATGTATTTCCACTTACTTGGCAATGCTAAAATGATTAATATTTTTTTCTACCCACTCATCATAGGAATGCTACCATTATTACCTGGGCTGTACCAAACCTGCAAGTGGTGATGAGGTAAAATATGAATAATTTAAATACCATGGAAAAGAGAGTCACAGTAAGAAAACTGAGAAAGGCAAATAATCCTCATCTCTTCCCACTTCATATGGTCATCTTTAAAACCACTGCTATGTGACCCTGTAATTATATTTTTATAATTTCTCAGTTAAAATTAATTAGTAAGAGACATGTTAATAAGATAGAAAATGGATGCTTGAATTTAATATTCACACTGTATTCTGAACAAGGAGCACCTCTAAAAAGATGTAGTTGTCTTTACTCCTTATGTTTAAGAATATAAATGAGGCAGGGCAGTGAAAAGAACTAAGGAAGAAGATATGAAAAAGTGGGCTCTGTGTAATGCTCTGCCCTTTACGTAAAGTGGTAGTACTGCGGCTAATGTTTCTTCAAGTGTCCTCCTAAGGCTTGAGAATCTTCTAGGATGTATATAGAAAATTCTGATCTATTTTCCATCAAGGCCACTGAATCTTAGAATCCCTTTTATAGAGGGGCTCTGATTCTTTTACAAGATGTGTAGTTAATATTTTTGTCCACTGGTATGGGAACTTCTAATTTAGGCAACTGACACCACACTTTCACCTTCCACCTTAATACTGTGCTAAAACATTTCTGAGCAGAGAACTTTGAGCTTATAAACAAAATCACTACGATACCCCAAAGAGCAGGTATGTGAGAATGGTAATATTTGCCTGAAAACTTGACCCTGTTGACCTTACATGCCCTCTCCCTCACTGTGTTGTCAGTTTTGAAGGAATACAGGAAAATGCTGCTTAAAAAAATTCCTTCAAGGTAAACTAAGTTCTCTTCCTCACCTAACAATACTAAGTTAATTATTTGATGATTGAAGAATCTATTTTTATCACTAAAATAATTTAAATAATTTGTTATTTAAATAATAAATTTAAGTTTACCTGCAGTGTTACAGTAGCCATTACTATATAACTTTGGTATATGCTTTCCTGGGATTATTATCCTATCAACACTTCAGTTATATTTCCCATCATGAAATCCCACTAAAACCAAACACTTGAAGAATACCAAATAACTGTAAAAAAGTAATTCCACTCACTATTGCTAGTCTACAAAAAAAAATCATGATTGCCCTGGCTGCTATGGCTCGGTAGATTGAGTGCTAGCCTGCCAGCCTGCAAACCAAAAGGTCACCAGTTCTATTCCCTAGTCAGGGCATACGCCTGGGTTGGGGGGCCTGGGTTGTGGGCCAGATCCCAGTTGGGAGCATTCAAAGGCAACCTATGGAAGTTTCCTTCCCTCTCCTTCTCCCTCCTCCCCCCCTCTAAAAACAAACAAACAAACAAGCAAACAAATCCAATTATATCCAATTTGACATCAACACTATCAGTCATGTGACTCTTAACTTCCTCTTAAAGAAAATCATGATCAAGAGATAAAGGACAATCAGAACACTGAAGTTCCAAATAATAGGTCTGACACTGGTAGAGTGCCTTGGGCGTACAAAACAACCTGCAAGAAATTCTGTTTACTCATTTGTAAAATTGGTAAGATACCTTCTCCCTCTGGATTTGTGAGGACTGAATAAGATAAAATAGAAAAGCATCTAGCACATAACAGACACACAAACTGCTGAATTTCCAAGAAGCATTTTAGGAACTAGAATTAAAGTAACTTTTTCTTTTAAAAAGAAAACAAATGGGGGAAACATTGATGGATACTTTCAATGGCTGCAGGGCTTATCATACTGAAGAGAGGCTTAGAATATTATTTGTTGTGAAGACAGTTTAATCACTGGGTAAAATTACAGGACAGAATCTTCTGGTTTAAAAGAACCAAGAGATAGATGGATTCAATAATGAAACAAAGAGAGCAACCTTCTTGAGGAGGCTGTTACTAAAATGTTTGCCAATATACAGATCCCACAGGATTCTCACCTCTCACCACGCACCCCTCTGGGCAGGGGCTCAGTCATATATGTACATTAAAAAATGCCACTCTCCTAATACTGAAGACCCCAAGGGCCTTATATTCCTGAAGAGGAAGAGTTAACTTGTTGATTGGTGCTATAGAGAAAAACAATGCAGTGAAATTGAGTAAGGAGTAGAGATGCTGTATTTTTATATAGGGTGATCAGCGAACAATTCCCTGATTAGGTGGCATTTGGGCAATAAAATGAAATAAGCATGTTATGGCCACACCTACAACAACAGAGTTCCAGGTGCATATGAATGCCTTCAGGGGAGAAAAAAAATACACACCATAAAGAAATCATGGCCAAATGTGTTTACAATAGTCATAATTTTATGTAAACCAAGCCATTCAATCTTAGTGCCAAGTTTTGAAATGATGAATCCTTTTGGACTACTGAGACTCCACAGCACATTATTATCAGCAAGCTATTGAAAACTGTAACAAGCTTAAAGTAAGTGTCAATAAAGTGTTTCCAAATTGTGCCGGTCAGATTAGCTACTGAGTTTAAGTTTAGCAAAAGCAGACACCTACATAAGTACTCTTCAATTCAGGAAGACCACTAAAGTAATACAGTATCTACCATATTGTAACTTTGTACATTTTCAGTAGAGAAAGTAAAATAGTCTGTATATATGGGAACATACATGAAAGGAGCCAAAGGGCAAAAACGTGTCAATATGTAACTCCTTCCAATACAGGAAAAAGTCCTCTTAATGTACAGTACCCCCAGACCATGCTATCTGGTACACATCAACTATCCTGGTTACATGATGAAACTACTCCTTTAATTATAAAGCATAAAAGCCACGATGGGAAAAGATGAACCAGAAAGCTGCCTACATCTCTTTGTCATCTTTTTAAACAATGAACTACAAAAAGAGCAATCTTCAAAATAAACAAAGCCCTTCAAGATCAGCAACTGTAACTAAATTCTTAATTAACTTCTGGAACTGGAAAGAACTATTTTGTAAATAATTCCAGTATCTCAAATACTTTGAACCACATGATTACTATAATCAAATGTGTTGCCCATTTCCTGTCATTTACTGTTTATTGATTTTATTAACAGTTTAATAAGGGTGTGTTATGAGGAAAAGTAACAGCAAAACAACTAGTTCTGTATGTTCATATTATGAAAGCTATTTGTCCTTCATTACCAAAACAAGTTTCCATTCAAAATAACTACTATAAATACATGTTCCCAGAACTGTACACTTCATGCAAATAATTCAAAAATCTCTCTCCCCATGTATATTCCCCTAAAAATTAAACATACAATTTGAAACCACTAAGAATCATTTGAAAGTATTTCAGATAGTGATGAAATACGGTCAACTTCTATTAATTATATTGGCTGGCATACCAATGCAGTACATAGAGTAATGATTTATTACATCCACCAAAACAGCAGATCGCTATTTCCTGTTTAGTACTTAAGTGGCAACATAAAACTAAGGGGGATGGGGGAACATACTGGCAGTAACATTTGAATTTTCACTCTTCTGAAAGAAGGCATGATTGTTTCATTCCTAATGTTTGTTCTACTCTTTATCATCTTATCTAACTTCATAGCTTCTTTAAACTACTCCTTTACAATTCAATCATTTAACATTTATGAGATTAAAATAAAAAAATGTGGGGCAAAGTAAAAACAAAAAGCCATACTCTAAATTAAAAGTTTGTAACTAAAATATCATAAATATATACATTATTTAAACAAGCATTAACTCTAGCTTTCAGCTATAAGTCGTTTTTGTCATTAAAATTAAGTACTCTGGTTCACTGAATTTGTCTGTCAAACAGCATTAACTCTGTATTCTCTAGACGAAGATCACGGAACAGCAATACTTAGCAATAAGTGAACCACCACCTAGGAAGTTCAATAATAAATTTACATTGGAACGAACAATTTTGTTTCTTTCCAAAAAACTCAGAAACATTTAATTAACCAAAACACATAAGATGCAGTTGTGTTACTTTCATTGCCCGAGGAACGACCACGTTGGCATGATTTAAGGGGGGAAGAAAAGTCTGAGATTAAGAGCTTCTCCAAATCCCAAAAACCCTGGCCCTGCCTCTGTTATCAGTAGGCCTAAAATGCAGATTCTTTCCGAAGTAAATGCAACAGCCAGCCTCACTAAAGCAGCAAGGGCCTAGGAAATGCTGGGGTTAGGCCCGGGGTTGGGGCGTAGTTAGCAGAAATGATGGTGGACGAGATACTCACTCCGGCGGGAAGAGGCGTAGTTCGTCGATCTTGCCTAGGAAACCGAAGAGGGTCCGCATCTGCTCAGAGCTAGCGCTCGGGGAGACATTAGTCACCTGGATTACCTCGGTGCCGCCACCTCCGACGCCGCCGCCTCCGCCACCCGGCCCGCCACTGGGGCCTGGGCCCGCAGTGCTGGGGACGACGGTAGTATTGCTCATGGCGCTGCTCGCGATCTCGCTCCTGCTTTAACACATCAAACACACAACAGACAGTAAGAGGGAGGGGAAAGAGAACCGGTTCGCGGGAGAGGAGACAAGACGGTGTCCAACTTTAAAGCTGCTGCCGCCTCCAGCGCCGTTTCTCCACCCCTCCGCTCGCTGAGGGTGAGGGAGAGCGCGCTTGCGAGTTGGAGACCACGAGAAAACAAACGGCCACCCACACCCCGCCTTCAACACCTCACTCGTGGGCCGAGCTACCCACAAGGCCTTGTGGTGACTGGCGCGTAAGCGCCGGCTCCGCCCCCCCTCCCTCCCTCCCTCCCTCCCTCCCTCCCTCCAGCGCAGGCCTAGCTAAACTCGCCCGCAACTAGGACCGGGAGACTCAGCGGTCCAGGAAAAGACGTCATCCCCTTTTCGCTACAGCGTTTTTCTGTTTCTGTTTTTTGTTTTTTTGAAAAGACAATGGAAGATCACTTTTTTAAAAAGGCAATACTTACAACCCTGCAAAAAAAAAAGTTCATTTTAGTAACCATTCCTATTAAAAATGCCCAAGGTATTTTTTATACAAAGAATCACCTACAGATCTGTGTAGTAACTAATGAAATTTCCAACCTAGCTACCAAGATTTTCCTGCTCACCGTTTAAAATTTTCTGAATCTTTACATACATTCTGGTAACAATAAATTTTATAATTTGCTTTGTCAGTAAACCTTCAAAAATATCTTTTTTAATGTTACACTTCCCAGTGCTTTATAAGCTACTCTTATTTCACAAGTTGACTATTTGAAAGCACATTGTACTGTACCTACATATATTCAAGTATAAAATATGAACACTGCAGAAAAACTTGCTTTACATACACATTCTTGCTTAAAACTTTTTGAAGCTTTTGACTATAAAAAGGTCCTTGCCTAATTTTTCAACCTTATCTAAATTATTTTACTTTCATCCAGTGTTACTCAATGACTTGTAGTTCCCCAAACTTGACAAAATCTTTCATGTCACTGTGTCTTTACACAAGTTATTAATAACTTCCCTCATTTTATCTAACTGCCATCTTGTGTAGGGCCTTTCTTCCATTACTGCCACAACTTGTGCAAGCAGTTGCTTAACAACTAGGGATACATGCAACTTGTTATATACCAGGTCTGTCTGGAAAAAGTCCAACCATTGTTAATATTGAGAGGGGTTTGCCTAACACTGATGTAACCTTGCAGCCAAGGAGAGTGGACTGGAATGAGCATGTGGGAATAATGAGAACTTCTCTGTACAAGACAGTGGGGGCAGTAGTCCCCCTTGAGTGAACAGGTGTATGTGTACTGCGTGACCAACACATTCAAAATGACTGAGTAGAGCAACAAATATGCATCACGTTTTTTGTTAAGGTTGAACATTCCTTCACAGAAACCATTTGGATGATTCAGAAGCCTGTAGCTAAGGGCAATTGGTGATTGGCAGCTTCATCAAGACAATGTCCACTCATGCATCATGGTCTCATGTAGAATTTTTTGGTGAAACATCAAATCACTCAGGAGATTCAGCCCCACTACAGTCTAGCTTTTCCAACCTGCAACTTCTGGCTTTTACCAAACATAAAATCACCTTTGAAATGGAGGAGATTTCAGACTTTTGATTCAGGAAAATACAATGGAGCTGCTGATAGCAACGGAGAGAACTGGGTGAGTTCCTAAGGTGTCTAGTTTGAAGGGGACTGATTGTCCTATGTACCATATTGTATCTTCAATGAATATCTCTATTCATATTACATGGCTGAATACCTCTGCACAGACCTCATAATTGACATGCATCCCTCCTTACCCACAAACCCATGAATTTTCTGGGTCAGTTTAGGACCTAGTACAATGTCTGTCACATAATTAATGCCTAAAAAATGTGTTGACCACATGCATAAAATGCCTTAATACAGAGCCACTTATTCTATGAGAATTGTTAAATAATTTATCTGATCTTGAATATTTTTGGAGGCCAAAACCTGAGGCCTTATGGAATATTTTCATTAAGAAATGCTGTTATGGAATAGTATAGTCAAGAGAGTATAATTTGTGAGAGATCAGAACACTAAATTACTGAAATATGATGTAGAGCCAACTGGCTAGTTACTTATTAGCTAAGTCACTCCTGCTAGCTCTTATACAAAAGAAGGATGAGTTGGTGAATGTAAGCCTTAGCAAAATTATAAATTACAACTAATTGTATTATCAGTCATAGCATGTATCTATGAATATAAAAAATGTCCAATTTATTTTCTCATTTTGAAAATGATATACATAACTGTCAATTACAGATTCTTAACAATTTGATAAAATTAATTTGTGCATGGGGTCCTACAAAATGGAAGTTGCCCCAGTGGCCCTGCCACATCAGAAATCTAAATCCGTCAGCTTATATTTCCGGGGAAACACCTGTTAAGGAAACCACCAATCAAAATCCTCCAAATAAACTTTAGGGGGCTTACCTTAACCTAGAACAATAAATTTCAACCTTTTTCATCTCATGACACACATAAACTAATCACTAAAATTCTGTGGCACACCAAAAAAAAAAAGAAAAAGCTGATTAGGCAAAAAAAGTGTAAATTTGATTCATTCACACCAGATGGCTATTGTATTGACTGTCACTTTTTTTATTTGACAATCTAAGGGAAAAGAGGTCAGTGCCCCTGACTAAGTATTCAGATAATGTATGTTTTAAAATTTTTTGAGGCATACAGGTTGAAAATTGCTGTCTTAGCAAATAAGACCTGCTAAAGCCTAAGAAGAAAATCCCCTACCTCCTGGCAAATCATAACATTTCCACATTGCCTTTACTAATGGCCTAAAACTCACTCTTGTCCAAAATCCTTTGGGAAGAATGCCCTACTGCTTGTGAAGCAATATACTCCCCAATCCACACATTGTTCCCCTTGAATAAAGTACACAAAAGTTGTTACTAAATTGTTCTAGTTTTGCCATATGACAGACAAGTTCAATTCTTAGTAGGAGTGCCTACTATGTGCCAACATGCACACTACAATGTTCTATGGTAAAAGGACAAATAACACAAGGGCAAGATTCATGCATTTTTAAAAACGTTAACATCTTTTTATTCTCTGTGGTAGATACACAAAAATCTTTTACATTACTCTACACTTTTTTGTATGTTTGACACATTTCATAATTACACATTGAAACCAAAATGATAGTCTTGTGATAAGATAAAATCTTTTAAATAATCATGTCAGTTTTATGTATAATAACTTATTGAACATACAGATAGATGATGCTTCTATAGGAAGAAACAAAGCAGAAATTTTTTATTCTAATATGGATTATTTTTGAATATTTTATTTCAAATCACCAAGCAGCTAGAAAAAAAATACTGGACTTAGAGCTAGAAGGTTGGCTTAAAATACTACCCTGTCATTTATTCAGCATGATTTGAGGAAACTTCACTTCACTGCTAAGAAATTACTTTAGTTAGGAGCTGACTGAGGAGGTGAATCATAATTCTGAAGATCCTTCTAGGTCTAATAAGTAGGTTAAATAATTAAATGTTTTGCATACTATTGTCTGTTTTCCATAGAAATGAAATGGCTGAAAGCGAGTAACAAATATTTCAAAGCTAATAACAAATATATCCAATCTATACTAGTTTTAAATCACTTCAAATTTGTTCAGGATTCCAATTAAGCAAGACTCTAAGAAGTACAGAATCTGGAGACAAGTATCATGTCTGTCTTATTCACTTTAACTTCAGAATCATGACACTGCTTAAAAACTTGGAAATTCTTTCAAATACTATGCACCTGCTATAGTCTAGGAATTTTTCCTAGTCATTTGGTAATATGGCAGCGAAAACACAGACATTGTCCCTGATCTCATAAAATATCAGGCCTAGTGTGGGAAACTTCCCATACTAGATGCAAAGATGTAACGGAGAAATGTGATAAAAATAAAACGGGATGGGAGATGGGGGAGATGGTGTTATCTGAGCCATTTGAGTTTCTAGGAGAAGAACAAGCCAAGCAGATGAAATAGTAAATTAGAAAGGCCTTTACCATGCCTGGTTGTAGCTCAGTAGATTGAGTGCTGGCTTGCAAACCAAAGAGTCACTGGTTCAATTCCCAGTCAGGGCACATGCCTGGTTTGCAGGCCAGGGTCCTAGTGAGGGGCACATGCAAGAGGCAACCACACAATGATGCTTCTCTCTCTATCTCCCTCCCTTCCCCCCCCCCTCTAAAAATAAAAAAGAGAGAAAGGCACTGAGGGTAGCAGCAGGTATGAAGAAAAGTAGGAGGACCATTCCTTTTGAATGAATGCTTTGTAGCTTACTTCTCAGAGAGACTTAATGGCAATCCTACCTGTCAGTATCATGTAAAAAATATATGTATAGGGAAGGATCATAGCTCATCTTTGGGAATGGGTTAGGGCAGGCTTCCAGTTATAGCTAAATGATAAATATTACCAGGGTTAATGTTATTTGTAATCCAAAGCAAAAAGTATTGTCATTTTGGCCTATATAGTTATATTTGGCTTCTATGTACATTTTATAGAACATAATTTCTGACATGCTTTAGAAAATAATGCTTTAAGCAAAACCTCAAAAACAATGTCAATCCTCTGTTGTAACAAACAAGTTTAGATCTTTCTAATCTCAAGCTGCTAAAATATCTCATGTATAAAAGAATGAAATTAGATCACTATATTACACCACTCACAAAAAGTAACTCAAAATGGATTAAGGACCTGAAACCATAAAACTCCCGAAGAGAATATAGGAAAAAAGCCCTTGATGTCAGACTTGGCAATGATTTTTATTTTGATATGACACCAAAAGTGATAAGGGCACTCAAGAGTTAAAAATTTTAGCCTTAGTTGATAGGCTTAAGTAATTAATGCATGTGGAAAGCTCTAACTCAAGAGTTATAGATTTTACTCATAGTTGATAGGTCTAGGCGATTATTACTCTTGGAAAGCTGCTATTCCAGGAACTCGAATACATGACCACATTCAACCTTTGTTCTCC